CTTGATGAGTTGATGAAAATCATTGGTCCCCCTACTGAAATCACATTCATCTCTGATAAGCAGAAAGTATCATTGCAATCATTTATGTCATCAATTATATTATTTTCTTTATCACTGATTATGATAACAAAGTTCATTACTGTTATTACAGGGGTTAATTGATTCATTAGACCAGCTTACAGATGAGAATGACCATAGGTTTTGTGTTAGGCATATTCATGAGAACTTCAAAAAGAAGTGGAACTGTTTGGAACTAAAAGCAGATGTGTGGAATGCTATAAATGCATACACAATAGAGGACTTTGAGATTCACATGAAATCCATAAAGAGACTCAATACTGATGCATATGCTTAGTTGGATAAAATCTCATTCAGATTGTGGTTAAAATTTGGTTTTTCTCCTTATTCAAAATGTGATTTGAATAGCAACAACATATGTGAGAACTGTAACAGTTAACTGAAAAAAGCTAGGGAAAAACGAATAATTTACTTGTTTGAGATGTTACGTAAGTATTTGATGAAGAGTCTCCAAGAGAATAAAGAGATGATGGAGAAGCATAAAGGACTTTTATGTCCTAAGGTGCAAGATAAATTGGAGAAAACAAAGTTGAAGGCAAAAAAGTGCTATGTCCATAATTCAGGGAATGGATTATTTGAGATTGACAGTAAAGGGTTGAATGAGGCTGTGAACTTAGGATAGAAACATGTTCATGTAATGAATGCCAAATAAGGGGTGTTCCATGTATACATGCAGTAGCAACCATAATTAATAAAAGGTATAATGTTGAGGATTATGTGGATCCATATTACTATAAGGAAACTTACCTCAGAGTTTTTGCACATGTGATAAAGCCATTGTCATTAAGGAAAATGGTGAAGTCTAGAAAAGGACTAGTTCATCTACCAATTATTAAAAAGAGGACTGGAAGGCCAAAGAATGCAAAGAAAAAGGATGCAAATGAAGCTAGTTCTAGTAAGTCATTTAAGCAAAGGGGAAAAGTAAGATATAAAAAGTGTTTAATTGTTGGACACAATTCTAGAAGTTGTAAGAATGATCCAGCTCCACCAACAAAAAAAGTAAGTAAGGGGGAAAGACTACCAATTCACAGGACAACTTTATTTGTTAGTAACAGGTTTACAGAGGATGAGCATACCTCGGAGGGTCTGCAAAAGGGTTGAAGAGTTGGTGTGCAAAGGGGTGGAAGAAGGGGCCTGCAGAGGATGAAAGTTAAGAGCAGTTCAATGAATGAAACACATGGCAGTTCGGTATAAATACTATAGAGTACTTATTTTTGCCCTTACATAATTGAATATAAACTAAATATGTTACATTTTCATAAAAAGGGTACCTCAGAGGGTCTGCAAAGGGCTGGAACAGTTAGAATGCAAAAGGGTGGAAAATGTGGCTTGCAGAGGATGGAAGTTGGGAGTAGTTCTCAGAATGAAGCACATGACAGTTAAATATAAATATTATAGAGTATTTATTTTTACCCCTACATAATTGAATATAAACTAAATATGTTACTTTTTCATAAAAAAGGTATCTCAGAGGGTCTGCAAAGGGCTAGAACAGTTAGAGTACAAAGGGGTGGAAGATGGGCCTACAGAGGATGGAAGTTGGGAGCAGTTCTCAGAATAAAGCACATGGCAGTCGGGTATAAATACTATACAGTTCATACTGTACAGTACAAATTTTTACCCCTACATAATTGAATATAAACTAAAAAGGTTACCACTGCTTTGTAGGTCATAAACTAAAAAGGGACTTAAGGGCTATGCAATGATTTTTTTTGCGTTTTATGTTGTTGTGAAGATGTTCATTGTGGTACAGTGAAGATGGGACTTAAGGGCTATCTAGTGGTTTTTTTTGGTAATGTTAAACCTGTGCAGATGCATTTTTGTGTTCCTTTAAAGATGGGACTTGAGGGGCTGTGCAGTGATTTTATTTTGCTAATATTTAAACTGTGAAAATGTATTTTTGTGTTCCTGTGGACATAGGACTTAAGGGATTGTGCAATGGTTATTTTTATTTTTATTTTTTGTTAATGTTTAAACTGTGAAAATGTATTTTTGTATTCCTATTGAGATTAGACTTAAGGGGCTGAGCAGTGGTGTGTGTGTGTGTGTTTTTTTTTTTTTTTTTTTTTTTTGTTTTTGTAATGTTAAACCTCTGAAGATGGTTTTATTATGAATTTTTATGTCATGAACAAGTTTGGCATTTGTGTGCAATGGCTAGATATGGTCAGGTTTGGCATTTGTATGTAATGGCTAGGTATGGTCAGGTTTGACATTTTTGCATGATTCACAGGTTTTCGTTAATGCATGTTGGTTTACATTATACAGGTTTGGTTAATGGATGGTTTTATTCTTCTCTGAATGAATGATTTACAGGTTTCATTTGTGTCTAAGTAGCAAAAAAAATAAAAATAAAAAGTGACTGAAAATACACAACTGGTTTTGCCTAAGCAACATAGAAATGATTTACAAGTTTCATTTGTGTCTAAGCAAGCAACACATGCTGTATTTTTTTCCCATTCTTTCAACAACTGACAAATAACAAAAGTCCTAAAGTATCTAACAAGGAACAAAACTCATGCAATAACTTTTAAAATGATAACAACAGCCAAAAGACCAACAAGAAAATATACAACAGCAGCCAAAAGGTTGTAATTGTATTTGTTTGTTTTCCTCCCCTTTTCCCTTTGCATTGAATTGATTTCCTTTATTTTTTGGTCTAGTTGCCTCTGCATTGCTAATACCATGTTGTGCAGCTCCCCACCTCTGTCATCAACTCTGTCGTCAACACCCAAACTTGGATTTTTAATTGTAGATTAAACTTTTCTATGTTGCCTAATAAATGAAATGCTTGTAGTAATCAGAAACTTCTCCATCTTCCCACATATGAAAATCACATCTTGGTGATGGATAATTTGGGTAGCCATAGAACCTTCTGCCAGGGTTCCTATTAGCATAAGAGGTCTTTATGGGTTTTTTAAACCATAATACCAAGACATCCCCTTCTCATTATGCCCAGTTAAGCTTCAATTTGCAGAACTTGAAAAGGATGGCATTGGAACTTGCAATAGATAGTGGAAAAGAAGATATGGTGTAGTTCGAGTGAGGGTGAGAATAAAAAGAGAGAAATAAAGAAAGAGAGATAAAATAGGGAATACTTACAATGACTGATATATGGGACGCCACACAACTCTGTAGGAGGAAGAAGGAAAAGAGGCGAGAGACGGAGATGGAGATGGAGAGAGGGATTAAGGTTATATATATATATATATATATATATATATATATATATATATACGGTGAGGGGTAGTAAAGGAATATAAGAAGGGCAATTTTGGGAATAAGGATTTAAAATGGTCATGTGCATGACTGACGTCCAATTTCCACCGGAATTCTGACCAGAGGTGTTTAGTTGCACATTATTATATCTAGTATGGATTTATATAAATAAATTAAACTATACGGGTGTAATTCGCACAAATTAAAAACTATAGGGGTGTTTTCCAGACTTTCCCCTATGTAATTTAATTAACATCCCCCAAATTCTCTACCTGACATGGCGGAGACCTAGCCTGAGGGACACATCGCGAGCATTAGGTGTAAAAAGAAATAATAAAAAAAATTTAGTGGGGGCGGATGCCCCACTAAACCTTTCACAGATCCGTGCTTGGCCCCAATTTGAAAACATTTAATGTTCGTGTTAGGTAGAATATCATTTTGGACAAAATACATGTTTATATTGCTACCTTTTTCTTCTCATCTTTTATTTACAGCATTGTGTTGCTGTGTTGACATTATTTTGACTAGATTGATTACTGATTTAAAACCGATATATATATATATATATATATATATATATATATATATTACTTTCTTCTTCTTTTTTTCACATATTTATTACCCAAAAGAGTTTGCTTCACTCTACTAAAAATTGCTTCAATAAATCTTATATCCTTTATTTTTTACTCAACAAGGAACCACTAAAAATCAAAGTGATTCTGATTAGCAAAATCAATTTTCTCCTCTGTTTTTTTTTTTTTAACCCCAAAAAAAGAAGAAGAAAGAAACATATTTTGAATGGCTGGTAAAATTTAATAAAAATGAAAAGGTTAAAACTTGTCTAAAATAGTATATGATTCGTCAAAGAACATTCTGATCTTTCTATTAATAATGACAGCACAATTTCAAGAAATTGGGAACTAATAGACAAAATTTACAAATGTATATATGCACACAAACATTTTACCTCATTGCTAACTAGCCCTTTGTCAGGTACTCATGGTATTATGCACACAAAGTTATAAATTTTCCATTTTTTATTTAGTATTAAGATGCAAAATGATTTTAAGAGAGAAAGAGCACTTGGAGAGATAAAAAATAAATAAATAAATAACAAAAATATAGACAGATAAATTATATAGAGGGAGAAAATATATTAAATATAAATAGAGTATTTACAGAGAGATAAATAATGAAATGGAGAAATGAGGGGTAGTTAAGAAGTACAAAAGGATAGTATTGGCATTAAAGAGCCTTTTTTGGTCATATGATCCGCACGTCACTTTTTGGTGTCTTGAGCCCTTATTTGCTCAATTTTCATGTCACTTTTTGGTATCAAGAGTCCTGATTTGCTCAATTTTTAAACCAGGGATAGGATTTAAACATGAGGGATGTTATTTGCATACTTTTCAAACTAGAAGGGAGTTTGGTGCACTTCACCCCGCTAAATTCTACTACCACATTCAGTTTTTGTCATAATGTGGACTTTTATTTTATGTGGTAAATTCTGAGATTGTCACTGCAAGTGACCCTGTAAAAAGTCTCATGTTTGTTTTGTATTCTTTAAAATTGATAAGAAAGAGGCCTTTTTATTCAGGCCCATGCAATAGCTAAAAGTTGCCGTCTCACCATGGTACTGAGATGCAATAGATTATGAAGTTATGAACAGTTCATCATAGAAAATTACCCTGCATAGAGAACTCATATAACTTGAGATTTGATATTCTCGTTCATACTAAAAATAGAGTCCAACATATGGAAGTAATTGCTCCATTGGAAACATACATTTAACAAAAGCCTAGACCACATTAAGGTAATAGTAATATGAAGCAGTGAGTTGTAACGCCGCCACCTTTTTCATGCCCCAAATTCATTAATTGTTTTACAAAGCCATAGATGCTGCGAAAAAAAGAACCACCACAACATGCCTAGCGGCCACGTCCGCGCCCACGACCGCGCCCTCGGCCCCGACCGCGCCCCAAAGGTTTCCCTGTATATAAGAACATTACAAATATCAAAACCAGAAAGACATAATGCACCAGAGATAAACGCAAAGACATCAAAGTGCATGACAATGAAGCCAGAAATATATGTAAGGTACCTGCAGTTGGCTTCTTGGGCTTGACCCTGGGTGTCTCCTCCACCAGCAAAGTCTCGAGATTTATGCTGTCAGGAAGGATATAATAGCGGATGTTGTTACCCCTCACACTTAGGTGATCAAGAGTAACTGGATTTTTCCCCTTCAATGTCAGTTTTACTGTCTTCAAATGCGTGTTCATACTTATGTCCACACCTACAACAAACAAGGAAAGCCAACAATCAGAAAATTACATCCATACAGCTATCAATTTCATGGACACAAATGCACATACATATGTTTTTGTTTACAGCTTTCCATATTAAATGAAATACAGATGTCAAATTTTTTGCATTAAAAAAAAAGAAACAGAAACAAAAACAAAAAGAGAAAAGAAAAGAAAATCATTACACTTCCAGAATTGCAGCAAAAACAACTGAATGTGACGACGTCATTTGCCTAAAGTCATAGAAGGAAATTAAGCCCCTGAGGCTAGAACTACCCACAGCATCTACAAAAACAACTAAACAAGGTGTGCAACAACACATGCAGACACATGCATATGAGAGGAATCACAAACAAAAACAAAACAAGGAATATTTTTTTAAAAAAAAAGTGAATCAGGTCAATAGGAGTGGCAATTTTAACCACCCAGCCCCGCTCTGCCTCTATTAGGACAGGAATGGAACTCTTTTAATATGATTGAGGAGGGTATGGGAATAAATAACAAAACATGAACCCCACACGGGTTCTACTCTATCCGGCCCCGCTCTAAATATATTATAACTATTATATATTTATATTTTATATTTACATAATAAACTAACCCTAACGCACATAAAAAATAAAATAAATAATAATAATAATATACTAACCCTAAGGCTTCCTGAAAATGCTGCACCCCACCTATTCATGCTCTGCCCCCCTCCCTCACGATCTCAGCAATCTCTCAGCACAACGCCGAAAACTTCCTCCACCTCATCTCTTCTTCTGCTTCTACTTTACTCTCCCTATTTCTAAATTTCTCTCTACTAGTTTTGTACATGCTAGAGACTATTGTATCTCTGTGATGATAATAGTAGTTATTTGAGAGTGACTGCCTGTTTCAGTTCACATACTCTGATTCATGGCTAAAGACTTTCTGATCAACGATCTTCTAAAGCATTCTCATCTCACAAATCTCAGCCGTTGTCCAATCAAATAACTCACCTTCTTTCACCTTCTCATATATATGTATGCATAGTCGGGGCGGGGCAGGAACAAGCTATCAGGGCGGAGATGGGATTAAGGGTATAAACCTGTCACGGGTATGGTACAGGCATGGGACAAGCAATTTCTAATTTGGACAGGGTTGTGTTTTGGGCAAACCCACCCCGTTGTCATCCCTAGGCGTCAAAGTTATTTTTTGTCTATTGAGACACTCTGGCACATGTTCATACTCATCTTCGGAATGAGACCGCATAAAAAGTATAGTCTGCACAGGATCTAAGTTCTAATGATGGAAGGCAGTGCCAATTTTGTGGGATTGAGTAGCTCACTAACCAAATTCAAACATTAAATATGCATGACACTTTCTTTCAAGGGCAAAATGAAAATAAGTTGCTTCAAGAAGCATGGAACCTATTACAGGAGCTCAAAGAGAAATGAAGTATTACAAAAGCATGAATGATAGAAAATTTTGGAAATTGGGGAAAATATAGCAACATCGTTTCTGCATACAAACTATGCAAACGAACTTCAGAATAAACTTCGATCACTTTTGTAAAGGGAGATGCTAATCTTCAAGTATTGAGCCAAGTTTGTCATGAGATTTCATTTTATAATATGATTCGAAATTCTATGACAGGGATCAAAATTAATTGCTTAACAATTGCTGCCAAAGTAGATGAAAAGGAATGAGCTAGTTCGATTTCCATCAATTACTTGGTGGTAATGATGCTACAGATACACTATCATGCATTGATTTTAGGTCAGGAAAGAACACTCCAAGACATACAAAGAATATCACGTTAGATATGGATTGAAAACTTTAGTTTCAACTAACTTTCGGAAATTAAGTACAAGTACTCCCTGCATCTATAGCCTCCGCTGTAGACAAAGCAAACAGGTTTTTGTTTTTTGATAGACCAAGAAATAAGATTAATCCCAACACAAACACAGCCACTGGGAGTATTTTTCTATCACCTATGTTACCTTCCCAATCAACATAAGTTTAACCTGCAACGGCATCAACAGAATATTTTATATCATAACCAAGCGTATCATTGATGTACTGAATAATTAATTTAATTATAAATAAGACTTCCTTGGGTCCAGGCTTTCAGCTTGAAACCTAACGCAAACACCTATATTAAATGCAATGTCAGGCTTATTGGGAGCATGTTTCAAACCACAAAGAGCTTTCTGAAGACAATATTGATTACAAAACCTTAAATTTTTCCATATAAATTTTTTCTTGAATTGTACAATTGAGAAAACTGCTCCACATCAATTTGGTACAATTTAAAATTCCAAGACAAGCAATTGCAACCAAAACTGTAAGCTCAAGTCTTTTTCCAAGACAAGCAATTACTGTTGATGACTTTCTTTGTACAGATTTGTGTTATTAAGCAATTCAAGTGGTCCAAGCCTACCCTACCCAATAACCCAAAGGAGCTGATATCATCTTTGGACGTAGGGATGTGACTGAAGCGATGCTCAGACCTAAAAGCTTGTGAATGCGCCGCGGTTCCTTGAAAACTCACGATTTGAAGCCCCGATAGGGGGGTATCTCTTGCGTTTAAAGGCCAGGAAATGGACATAGGAAGCTCTCCAAGGTCAGATTCTCATTCAAATCTTCCTCAACTGATCGTATAGCCCACCCCCACCCTCTTTCTATTTGTTTTGAATCACAACCCTTTGTCTTATGAAAAAAAGTCTTTGTGATTATTCTAGTAGAAATTCTTCTTTCTTCCAAATATTGTAGGGAATAGAAAAAAAAGAAAGCGTTTACTTTTTGAAAAAATCACATGAGAATCATGTATCATATTCTTTATGAAGATGGGGACAATGGATCATCCCCACCAAACCCTAAAATCAGGATACTATACTGTTAGCATCAATTTGGAACCCTCGGAACCTTCAAAGTTGGATGTTGAAAGTTTTTTGTCTTCAAATCAATTTGGAAGATGGTGAAAGTTTTTTGTCTACAAATCAATTTGGTACAATTTAAAATTCCAGGACAAGCAATTGCAACCAAAACTTTAAGCTCAAGTTTTTTCACCGGTGCATAGTTTCGCCAAAGTCAATACCCTCACTTGAGCAATTAACTTTGCCTTATTTCTTATTATCATTTTCATTTATGTTGCGTTTGGGAGTACCAAATCGATGCTTTGGATTTGGGATTGGAGGAAATTTAGTTTAATGTTTTAACTAAATTGTTTTTAGTTCCAATTTCCAAATCCAAGCCGTTGATTTGGTACTTCCAAACATAGTGTAAATTTATTTTTTGAGACCCGTTTGATACCAATGACATTGACATCTCTAAGACGGGGTGCCATCTTTGACCTTGATAACAATTATGTCAGAATCAACCCCCTCACCGGCCTCCACACACATCTCCAGTTGCTTCAAAAAGGGATTGAAACCACAAATGCAAGGGCAGCCCAACCAGGAAGATTATTTGCTCCATCCTCAAAATTTTAACTCCAGCCATAAAGGACCATATATCCAACAACAAATTTTCCCTCCCCAACCTTCCCTCCTATTCCAACAAAACCCTAACTGCCTCACTATGAGATGGAAGTCTGAACAAGAGTAGGGAACCTGCATTTATCCAATTACTATCAACGGAGCTTCAATTAATTCTTTTTTTTTTATGTTCAAAAGTTTGATGTAGATGTGATCAATTCCATTTTGCAATTGATTACCTATACAATATACACACACCACTATCTAATGGTCCAATTACAGTTGTCAAAAGATGATTTTGTGAACTGTAATTGATGATGATGGTTTATTAAGATGGTGTAGGATGTTATTGAGTAGACGATATCAAGTAAGGTACAACATCTGATGATTCTCTATGTGAAGTCTCATCTCTAGACCTATTATCATAATGATAACATTCATAGGCTCCATTACAAATTGGTATGAAGATTGTAAACTCAATACTCAATTCAACAAAACCTTTTTTCCAACTACTTAGGGTCGGCTAAATGAATCCTATTTTTTTCATTCTGCTCTATTTAAGATCATAGTCTTAGTCAAACCACGTGTTATTATAACCTCCTTTACTAACTCTACCAACATTAACTTTAGTCTTTTCCTTCCCATAGCATTACCTTCAATGCGGACCATGCTACTCTTCCTAACTGGTGCATTTAGTGGTCTTCTTAGACATGTCTAGTCAATCTTAATTAATTTTCTCTCATTTTATCTCCAATCGGTGCTACTTCAACCAACTCACGAAAGTATTCATTTCTAATTAAATCCTTTATTGTCTAACCTAATCGTGGAAGGCCTCTAAGCCATTGTTTGGAAATCCAATTATATCACCATAAATCGTGTGAGTGAGTGTAACATAGTCTTTGGTGCCTAGGAGTATAAGTGTCCTATCTCTGTTTATGAACCTAGAAGAACCACTATCAAACTATAAAACATAGAATAATGTGTTTTGAATGCAATATCAATCACGAGACACTTGGATTTTTTTATACCCAATTACATCACCATAACTCATGTAAGTATGTAACATAGTCTTTGGTGCCTAGGAGTAGAAGGGTCCTATCTCTGGTTATGAACCTCGAAGAACCGCTATCAAACCATAGAATAATGAGTTTTGAATGCAATATCGATCACGAGACACTCGGAATTTTTTCTACCCAATTACATCACCATAACTCATGTAAGTACGTAACATAACATTTGGTGCCTAGGAGTAAAAGTGTCCCATCTCTGGTTATGAACCTCAAAGAACCACTATCAAACTATCAAAACAAAGAATAATGAGTTTTGAATGCAATATGGATCACAAGACACTTGGAATTTTTTCTTTACCCAAACAGTTATTGATTTATCAACAAGGGGCTTCTAGACTAATTTTGACGAAGAAATATATGATGATATTTCCATTTTTTTCTTGCTTCTCTTTTTCTTTTGAGATTGAGAGATATGAAGGCAAAATGAATCAATTGAGAAACTTGAATACTTCAAAACTTCTTATTTGAGTACCAAATATTCCATCACTATTTATAATATCTTAGATTTTTTTATGAACTTTCAAAAATTTAGTTTTCCTTTCCTAGATCTCTACTCCGAAGGCAAAAACCGTTAAACAATCAATAGAAATGTAATGCTTCATTACAAGACAATGACATACTTGACTTCTAAATAGCATTTGTCTAGGCTTCTAGCTAATAACCCAAGTACGTTCCCAAGGCAAAAACCACTAAACAATCCATAAGATGATGTCCACATTTTTGGGGTCAGACTCTACCTTAGGAAAAAGATACATGCCTCACTGTGGGCTCTTGTTGAGTTTAAAGGTGACTGAAATAGCATTTTGGCAAAGAATAGGGACAAATACTACTGAAAAAAAAAAAAAAAAAATTGAAACTGACAAGAAGGAAACAAGAACCTTTCCAATTACACACGTCTTTAAACCATCAAGTTTATGTTCCAAATTAATTGAGGGATCTAAGCCAGATTCCTGAGTAAGGAATTGCTCTAACTTCTCCTTTCATTGCCATCCTTGACCAGGGAACAGCTGCTACAGTCGGAATGAGAAGCTGTGTTAATTAAACAGCAATAGCTCAAATCCCCGTATGGGTAGATTCTCCCAAATTCATATAGCCAACCTCAGAATAGTTGGGAAAAGGTTCTATTGAGTTGTCTAAGAAATTTTTTTTTTTTTTTTAAATGGATTTGAGAAGAACAACAACATCAGAGAACACAATTACACCTATTTCCCTGTTATCAATGTACAAAAAATTAAGAAAGAGAATTGATCCAATGTAAGCTGAACCTTACACACCGAAGACCAAATACACATACGAAAACACAAACTAAACGTGGTCCAATGACACTCATAAGTTCCATTCAAAGTTTGAATTGCAGAGTTTTATATGTAAACATAAGTTTTCAAAAACTACAAAATCCTAGGGTTTTACTAAACCCTAATCTATATGAAATTGTTCGGAAAGGACATAGATATTGTTAATAATATTAAAAAAAAATACATGAATCGGAGACATAGAAAGAGAGTGGAACCTGTGATGGTGCCGTGAACAACAGTACCGTTCTTGAGCTCAATTGAGACTGTTTCGTTGTTCAACTTCATCAAAAACCTACCAAACAAGCATTTAATAAAATTAAAAACAGCAATGGTAAATAATTATGTGTGTGTGTGTGTGTAGATAGCGCAAGAGAGAGAAGCAGACCGAACGAGCTTCATTGTTCCTGAAGAGCTAGGGCTTGGGAGCGAAGCAATATGAGTAAGCGGGAGATGCGAAACTCCTTTTAAAAGTGTGCTGTAGTCTTATGCTCGTTGGAAGGGGCAGGGAGGGATTAAGGAGTTCTCTTTGGGAATGAAAAAGGGTACCCAAAAAAAGAAAAAGGAAAAATTACACAAAAGTTGAGTTTTGGGAATCTATTTACTCAAAGAATGGAGTTAAAGCCAATACTTTTTAAAGTTATGGAGTTTAATCAAAGTTTGATGTGGACATATAAAAATACTATTCATTTATCCAAACTACCTTTAATTTTTTTTTTTTTTTTTTTTTTTTTTTTTTTTTACACTTACCCTTAGTATTTTCAAGTACCATTTTTGTGCATGTAAGTAATACTCTTCTGTACAAAGTTATCACTTTTGTGCATATAAAAACAAATCTTGTGATCAAAGGTAGGGGTGCACAAAAAAATCATAAAACCAAACCAAACCGGAACAGGAACCAGTGTTTCGGTTCTAGTTTTGAAATTTTGGAACCATTAGATAACGATTCGGTTCCAGTTCCAGACGCCGGAACCGAAATCATTAAATAATTACAAATAGTATGTTTTTAATTATATAATTACTAATATATATGTCTATCGATGCATACAAAGAGATATATATATATTAAAAGTATATTATCATGTACAATATTATACATAAAAATGCACTACGAATGGGTTTAGAGTCATTATTATTATTTTAAAAAAAAGGAGTCGGAATCGGAACCGAACCGAACCGAACCGAACCGAATCCATATCCTGACAGTTCCGGTTCCGGTTCCGATTCTAATTTATAAGAACCGTATACACCCCTAATCGAATGTACCATTTTTGTGATTAAAGGTACCACGTTTGTTCATGTAAGTACTACTTCTATGCACAAAACATATTTTAACTACTCAGTTTGCACAAAAATAGTATATGTGTGCACAAAAATGGTGTTCGAAGATGGTAAGAGTAGTTTGAGCAATGTTTACATCATATTTTGGTCAAAGTCCATGACTTTGAAAAGTGTTGGCTTCAAATTCATCCCTAAGTAAATAGACTCCCAAAACTCCATTTTTTGTAATTTTCCCAATAAAAATGTTTGAAATTTCAAGGAAGTAAAGGATATTTTTTATAAGATTTATCAATATATCCTCATTAATTAAGTTGATGTGCATTCTCTTATCGAGTTGATAAAATTTAAATCCCTTCACAAATAATTCGTGTTCAAAATTACAGGTAAAACCAAGCTAATAATAATAAAGAGTCAATCATCACAAAATCCAACACGCGATGATAGAGTTGTAAAAATTCCACACGTTGAGACGCGTGGAAGCATGTGATGACCACCAATAACAAGCGCGTGAAAGTGTGTGATGACCATTAATAATAAGTGTTGACATGCACGATGACAAAATTTTGAAGATCTGACATGCTAAGACGCGTGGAAGCGCATAATGACTACTAATAGAGCGCGTGGCGGCACAGTGGTCAAAGTTTTTGAAAATCCGATACGTTTGAGCACGTAGAAGCGTGGAATTACCACTTGAAGTGCACGAAGGGCACATGATGACCACTAATGACGCGTGTTAATGCATAAAGGTGTGGGATTAAACTGTGGGGGTGGAAAGGTGAATATGCGCAGATCTTCATGGCGTGTGCTAGAGTATGAGTTTGTTGAATGTAGTCACATATGGCAGGGTTTAAATTTGAAGGTTGACTGTCATTAGGGATGGGCTAATGGTGCCATCGATCTTAAGCAATAATTATAATAGATTAATAAAAACTCTTACCTGTTACCGACATGGTCTAATACCACGTTGAAATAAAAATATTATATTGTATTGCATGATGAAGAGTACGTCAAATTATATATATGAAAAAAGATTGGGTACTGAGTACTGACTGACTATAAAAAATACTACTAAACATTTCTGATTGAGTTATTTGGTGTATCACATAAAAATTCTATACTTTGTCCGATCTATTTCAGTTCCACTGTTAATGTCATCCTTAATTTTAATATATTTTTTTATATATAATTAATCCTATACATTTCAAATAATTATTGTGGGAAGGTAATTCACTGCTTCGTATAAAATCGCAGGCACCGAACAAGGTGTGAATGCTTCAATCTTGAGTCTTATCTCATGCCAGAATTGGAACAACGTGTCCCACTTTGCACCAGTACTTGCCACTTAATATCCAAAACAAGCTAACTCGTACTGAACACGTCACAAATTGTACATTTATATTTTATCTTATAACGCATCCATCACCATCTCACACCAAAATAAAACAAAAACCACCTAGCAAACGTACACTTGAGAAGACACTGAACCACACACAACACATAGCACTTCATATACATACAGAAACATAACAACTATGGCGGAACATGAATATCAACAGCAGATAGAATATTATGATGAAACCTTTTTTTTGTTAATGATATGTTTGCCTTTCTGATGAAACCCACTCCTCATCATCTTTTCAGCCCTCTTTTGTTTTGTGCAGCCTTTGTACTTGTGTCAGCCATGGTCGGGTTGGCCATGTGCACTCGTCGGAATTTCTTCGTTTGTGTGGATTTTCCGGTCATTTCGGCATAAGAGCCGGCGTTGGGTTGGACAGAGGATAAAATGGAGTCAGGTGAGATGGTGGTGGAGCAAGGGAAGGATTTTGCTGGGTATCTGGAGCAGAAGGTGGAGGACCAGCGTTGAAGTTGATTGATAAAGCTTTTTAAGCTTGTTTGGTTCAGTTTTATTAAGTTCGATAATAAAAGATGAAAAAGTACTACTCTTTTTTTTCTTTTTCTTTTTTTTTTTTTTCTTTTTTCCTGGTAAAAATTAAAGTTGTATAAATTGTATAACCAATAAAGCTCGTGGAGTTCTAGGTGAGTTGTTAATTAATTTTATGTGCTTATATATTGCGTGGATTAAATGTTTTTGTTCGCTGTATTGTATGGCATGGTCTGAGAGACTCATACTGTTTAAGTATTTATATTTGAGTGGGAGCTTGGAGTTAAGACTAAAAGGTCTACATTATATGGATTAAAATTTCAGAGTTTATAAATAATCCGAGAATTTAAATTTATTAATTATATAAAAATTTAATGGGGTGGATTGATTTTTTTATAAATTTTTTTTTTATTTATGAAAATTCCCTCTTACAATATAAGCTAGGTTCCATTTGTATGTCATTGTAGACTTTTTCGAAAGATACTGCAAAGGATTTCAAATTAATAAAATACACACTTTCTTAATTTGCAATAATGGATTCATTAAATGTAACAAGCTCAATGATTAATCGTGAATAAAACTTGTCCGTATAAAGTAAGGTCGAACATGGTTTTGTTGAAAGTCCCGGCTCAGCTCGAATCTATGGAGTTAATGCAGTTTTAATTGGGAATGAGATTAATTCATGGGAAATATGTCCAAATATATGAGTTTTAGAATGATTATTGGAATCCAGTTCGAGCTTATTTTAACTCATGAAAGCACCTTCCCTCCTCCTGAACAAACGACGTCGTTTTAATTCTTGACAGTGTAATTAAGCACCTTTTGAAGATTTGGATTAGTTTGTTTCAATTTTTTGGAAAAAAAAATTGAAAATTATTCTCACTTATTTTTCCTACCACAGTGGAACAATTGTAATGGGAATTTTTTGAAAATTTTTAATGTAAGTAATGTAAATAGTAAATACCATAATTTAACAAAATTTCAAATTTTTTTTTCCCCAGACTTTGAAACATTGTGCAGTATATAATGAATCACACTAGAGCAAAAATTTTAATTATATTTCACTATTATCATTCTTTTCTTTATCTCAAGTGAACTCAGTCGATCACATATCCTTTTCCAAAAAAAAATTCTACAATTAATAAGTTATTTTTACTATTAGATCTAATTTTTTTAAAAAAATTCTTTTTTATTTTTTTATTTTTTTGAAGGGTTAAAAAAAAAAAAAAAAATTCTGATTAATACTTCATTTTTTGTTAATTTTTATTATGACCTTTTTGTCTCTTATTTTTTACATAATTCAAATTTTATTAGTAGATTTTTTTTATTATTATTATTTATTATCTTGACAAAATAGAAAGAAGAGAGATTAAAAAAAACGTACGAACACACTGATCACTCTGAGCCTTATCCTGGTGGCAGGGTTAGAAGAACAAGTGCCCATGCAACCCATCCTATCCACGTGTCCTATCTCGCCACCAACACGTGCCACCTAAGATAAAAAAACAACACACACTAAACACGTCACAACCCATCTAGCTAGCAAACATCATGAGAAGACACTGAACTATACACATATAGGTATAGCAGCAATATTGCAAATGCATTCATAGACAAGTATGGCGGAAGATCAAAAACAGCTAGAATATGGTGAAACCCAACGCCAAGTCTCTGGCACGACGGTGCTCTACTCATCCCTCGCCGGCGTTGCCGTTGGAGGACCGCTCTTGGTGATGATGGGGTTCAGTTTTCTGGCAACAGTGACACTACTCCTTGTAACCTCTCCACTCCTTATCAGCTTCAGCCCTCTCTTGTTTTTTGCCGCCTTTGTACTTGTGTCCATCATGGCCGGGTTTGCCACCACCGCGGCCACCGCACTTGTCGGAATTTCTTCCTTTGTGTGGATTTTCCGGTCATTTCGGGGCATAAGAGCCTGTCTTGGCTTCGACGAGGATAAATTGGAGTCAGGTGAGATGGTGGTGGAGCAAGGTGAGGATTTTGCAGGGTATTTGGAGCAGATGGTGCAGGACCAGCATGAAAAAGGAAAATGAGTGTGGAAGTTGAAAAGTTCTTAAGCTTTGTTTGGTTGAGTTTTCTGTAACTTTTCTTTTTTCTTGTAACTTTTGATAATAAAGATGCAAATTAAATTCTTTTTTTTTTTTCTTCTTCAATTTCTAAAAGTAACTTCTTTTTTTTTTTTTTTTGAAAAATGAGAGAATTCTCTAAGTTAATGAAGTTTTAAGTAGGAAGGTGAATAATTAATGAGAAATGGTGAAGGCATTTTAGTACAATGTGAGTCACAGGTTTTAAAGACAATACTTAATTTGAAACCGAGAGACTATTATATAGAATAATTATAAGTGGGTTTGATCCCAAGAGGGAACAACCAAACAGAATAAGATCTGCGAAGCCCAAAATCAGGCTAAGCCCAAACAACAGACCAAAACAAATAGCTTTTCTCGGTTGCAAGTTGGAATTCCTTTTTTAACCAAAAAAAAGTTGGAATTCCTTTTCAAAAGGGCACCAAAGCAAAAGCCCAGCTAAGATTTCGGTACTAAACATAACTTTAATTTGTTCAGAATTAAAGTCAACTGTTGGAATTCCTTTTTTAACCAAAAAAAAAAAAAAGGTTGGAATTCCTTTTCAAAAGGGCACCAAAGCAAAAGCCCAGCTAAGATTTCGGTACTAGCTAAACATAACTTTAATTTGTTCAGAATTAAAATCAACTGGAGAATTGAATAAAGCAAATATTTATACTTTTTATGGATTAAAGGTAAATAATTTATTACGAGTAAGACTAATCCATTCAAAACACACATTTAAAGACTTGGTGCTTCAAAACCATATGCCGGTCTCGAGCATTTTTGTGAGGGATAAGTTCATTTCCAAGAAAACAAATTGTTTTAATGAAATTGTCACATCACGGTTGTCATTGTTATTTTATTAATGAAAAAAAAAAATCTAATGTAATCGTTGACATTAAGTCTTCTCTCTTACACCAGAGTGAAATGTAAAAAACACGTTTATTGTATGTTTATAGTGCATATCACACCCTTCATGTTCAAAAAATAACCTTAAAATATGACATTTGTGCAAATAGGTCATACTTACAAATTTAAGATAAAATTAGACTAAAATGCCCTTACCAAGGCATTTTAAAATATATAAAAAAAATATTATTTTGTGAAATGACCAAAAAAAGGTATACTTCTTAAGACATTGTTTTTTTGCCCATCTCACGTAACATTTCGTCTTCAGTCTGGCAATCACCAAGATCACCGACAAGAAGCATTAAGCAACGTACAACAACCAACAGAGAGTTTCATAACAGAGATCAACCAAGCTTGAAAGATGATGTCCACGAAGAAGTTGTACAGTTCAATTGTTCCAACAACGGCTTAAAAGAAAATTGTCTAGACATCTATGAAATCTGGCAAAAGCTCTGGTGATCAGACCAAACTCTTTAGCGATACAACCGCAAGCTCCAAGTCTTGCATGGTTCTTCGGTGACCATCTAGCTATCTCAGAATCCTAAATTCTCTTACTTTGCTCTCTTAATTAGAACTCTGAGTGCACTTCATATTTCAAGAAAACGGATGTTAGATAAAAAATTCTATTTTTCATTCATTTTCTCAGCAATCAAACATAGGCTTAGCCGCTTAGGGGCTTCTGTAACATATACCTTCCTCTTGAGAACTTGCAATCTGGAGACGAATAAATTAAGGTGCTGAAGGTAATCGTCTTAAGACAAATCGCCAGGAGATTATAACTGACATTTCCTTGTCTACAGTGTGGTGGTTGCGTGAATTGATTTCTTGTAGTACTCAAAAGGGACTCTCAAGAACTGGTGTTCGAGTTTTAGAGACTCTGCAAACTGAGTGAGCTTCAATGACGGAGTTGTGACAGCGGCAAAGACAACGTTGGTGACAAAGTTTAAAACAACCTGAATTACCTTTTTTCTTGTTGACCAAACAAAGTAAATTGTTTAGTTCTTATAGGATTGTATTTTTATCGAATAAAGTACTTTGCTTACCAAACCTAATTTCTTGAGGGCACAGTTAGAGAAAGAATGACAGAGGAGAGATAAGATAAACCATATTTAGGGGGCGTGGAGTAGAAGAGAGAAAAGTGGGTCTAGAACTTAAGGCATCGTTTGCCTGGGCTGTGCCTGACTGGTCGAACAAAGACGAAAGTCGGCCATAGTGATCCGGGAGTCCTATGTGGAAGGGATCTTGCTCAACGGATCAAAGGTACGCCAGGGATAACAGGCTAATGACTCCCAAGAGCTCTTATCGACGGAGTCGTTTGGCACTTTTTTTTTTTCTTTTTTTGTTTTTTTATTTTCAACTAAAACGTTTTGCAAATCATTTGAATGACCTTTTTTGGTTGACGCGAATTCCTTACAAATCACTTTCCATTTTTTAATTCACCTTACAAATTTGTTCAATCAATAATTCTCAAATTGTTCAAGTGTTAGATTTTATATAAGGAAACAATCTTTTGCCCAGAGACCAATCTCATTGGTAGTTTAAGTTATCATTAATCCCAATTTATTAATCTTAATATTGATTATTGAACTTCACTAGACTGTGAATACGAATATATAAATTCTATATATAAAGTAATGTGCACAAAACATCTATATAGTATGAAATTAGTAGCATATATATTTTTTTGGACATTTTCGAAAGAGTAAAAGGACAAAATAAATATTACAACACTTATTTATGTCTAATTTTTAATAGAGGAGTAATTTTGTATAATTTTAAAAAATTAGGAGTGTTTATTATATATTTTTTCAAATAAAAAATAAAAGTTATACAAAAAAACAAATATATTTTATGTGTTTTTGGCGCTTCCCCGCTTTTATACCCACTGCTACTGCAAGACAATGAAAAAGAAACAAAAGGGAGAAGTATTATTTAATGTGATGTCAAATCGGGATCGCCGCTGTTAATTTAAAGACAAGATGGTCGGTCATAAAGTGCTCATTATTCCAACAAATCTAAGATGGTACAAAAGGTTAAACTAAATACAGATTTAATTTTAACATTAACTAAACAAAGTTACTGTTTTCACTATTCAAATCACGTTTTTAAAACGTGAAGGTTCAAATATTTCACGACTGCAATCGAATAATAGGCCCTTAAAAATCAGTATGCACGCAAGCACATATATGTTTAAAGATTGAGAGGTAGGTAGTTAATCATGTAATGGTCATCATTGAAAGAATTGTGATACAAAGGCAAGTCATTTTATTTACATAGAAAAGTTAAATTTTTTTTTTTTTTAAACCAAAATCAATTATTTGTCCATGTGAGAATATAAACCCTCACTATTCATTTTAGGTTGCACGTAAAATAAAATAAAAAATCCAACGTACCCTTATTTTTCTTACTGAAATAAGTGATTTTATCAAGAATTTAGCTTAAATTATATCTCCACCTTTTCAATAGAGGCCTAAAAATCGAGTTTCTAAAAATAATAATAATAATATGAGTCACGTAACTATGACAAAGAACTATTTATTTATTTATTTTTGAAAGGTACTATGACATAAAACTTTTCATAGAAGAATCAAACATATATTATTTTTTCCATGAAAACATTACTACATAGTATGGATTTTTTAAAGGTGTATTTGTGTTGACATGTAATCAATACTTTTTTTTCTCTTAAAAATTGTTTTAAAAATATAATGAATTGCCTAACCAAAAATATACTCAAATGTGGAAAAACAGTATTCACGTACTTTCTCTTCCATTTGCACCCGCACATGATTTTCTTCCCAAATAGGTGCATGACTTTTTGGGTACAAAATGTTTAGAAAAAGTGGTCCACGCCCCCAAGCCATGTCAGCACGCATCTGCGGATCTGTTACCACATCAACACCATGTCATCAGCCACGCCATCAGATGGTTTGTCTTTGCCAGCCACATCTGACAAATCTGATTTTTTGGCCATGTCAGCAGTACAGCCAAATCAGCATAAGCGAAAAAAAAAAAACGTAAAACAAACCATTCCAAAGCAAGCCAGTTTTTTGCACTTACTTCAGATTTTCTATCCGTTTTGGCGTATTTTAAATGGTACAAAATGAGATTACGCTGGTGGATTTTGGAGTGGGTTCAAGCACATCCTATTTCAATTATTCTTGATGGAGATAATTACTCATTTTGGAGTCAATTTATGCATAATTTCCTTAAGGTTTGTAAACTATGGTCTTATGTTATTGGAGATCATCAAACGCCAGTTCAGAACAATGAAGAATCAGCAGATGCCTACGCGACACGCATTGAGGACTGGGATAGCAACAACCACAAGATTCTCACATGGCTCCGCAACACAGCAACTCCCTCAATTGGTATGGAGTTTGGGAGTTATGAAACGGTCAAAGAAGTCTGGGACATGCTTGCTTTTCGGTACTCCGACTCTGATGGTACTTAACAACATCACTCGATGATTTGACTTTATAATCTTAAATAATAATCTGACTCTGATGGTGCTCGACAAAATCAGTTGATGGTTCAACTTTATAATCTCAAACAAGAATAAGGTGAGTGCATTACTGAATTTTACTTCCGTATGAAATTAATCTCTTTTGGATCAATTAGCACTTTCAGAACCATCATTGGAACATCTTTCTGAGGCGAAGAAAATTTTGAAGTATTAGAATCAGCTTTTCACCAGTTTCTGATGAATCTGCGTAGTGATTTTGAGTATGTCCGCAGTCAATTTCTTCATCGTTTACCTCTCCCTTCACTTCATCAAGCTCTCAATGAGCTTGTTAAAGTGGAGACACTTGCAAACTTTTCGTTACAAAAATACAACATCGTTTAATTAGGAGATAATTTTTTTTCCCGCTAAATTTGGAGCCAAGAAGCAATTACTTTGTGCAAAATAAAAATATAAGTTACCGTGTACCTTTAGCATTCCATGAAAGCAGCAACAAGTAATGGAAGCAATCAATTTTTTTTTTTTAATTAATTTATTTTATTAATTAAATACCCAAAAATACAAAAAAAATACAAAAAAAAAAAAAAAAAAAAACCAAAAACAACTTGGGATCAAAACTGGTCAAATATGTCTGCCTATTCAGCACATGTTATATTCAATGTACTACATCACTCTTTACCAACGGAAAATGATAGGTTATCAGAATGGAAATACTTACACGTAGACTAAAGGAGTAGAAAATTCAACAAGAGTAGAAAGTTATTGAGTTACTATCTGGAAAAAAAAGCACGCACTAGGATGGTGGTTGTTGAAATGAGGACAATGACTAAGAAATATGAACTGATTGTTCTTGGAAGCTTTCTAACTTCAACTTTTTTTCTTTTTCTTTTTTTCTTTTTTTCTTTTTTTTTTTTGTATTGGTTATTGGTAGAAGTATAACTTTTATTGATAAAAAGGAAGGAACTTTATCTGATAATTGGATTGCCTAAACTTTTGGTCTTGTCTTTCAGTCACAACAATAAAGGAAAAGGCAATTTTTTACTCATTTTCTTGATATTTTTCTTGTTAGAGAAGCAAATTACTACCCACACATTAAGGGCAAACAGTGGTAGGTAATGGGAATCTTATATTTACGAAGTATCTTAAGCCCAAACTCACCTTATAATTAAAAAAGAAATTGAAAATACAAAAATAAATAAAAATAAAAAATAAAAACCAGTTCTCTCTTGATCTGTTTTTATATTTCCTTGATTACCCTTCTTAATATGCTTACAAGCAAATGAGTCCCTGCATGTAGAGAGACTACCTTTTTTTTTTTTTTTTGTTTTAAAGTTGTGACCTTCTCACCACAATAGAACAAATTTATCATTAGTCAAACTTATTAAACTTGTCCTCTTTTAACTCTCTTACCCTAGAAGTATTCCTCAATAATCATTACCAATAGTCAATTCTAGTCCTAAAAACCCATGCTAGCTTCTTATCCAAAACAGAGCGAGGATAAATCAGTTTATGCCAACGACCATAAATTTGGATGGTTGTGACTTTAAGTGTATTTTAATACAGTATAAAAAAAAAAAATAGACAAACAAGAAGGAAAGGAAAATCAAACTTCATATCATCTTACTTGTGTGTCCAACATTTGAAAAAGTAGAGATGGAGTTGAAAAACTCTTCTTCACTTGGTTTATTAAATGGAGAAAAAAATAATAATGACTTTTGACACATGATGATTTAGGGGCTCAAAAAAATTCTTCCGCAGGGTCTTTTTCTCTCTCCATCATGTATTTGGTCTTTAGATGTTATAAACAATTGGTGGAAAATTGTAAAACAAGAGTATTGAGTGAACTCTGTCATGGTCACAAATCCACTTACTCAAGGGTTATGTTTATCGAGTGAAAAGGATATTTATGGCAGTGTTCTCTTTTGCCGGCCCCATGGTGTTGAGTTGCCCTTGAGTTGTCCCTTAAAATATCAGACTAGTGCATTTGACCATATATTATATAACTACTCATTAGCCCTTTATGTTTGGCAGTACATGCAGGGATCGAATAATTATATGAGTGTGTGTATATATACACATTTCATTAATTATATTTACGACTGTCCTCGATTAATTTTTATATTAAGCAAGATTTTTTTACAAATTAGAGAGAAAAATTATGCGTATTCATTCTTGTAGTGAATATTATTAAGAAAATTTCAAAAAGTCCAATTAGTTAGGACTCAGGAGTCTACAACTCTAGAATGTTTTCAATTGTAAGAATTGAAAATCAATAATGAATCTTGTTTTTGTAATGGAAGGACATACATATATAAGTTGATGAGAGTTGTTGATGTGATCCCGCACAAATCATTCATAATTATGAAATTATATTTTTTTAAAAATAAGTATAGCCACCATCTCCGATTTTTCTTATTCATTAATTTCGGAATTATGTGCACCATCAATTGGGATCACCCACTTACCCTTATAAATCAGGAAAGTAATAGGGAGTAAATAAGAATAACAGAGACTGACTGAACTTAATAAAATAAATTATTTTTCTTATTTATTATTTTTCTGATTTTGTAATTACTAAAGATTTGTGACGTAAGAATTGCCCAATAAAAATTATGGAGGAAGAAAACCTACCCCAGCTAGCCCCATGTACCTTTGTCAGTCTGTACAAGTAGCAGATATGTCAAGATTTTTACATCCTTGCCATGGAATCTTATAAGTGGTGATCTCAAGACCTTAAAATTGATTGCCTAACTTGAACTGGGTAGAAAAATGGCAGTCGAGAACAATCTTGAATTGGCTAAAAGTTCCTGTGATGAAGATGATGACACTTCAATAAGAACAGGTAAATTCCATTCGAGTACTGTTTTACTTAATCTACTTGCAATTAATTTATATCTCACTCTGCCCAAAAATACAACTCAAACCAGGAACAATATGGAGTTGCATTGCTCATATAATCACAGCTGTTATTGGAGCTGGTGTTCTGTCACTCGCATGGAGCACTGCACAATTGGGATGGATTGCAGGACCAGTGAGCTTGCTGTGTTTTGCAGTCGTCACTTACATTTCTTCCTACCTCTTATCTGATTGTTACAGGTCTCCAGACCCTGTCACCGGAAAGCGAAATTGCTCTTACATAGATGCTGTGAGGCTGAATCTTGGTAGTAACAAAACCAATCTTGCTGTGTTGTTTTGATTCTTCTTTTATATGCCCTCTAATCTGGTAAAAGTGTAACAATTCAGGTAGGAAACATGCATGGTTCTGTGGTTCGCTTCAATATTCCAGCTTTTATGGGACTGGTATTGCTTATGTGATTACCACTTCAAACAGTTTGAGGTACTTTTCTTGATGAATCCTATGATTTGAAGTTCTTCTTTTTTCAATCCATGATCTATGAAGTCTGTTGCAAAATCATAAAATTTACATATTTTTTGTTTGTGAAGGTTGCCCCTTAATCACAAGAAAAGTGATATGTCTACTGTGATCATTTTTTTATCCTTCATCTTGCTGTAGTTATGTTAAGATTTGAGGGTTTTATATATATATATATATATATATATATATAAATTTGTTTGCATAAATAATGCAGAGCAATTCAGAGATCAAACTGTTACCACAAAGAAGGGCACCAGGTTCCATGTGAATATGGGAATACTCTTTATATGATGATATTTGGAGTTGTTCAGATTGTGATGTCTCTGATACCAGATTTCCACAACATGGCATGGCTATCTGTTGTTGCTGCACTCATGTCCTTCTCCTACGCTTCCATCGGAATGGCATTAGGGTTTGCAAAAGTAATTGGTATGTTATGAAATTGCATTTCAACTTCATTTCAGTGATTTTTTACAGTCTTTATTTTGCAAGAACATTGTCAAGCTTTTTTGGTCACTTGGAGAAAGAAAAAAAGAAGAAAAAGAAATGGTTCTCTACAGATTTCAGGCTCTTGTGTTTGCAATTGCAGAAAATGGGGAGATCAAGGGAAGCATTAGAGGAGTTCCAGCTGAAAATTTAGCCCAGAAATTATGGTTGGCCTTTCAGGGACTTGGAGATGTTGCTTTTGCATATCCATATTCAATTATTCTTCTAGAGATACAGGTACCAATTCTGTCCATTATATATATATATATATATATATAAAGTTCAAATTCATGCATTGATAAGAAGAGTATAAAACTTAATTATGATTCTTGTGTAATGAAGGATACATTGAAGTCACCCCCAGCTGAAAACCAGACCATGAAGAAGGCCTCAATGTCTGCAATCTTTATAACCACCTTCTTCTACCTCTGCTGTGGATGCTTTGGATATGCAGCCTTCGGGAATGATACACCGGGGAACATCATCTCAGGATTTGGATTCTACGAGCCCTATTGGATCGTCGATTTTGCCAATGCTTGCGTTGTTCTACATCTAATTGGAGGATATCAGGTACAATAATAATACAACATTATTTACTACTTAAAATCTATTGATGATGCTATATATATTGTTGCTTCTCTGCCTAAATGACCAGCATTTGATTGTTAGATGTACAGTCAGCCATTTTTTGCCTTCTTCGAAAAATGGATTTCTGAAAAGTTCCCGGACAGTGGATTCGTGAACAAATTCTACGCCTTGGAGCTCCCTTTGTTTCCATCTTTCAAGTTGAATCTGTTCAGGCTGTGTTTCAGAACAGCATATGTTATATCTACATGTGGGATTGCAATTGTCTTCCCTTACTTCAATGAAGTTTTGGGAGTGTTGGGGGCATTGAATTTTTGGCCCTTGGCCATATATTTGCCAGTGGAAATGTATTTTGTGCAAAAGAAGATTGGGGCTTGGACAAGAAAGTGGATTGTTCTTCAGACTTTTAGCCTTGTTTGTTTGCTTGTCACAATGGTGGCCTTGATTGGATCAGTTGAAGGTCTTATAAGTGCCAAATTAAGCTGAAAATATGTAGTTAATTTGATGTTGTTCATGGCGGGAACTATTAGAATATATAACGCCTTATGGTTTTAGGTACAAATGATCTTGAAGATGTAGTCTGCAGATGTGTATATTTAAGCCTGCACTGGTTCTTCACTTGGAAGGTGAAAATAATCTTCTGTAGACTTTAATACATAATTATTAGATGTTGAGTTGGCAAGGTAAATAAAAACCATATCATAAATTGGAATGCATTTAATTATAATAATCACCACTTTGCTTGATGTTTTCCTTAAATGTATATACAAGTCTTAACAATTTCTTTTTCTTAATACTTGCAATTTTCTTCAAAACGCGTCTACACAGATGAGGAGTGTCTACGTATATAAATATCAACAAATTTTTTTCCGACAATGTGAGACAGCACAAAAGTTGTCGTATTTGATCGTGCAAGGTTTCTTTTTCTAAACTATACATAAACGGTTTAAATTTGATTAACAAATGAGTTTAGCTTAAAAAAAATTGAACAGAGTGGTAATTAGGCCTAACCCAAATTTATAGTCATCCTCAACTCAAAGATTTGATTACCATCCTAATAGACAACTCAATCTCTAATCTAGTTTGTGGTATTCAAACATATACTTCATCACTTCTACACACAAGCCAAATCATCATTATATTTGCTTTAATCTGAATAGGATCGGCCATAAGATCATAATTTGTGTCAAATCGATCGAGTCATCGTCACACTATACAGCCCTAGCTGGGGTTGGGTTGGGTTGGGCCAAGAATGGGCCAGGTCCAAATTGCCCAATTATAGAAGTAAATGATTAAAGCCCAACACAAACGACTGCAAGCAACATGCAGTGCAAATTCTGAAATGAGAAAACACCCACCAGCCACTCTTGAAGGAAAGCTTTGTAATGCAAATAAAGTGAAGTATTTTAAGTCCATAAACAAGAATTGTCATTCAAAATGTTTGATTGCAATAAATGTCGGAATCACCCGCACGTGCGATAACCTTAACTTTCGCAAAGCTGAACCAAATTCCAAACACCATAAGTGGGTTTTGTTTTGTGTGATCAAATCAGAAAGCCACCCAACTTTTTACATAAGCACAGGCAGTCAACCACAGAGAGAGGAGAGGAGATAGGAGAGAGGAGAGAGAGAAAGAGAGGGTTGACCGGGCGTCTTGTGGGTGAGCTACCGGCCCATGTCTCACACGCTCAATGGCGTTGAATTCTTTAATCAAATCATGCGCCTTTGATGCCCATCTCCTAAACATACAAGCCCACCAATGCCATGGGCTTCCACTTCCATAACTACTATCACCCCTATTTATATTCCATCTCTTCTTCTATTTTACTTAAAAACTAAATTTACAAAATACACAAGAATATGCCATGCCTACATTTGTTTTTCATTAGATTTTTTTTTTTTTTTTTTTTTTTTAATTAAAGGAAAAAGTCTCGGAAAGAATTTGGCAAAGCAAAAGTGAGGCAGTAGAGAATTATCTTTCACACTTGGGTATTACATTAATCTTCTCCCTCTGTTCTGTTGGCTTTTATTAAACCAGGCAGGCATATTGTATAATTTGTGTCCTTGCCAATCAATCCATCAGCTTCTGCTCATAGCAGTAGAGTTTCTAAAGGAGGCTAAAAAAGAGAAGAGATGGGGAGAATTCCATGTTGTGAGAAGGACAATGTGAAGAGGGGACAGTGGACTCCTGAGGAAGACAACAAGCTCTCTTCCTACATAGCTCAACATGGCACTCGTAACTGGCGCCTCATCCCCAAGAATGCCGGTCTCTCTCTCTCTCTCTCTCACTATATATATATGTATGTATTTATGTTTGTGTGCATGATCAATAATGATAAAGCATATACTCAATTCTATTCATTTTCATCCCTATTAGGTCTCCAGAGATGCGGTAAGAGCTGCAGGCTGCGATGGACTAACTACCTTCGTCCTGACCTGAAACATGGCCAATTCACAGATGCAGAAGAGCAAACCATTGTGAAGCTTCATTCTGTTGTTGGCAACCGGTATGCAACTGGTAGTAATTAATTCATTAGTATTTCTTGAAATTGAAATATCATGGCTCTCAAAATCGAACATTTCATTATCTATATAGTTTTTTCTCTTCAATCACCCCCCTTCATTCTGTGTCTTACTATAAGAAGAAGAGATGCAATTACTGATCAAATTCTTATTTTCCTAAATGGACATCACAGATGGTCGTTGATTGCTGCTCAGTTGCCTGGCCGCACCGACAATGATGTTAAGAATCACTGGAACACCAAGCTCAAAAAGAAGCTTTCAGGCATGGGAATCGATCCGGTTACTCACAAGCCCTTCTCTCACCTCATGGCTGAAATCACCTCACTAGCCCCTCTACAGGTCGCTCACCTGGCTGAAGCAGCCCTTGGCTGCTTTAAAGATGAAATGCTTCACCTCCTTACCAAGAAGCGCATAGACTTCCAGCTCCAACATAATGGTCCAGCACCGGCCAATACTATAGCCACTTATATTACCAATAAACATGATGAAAAAGATGATACCATTGAGAAGATCAAGCTCGGATTATCAAAGGCTATACAAGAACCTGACATGATACCCTCAAACAAGCCTTGGGACTGTGCTGGTACAACATCTGCAAATTTTGCTGGGGCATACAGTGGTTTTCCTGCAACTACATCTGGATTTCTCTATGGCCCGTCATCTTTTGGCAATGAAGGGGATGGGTCTCCATGGAACCAGAGTATTTGTACTGGAAGCACATGCATGGCTGGAGACCAGCAAGGCCAGTTGCATGAGAAACTTGAAGATGAAAATGGAGAGGAGTCCACGGGTGGAAAAGAAACTAGAAATGGTTCTAGTGTATTCAATTCAGACTGCGTCCTATGGGATATACCATCTGATGATCTGATGAATCCCATAATTTAAGGGAGTTATTACAAGACTGGGAAAAGGAGCAACAATACAATCTTTATGGAAAATAATAACCTTCATATGGCAACAATAAAAGGTGCAAGTGTGGATAAAACTCATTCTATGGATTATGATAATTGACAAAAAAACATAAATACATGCAACTATTCTGATCGATTTTACATCTATTGTTCTCTTCTCATACAAAGAATGCAGTGTATAGATCAAGCAAAATATGATGATGAGGAAGATGTATCAGCCAGAACCTGCAAGTATTGATATGGAGGTAAAAAACAATTTAGAAATATAGAGTAGTCAAGTTTACTAATATAAGTTGTGAAGTCTATGACAAAAGATTATTAGTATGAATCTACCTCAAGCTGCTCTTCAGTGAACGAATCTTTCTGGACATTCCATGTATCTGCATGGGTCCTACGAAACTCTGCAACTGCTTTTGTAACTGTAGTTTTCACAGGCGATGGCTCCCCCACGAAATGAGCCAGTAATGTAACATGCTCGGGCAACCAACTGAAGCAAAATAATGAATATAATATAAGAAAGAAACAATGTTGCAAATAGAAGAACATCATTCATTAAGCTTTACTCGAGTTGCAGTTTCAATAAGTTTGCTATCTCTTGAGAAGACCACAGCATTGCCTTAATGCTGCCAACATAATTACTTCACACAGTGAAGTGCTAACGTTTAGACACCTAAAAGAAAACCAGTTTAAAATTTTGGAAAGGACAAGGAATATCTTGCACCTTGTTCAAGAGTTGGCCAACAAAGATGCGAAGTGCAGGACCCAGAAGAACTTGCATTTGTGATCCATTTTATATATTAACTTAATTCGATGCAGTTAGGATATATTATTACTATGCTAGAGAAAATTAGTTTAATAATTACTTAGCACATGAATAACTCAAAAAATGATTTTATAATTAGGAAGCCAATATAAAGACTAGACTTAAAAATGATTAATGAAATACTCCATCATTGAAAAAACAGAGTTAATCAAGAACACCTACACATTTAAACATATTTACTTTTTTTTTCTAACATTATCGTTACAATTATAATGCCAGAAATTAGGTTTCTCTGTTTTCTCTCTCCCATCATTTTGTGTAAGCAGGTCAACAGACTCAACACTGACTAGTGACCTTTATCATAAAAAAATTATTTAATCGAGACTATGGCTTTAGAAAGAACTGACTGGAAGACATATCCATACAGCCAATCCCATGTGTTGCGGTTGAAGCTTGTTGAGTCAAAATTGTTATTACAAATTTAGCCGTACAGATATTGTTACAACAGGGTGTTCCCAACCTAATATGTATCAAAATTGATCCCTACGTATGCATGAAATCACCAGCAAATGTGTGCATCAATTAGCTCAAGAAAAGTTGAACATGAGACATCTCGTACCTAAACATCACCTCAGTTGACTCACCCACCACGTGGGTTGAAGAAAATTTCTAATTAATAATCGAAGACACAATAGAAGAATCCAAAGTAAGATTTAAGAAACATCGACTTCATTGCATGCTATTCTAGTTGGTCCAAATCTACTAATTCTCAAAGGAGCATTGAGTTATTGTTTGCCACACCTACTCAACTCAATTCAATAAAGCATTCTCCCAAGTTCCAACTATTTGGGATCAGCTATAGATGTTTCATTTGTAACTTTATGGTACATTGTATTACTACACATCCATCTCAACATCAACATTTAAATCACACTCATATGTGAGTCACATGCCCAACATTCTATTTCATAAATGATAGTCGAATAATTGTTTCGTAGACTTGGCTTTCATAAATGATACGTAGTAGTAGAGAATTATTTTCTTAGGTTCTCAAATTTTTCTTTATTGGTTAATATTATTAAAAGATTTTAAATGTGATATAATTACACTGTTTTAAAGTCTGAAATATTATTTCTATACCAATGTGTTGGAGAATTTGATAATAATGGATCTGCTATTTGATGCAACAAGTGTCAACCTAATGCAATCTGTAAATAGAATCTTTATACAGGCTCTGGGTGTTATTAAATACATAAAAGTCATCATCTTGGGTAATGTCAATAACAAAAGCATGAATCTTCAAAAATATGATATGGACAATCGTGTAAATTAAACCACGGAAATACCTTGGCATATCATAAGGAACTGATAACACACAAGCTGCCAAAGCAAGTACAGCACCATGTATAGAAGCTAATGACTGACCAGAACTCAAATTCCTGCATTTGTAAATTTGTGAACTTCGAATCAATATATACACTACTTATACAGGGTATAGCAAGTACAAGATTGCACTTATGAAGTACCTGATACATCATGCACATGCGTGTATGCATACATAAGCGATAAAACTTATTAATTAACAAGCTTCTATGAATGCACGCTTATAGTTGTCGTGCACATGCCAAAATCTAAAATGACAATATGCATAGGCAGATCAGTGTAGGTATCTTCCATTGACGGTGTAATATTTTAGAGTTATATGCCAGGTACATGTGTAGAAAGATTAATTAATACACAACCACTTAAACATTTAGACACAACTCGGTAAAAGAAAGAAAAGAACCAGAGAAACTGTTTTAACAAAATCATGAGAGGATGCCTAGAAAATATATTTCATAACAATAAAGCACGAGGAGAGATCAATGAACTGGTAGCAGCATCTCTTCCACCTGCTATTAGTGAGACCATATAATGTTTATCTATTAAACAATTTTTCTTAAATTTTGATGTAACAATTCTAGAAGAAAACTAAGATGCCATGATTCATCATAAGAGTTGTATAAATGTATAATCCTAAAGTTGATTTTGAAAATATTTTAGGCATAAAAGAAAGCTTATCAACAGCTTGCCATAGGTTTTCAAACTTTATACTTGGAAATGCTATATTGAGAAGAACATCAAAATAGCTTATTGAGAATTTACTAAATTGCAGGAATTCATTTACAAAAGAAGGAAAAGAACTTCCATAAGAGGCCATTTTCCATTTTCCAATTGAAATATAGGATCTCTATTCCTCTTATTATATCAGATTGCCTCAATGAGCAGTAATTTATTTAATACTTATGAAGACGAGACAAACAGTGATCATGCTAACAATCTAGATCATTACAACAATGAAAATATGAGAAGATTGTCATCCACACCGTGGTCATATAGCAATGATAATGAAGATGATGTGGCCATGGGATTATCATGATTCTGTAAATTTAACTTCAACGTGACCATTGAGATCATAATTATTGATAGTAATATAAACATTTACAGTGTTTATCATCATCATGATATAATCAGGATGGAAATGAGACATGGTATATTGATGCTTAGTTGTGCAAATTTTACTGGACTAGTTCAGCCTAAGGTCAAAGAAAACCTAGTTCGAGGTATAAAATCAGCTAGCCTTGCAAACTAATCATACCTAAAGCCTTCAGCCTAAACTCAAGCCTGTCCTACATATTAAGCTTCAGGGTTCCCCAGGAGTGTTGCCCACCAAAATACTACTAAACCTAGAAACTATAAATGGGAGGGCATAATCACTCTCTGACCAGTCACACTGCTAAGCACTGTTCGGCCCAGTTTAGACATTACATATTCCTTTTCACAACTAATGATGGTTCCTACTGAAGCAAACAGAAAATGACACGAGTTTTCTTACAACAGTAAGCAAGACCGAAGATACTCTGATCACCGTCGGAGCCTAGATTTCTACAAGGGAAATCTGGGGGAAAGCCCTAAGAATTGTTATAACTGATAATAATCTCAAAATATATTGATAAAGACTTGATTACAGAAGATAAGAGGGCTGTCCCTTTTATAAGACAAGAATTAATGAGACTTACTTTTCCTAGACTGACTTTCAAACTACCCACAAAGTGTTAATAATGACTTCTATTCCTGTTACATTTTCAGATTCCCATATTATAATTACTACTTAAAACTTTGACTAGACACTTTCCAAGACTATTGACTGCCTCAATCCTGAATAAAGTACCCTTAATGATTTGCATCACCTACCCATATATAGTCATTTTGACCATGTATATGTATGCTACCAGATGTGAACATGTGAATGTGCATGGATAATAGCATGAATATAATAAGTCTAGTCCCTTATTTGGAAAACTAATCAAGTAAGCAGCACCTAGGAAAATCTCAAAAACAGGAAAATGACCTCTGTTTTCTCTTTTTCCGAATGATGTTTGCCTCCCTGTAAGCTTTAGCACGGAAGTTTTCAGCTAGCTCTTCATCCCCTCCCTTCGTTAGGCCTGCTAATACAGCTGCAGCATGCTCTCTTACCTGAACCAGAAATTGCCTCTTCTAGTTAGAGATGATATAATTCAATACAAAAGCTGTGAGATACACTAAGAAATTGGACATATTGGTTAGTGGACCATTACGAAGGTCCAACGATTCAGGGATTTCTCTCGTGTATTCTATCTCTTGCCAGAGGCAGGGAATCAAGGAAAAACAGTCAGATCAACATAAATACATTAATACCTCATATTCCTGAGAGTGTAATAACGAAACAATTTCCCACGTTTTCTCTCGTACTAAAGCTTTGATGGAAACTTTACTATCTACATCTCTCAACACTTGCATGGCATAAAGAAAATTAAGTATGGTATACATTTTATCAAGAAAAGTCCCAACAATTTTCAAGGATTACAAATTTATTTCACTCTTTCATTTAAAAATAGTTAACAAGCTGCTTCTTGTTTAACTTTGAGAGTAAAGACTGGAGGTAAGTAGTCTTTCTCCCACCGTCAAACATTTAATCATCCATTTCTTGTGTTATAAATTGTGCTAAATGTATGCGAGTCTAACTCATGAAGACTAGAGATTAAGCGCCTCCCATCTTACAAAAAGTTCATCTAATTAAACCAAACTCAATAAGCCAGGAATATATAATCCTGAGGTATGACAATGGAGAGAGGTGTATTTGTTCGGGCCTTCAACATAACTTAGTGAACATGGAATTCCAAGAATCCAATGTTAATCCACCAGAACCAAATGGACTTTTGGAGAATAGTGAATCATACATGAATTCTACTTGAAGTAGCCAGAGATCATAATTAAAAGCTACTGCTTCAAAGATAATAGCATAAATCTATTGGTACTGTTCCTTTTCTGTGAGCGAGTGTTTTATCCCAACCACCCAATTTTCCAATGGGTGACAAGTTCATGATTCTGATTTATGTTTGTGCGCGCGCGCATATCTGTCTGCATAAGAGAGGGAGAAAGTACGGCTTCTAGGGTTTGTAGGGAAAGACTCCTCAATGGAGGAGGGTCTCCCCTCCTCTTCTACCGTGGGTAGTATCCCAACCCCTCACTCTCCCTCTCGGCCTTCATGGAGTTCATTATTCCATGGTTCTAAAACAAGTGTTACACCATTAACGTATTATAGTGAGCATCGAAATAAGGGTTGTGTCATCATCGAAGATGAGGATATTGCTGATGAGATGCATTTCTGGGAGAACTCTGTGGTCTGTTATGTGCTAGGGTCCAAGCCCTATTATCCTCACTTCAAGGATATTGCTGATGAGGCTGTAGTGGGTGGTAGAATTTGGTGTGGTTGGGATCATACTAGATTGGATATTAGTGTGCTAGTGATTAAGCACCAGATGATTTTGCTGAAAGTTGCTGTGAGAGGGTCTTCTACTCAGTTCTATATTACCTGTGTGTATGCTGAAAATACAGTGGTTGAAAGGAGGCAGCTATGGAATGATCTTTTACAATGTTCTCTTATTGTTGATGGACCTTGGTTACTGATAGGTGATTGGAATATTATTAGGCTCAATTCTGAGAAAAAGGGAGGCCTTTTACACTCTCCTAGAGTGCTGCATGACTTCAATTATACCATAGATCAATTAGTGCTCTCTGATATTCCTGTGGTAAATGGGGAATACACCTGGTGCAATAAGAGATTTAGTCACAGGAGGATTTATGCTAGACTTGACAGGGGTCTCATGAATCAGGCCTGGGCACAAATGTTTCCTAATTCTCAAATCATTCTTACTCCACCCCTTATATCTGATCATTGGGGTATTTATCTACAGGTTCCCATTAATATAGCTGCTGGACCTAAGCCTTTTAGGTTCCTCTCTGTGTGGAATAAGCAGCCTGTGGTGTCAACAATTATCTCTGAGACTTGGCAGTGTAATACTCATGGTAACCCTATACAGAAGTTGCTGTATAAGTTCAGATTAGTCAAATTGGCAGTGAAAAAACTGGAACATAGAGAAGTTTGGATCTGTTTTTGAAGAGGTTCCTACTTGCAGAAAGGTATTGGAAGAAACTCAAGTCAGTTTAGCTGCTCAACCCCTAAATGATGACTTAATTCACAAAGAGGATGTTTCTAGCAGAAGTATGAGTGTGCTTTGTCAAATGAAGCAATTCTGCTTTCTCAGAAGACACGAATCAGATGGTTAAAGGATCAAGATAGGTGTACTAAGTATTTTCATCAGAAGATTAAGGAGCACAGAAGGGGGAGTAACATCTCTGTTCTTCAAGATGATGAAGGGAATTTCATTCATGACGTTGGGATTATTCAAGATAGATTTGTACAGTATTTTCAAAAGGCTTTCTCTAATGATCTACCAGTTATTTGTCAGCCAAATCCAGATTATATCAGAAGAACTCTTGGGGAGTTGGAGGCAGACTCAATCGAGATTGGGATCTCTAGGGATGAGGTTAAACATACTATTTTTTCCATGGGACCTGATAAGGCACCAGGTCCTGATGGTCTACCTGTTAGATTCTTTCAACAATATTGGCATATTATAGGATCTGATTTTATTGATGCAGTTCTATTTTTCTTTGTTAACCCTTCCATGGGAAAAGGAATTAATAGTTCCTTTATCACTCTTATTCAGAAGAAAAAGGAAGCTATGAGGGTTGAGGACTTTAGACCGATCTCATTGTGCAATGTTATTTATAAGGTTATAACCAAAATTCTAGCTAACAGGATAGCAGGAGTGTTGAGCAATATTGTTGGAAAGGAGCAGTCAGCTTTTATTCAAGGGAGAAAGATACAAGATAATATTATTACTGCTCATGAATTGGTGAGAGGTTTTGGTACTAAACATGCTAAGCCTACATTGGCATGGAAAATTGACTTGAGGAAGGCCTATGACTCTGTGCAGTGGAGCTTCTTATTCAATCTCTTAGAGCTATATGGATTTGGTACTAAATGGATTAAATGGGTGAAGGAATGCATTACTACAGTTTGGTTTTCTATTTTGGTCAATGGCAGCCCCTGTGGATTTTTTCAACCTCACAAAGGGTTGAGACAAGGCCGTCATTTATCTCCTTTACTTTTTACTCTTGTGACTGAATATTTTTCAGGCTTGGTGGAATCAGAAGTTAGGAGAGGTAGCATTGTGCTTTCAGCTGCTGCAATCACAGCCGGGGTTCCTGTGTCACATCAGTTCTTTGCCGATGACCTCTTAATTGTGGTTAGAGCTAACATGGCTACTGTGTTGTCACTTCAAAGGATATTGGTACATTTTGAGAAGGTGTCTGGTCTTTCTGTGAGTAAGGAAAAATCAGAGATTTTCTTTACTAGGTCTGTCAAGCGAAAGAATGTTGTCCTAAGGTGCCTGGGGTGTAAGGAGGGTAAACTTCCTTTCACATATTTAGGACTTCCTATCTCTGATAGAATGTTGAGAAGGGGAGACTGCGCTAAGCTGTTGGACAAGGCCAATTTAACTACCACTAGATGGAATGGGTTACATATTTCATTGGCAGGTAGAGTGGAGTTATGCAGGGCTGTGATTACTCCTCTGATTCAGTATTGGACTTCAGTGTACTCTTTACCTGCGGGTGTCATTAAACTTATTGAGAGAAGAATGAGGAATTTCATTTGGGGACATGATGATATTAATCTCAAAATGCATGGTCTTAATTGGCAGAAGCTGGCTGCTCCAAAACAAGGAGGTTTGGGATTAAGAAGAGTGTTGGATATTGATCTGGCTGCTAAGTGTGTTTTAGCATGGGATTTTCTCTTATCTAAGGATCGAATTTGGGTGGCTTGGTTCAAGAATTGTTATCTTAAAGGGGCCTCTTTCTGGCAGGTGGTTCCAAAAATTTCTTCTTCTTCCATATGGAAGACTCTTCTGTCAACGAGAGATATTCTTAGGAGTCATTGCAGATTTACAATTGGTAATGGGACTGATATTAAGATCTTTCTTGATCCATGGTGTGACGGCAAGTTCTTATCTGAAATATATAGTCATAGGGTTTTGCATCACCTCAGTAGAGATAAACAGAAATGCATTGGTGATTTTATTGATGAAGGGCAGTGGAATATGGACACTATTCCAGTGGAATTGCAACAATTCTTTCTGCAGCAGAATATTCAAGGTGGGAACGATAGAATGTATTGGAAGGATAATCAATTCACTTTCAAATCTGTTTGGAATGCCTGTAGGGTTAGAAGACAAGAAGTTTTCTGGTTTGAGCTTTGTTGGAATGGTGGTCGGACAAGGTGGTCCACTCATGCTGTTATGGTTTTGCAGGATGCAGTTCTCACTAATATGTAAATGCAGGAAAAGGGTTACTCACTGGCTTCTAAATGTGTGCTCTGTTGTAATAGCACTGAGGATAATGATCATATTTTTTGCTTGTGTGAATTTACCTGGAGGGTATGGAAGAATTTGGCTGATATTTTTCACTGGAATCTACAGCCTTTTAATTCAATTCAGGAGTTCGCTTTGGATTGTGCTTTGAAGTTCAAAGTGAATTCCATGCGGACTAAGTTCTATAAGATGATTTTTACTGCAACTCTATACTATTTGTGGAAGGAGAGGAATGCTAGAATACACAATGATATTTATACTTCTTCAACTGATTTAGCGAAAGGTATCTTGTGGGAAATTATGGATATCTTGGGGGTTTGTCTTCAAGATGTTCTTAGTGTTCTCCAATAGGATGTGGTTAGGTGTGTTTTGCCTGTTTTAAGTTCTGTTTGGTGTGGGGTATGCCCCATGAATCCTTTGTATTTTACTGTTTATATCTATAAAATTTTCCTCCATTTAGGAAAAAAAAAATATTCACTGCTCCTCTCAGAGAGAACTTACACTGAAGGCCCCCAGATGTGATTCTTAGGTATCTTAGATCTTAGGCTGAAATCCAAAGCTTTGAAAATCGAAGCCCAAGGCAGTGAGTTGTAGACCTTGCAAGCCATGGTGCATGAACTGTTTATTATAATTGAATCTATAAATAATTAGGATACTAAATTTTTTATCTGTAATTAGTTACAAATGAATATTAAATATAATCCTTGTTTTTCTTTTCTCATCTTTATAAGATCATTTTACTGATATATAATGGATTGCTTTTGGATTGATAACAGTTCACCATCATTATCCTTGCCTTGCTCCCAGTCAAATGGAGTGAATCACATGAAACCTCTTCTTCCAATTTTTTCTGTTTCAAGCTGTGTTTCCTATTATATCTGCTTTCTTATGGTCTTCTCTCATTTACTTCACCCCATGTCAGTTTCGGTTAACCTCTTTGTCCATTGAGTTCCATATAACCGTTCTTCCTTCTTCTTCTTTCCTTTTGTGTGTATGTGTGCGCACACGCATCTATGCGTCTATTTTGTACATGTCCATACCACCTAAGCCCTACTTTCTTTTCTTTTATTACTAATAGCTTCACTCCTAATTTCTTCCTAACATGTTCCTTAATCCTATCTCTTCTAGTTACTACTATCACCCATATTAGCATTCTCTTTTGTGAGGCTCGGTGGGCGGGAACAGGCTTGTGAGAGGCAAGACTCTGGTGCGTGTTACGTGTGCTCAAATTCCCACATCACTTGGGTGTGGAAGAGTGAAAGTGCCATATGTAGGTTCATCACCCTTCTATGACACAACGCGTTTTAAAGCAGTGATGGCCAGGAACCCATCAGAACTCCGGAGTTAAGCGTACTTAACATGGAGTAGTACTAGGATGGGACCTCCTGGGAAGTCTCTGGTCCGGAGGAGCCAAAAGCGGACAATATTGTGTCTAGGTAGGGTGAGGGCCGTTATAAGGGGGGTGGAATTGTGAGGCACGGTGGGCGGGAGCGGGGCTGTGAGAGTGTGCGAGCTACGTGTGCTCACAATTCCCACATCGCCTGGGTGTGGAAGAGTAAAAGTGTCATATGTAAGTTCATCACCCTTCTATGGCACAATGCATTTTAAAGCCGTGATGGCCGTGAACCCATCAGAATTCCGGAGTTAAGCGTGCTTAACCTGGAGTAGTATTAGGATGGGTGATCTCATGGGAAATATCTGGTCCAGAGGAGCCAAAAGTGGGCAATTATTGTATCTGGGTAGGGTGAGGGCTGTTACAGACATCTCATTTCGAGCAACAACTAGTACAAGCATTTATATACACACTAAAGAAATTACCCAGATACGTGTGTGTGTGTGTGTGTATTAAAATATTACTAGAAGTCCCTAGACGATTAATCCCTAGAAGCTAGAAGTGTAGGTGTAAATAGGCATAAGCTTCAGTTTGTAAATCACAAGCCTTTTTGGACTCCCATGATTTGTTAGCCTTACATGTTGAGACCTAAAAGGCACAAAAAGCATGTCTTAGGCTAAGGTGAATACCTTCAAACCTTTTGAGAGACATGTTTATTCTATTCCTTCTTTAATACCACAAAAGCTTTTTATGCTAGCCTCCTTTAAAGAAATTCATGTGGTACACCTCACCCTCTACCTAGCAAGTCTTCGTATCTATGAATATTCCATTGTTGAGTCTATTTCCTTTTATTTTGAGAGACGAGAGGGAGGATGGGAAATCAATTCCTAACTTTTTAAGCAACAAAACTGTTTATCCGCTTTGAAGTTGGAGGCAGGTTTTGCTCACAAGGGTGAGAGTTGATGATGACCATTGGACTTCATCTTTAGCAAAGAAATTATATTCCATCATGTTTCTCAATCTATTTCTACTTTTTTCTATCTCTATCAAAATCATCCCTAAAAGACCATCACCAAGTGTAGATCCCACCAACACGGGGTGCTACAAGGAAAAGATTGGACACACCAAACCTTTGGCATTATTTTCATACAAAGTGGCTGCTCATAGACTCGAACATTACCAATCATCCTCCCACTTGCAGCTAGGCTTATTACCACTGTAGTCTGTAACATGTAATGGCCCCCTATACAAAATTTCTCTATAAGTAAATGAAAAGGCAAAAGTCATTCCATTTTCCAAGAGCATCCTTTGTCTTTCATGGGGATTTTTTTTAATGAGGGAGATGTTATGGAGTGAGGCCCAACAAGGAAACAAGAAATGCCACAGAGCGCAGATTTAAATCTTTTTATAGTAATTTGATGCTAATATGTGCCGGTGTTCAACAACCAATATTTGAATTTGTTCCTTATTAGTAACCTAAAGGCCAGCATGGTAGGCAAAAGACCAAATTAAACACTGTCATTCAGTATCCCGAGGAAGATTCTTAGGCAAAAGCCAAACCAAACATGTCATTCAGAATCCAGAAACAAATTATTTTGCCAATAAAGTTTTCAAGGTGATTTCTCAGTGGCCACAAATATTTCACTGCCGCTACATATACAAACTCCAAGAATGTCTCACTTTATGTTGACCTTGAAGAATACGTCGGGTATTCAATATTCTACTTTTGAAGAGAGATTACATATCGAGGAATGATCTGTATAGTTTGAAGCAAATATCCTAAAGTTTGATTAAGGATGATTATTACGTTTTAGGGTCACAAAAATGACATGATATTAACAAAGGCACACATAACATGGGGAAGTAGCAGTTACTTTGTATATATCGACCATGCAATCATTACAGGTCAAGGTTTAAGCTAAGATTCAGTAACTCAAGAGTTTTCTAGGAAAAGATTATAGGTTTCCAAGTTCTGTATTTACCTAAATTGAGCTTGGTCAAATTTAAGAAATGGGGCTTTTTCGTTCAACAAAAGTACATCCTATGTCTTGATAATAACTCAGATATTAAAGCTCAACCAATGGTTGCTCCTACCAAGAAAATCACAGGCTGAGAAATGAGCACAATTAAGAATATCGAGATTGGTATTTTCAGTGCCTTTTCAGCAAATTAAATTATGTTTCTTACTCATCCAGATATGAGATATTTCTTGTGCTACCAGTCCTACAAGTTCATACATCACTTGAGAATATATAAGTAAAAGATTGTTGAGAATTAGCCACGGAACAAGCACACAAACAAAATAAACTCCCTTTCTGCAAAACCACTGAATGAAAAAATCAAGCATTATTCTCTTGCAGCAAAAAAGTGAAAAAAGTTTGAAAGAATGTAACAGACTTGCAGGATAAAGCATGTAAGACTTAAATGATAATGTTAATATGGAACAAATCACATTCATCATTCTACATTAGCATTCAATTAAATATTCAAGCCTGAAACTTGCCTCCACTTGGTTGTCAATAAGTAGCTTCTCGACGGTTTTCCAGATTTGTTGTTTCTCCACACAAGGGAGAATGAAGGTATGCCTGTTACAGACAGCCAAATACAATTTCAATAAAAATCAATTCACTTTAAAATCTCTACCTTCGTATCTGCATCATTGTAAAGATACCAATCTACATGCAGGGGTGAGACCACAAATCTTACTGAGGTAAGAAATCATATATGGCAAAAAGAAACAGATATATAAGAGATACCTTAAATGACCCAAAAGAATTAATTCACCCTTTTTGAATGATCATTCACAGGGCTCAAATCGTCATATGATAAAGCATGGATGCACTAGAAGCAAACTTCTTGTTGCATAATTTACTTCGGCATGTGTGGGATCATAATGTAATTGCTAATTCAATGAATAAAAATAACAGGCAAGATACCACAATCAAGGTATTACATCCATGAAAAAGGATCCAATGATTGTGAGACCCCACAAAGAAGTACCATACCTATACATAAAAGTTCGTAAAAATGTCAAAGTTGCAGATCTAGTACGCCAGTTAGAATCATTGGCTGAAGAAAGAATCACAGATATAGCTTTTTGGAGATGGGTTCCCCAGAAAATCCTCCATTTTAGCAATTCAAAAGCTGCCTTGGCCAGTGTTGACAGATCTTTATTTGACGTTTCCTTCAAACAAACAATTATATTTTTTAGATACAAGGGTTAATAACCAACAAAATCAGCAACAAATGAAAATTGTATAATAGCTGAGAAATAAGATCTCCCAATTTTTTCTGGTGGATTTTCACTTGATTGACTTTTTTTTTTTTTTTTTTTTTTCTACATCAATTGTTAATAGAGAATGATTGTGTCCAGGGACATGAAATTCTAGAAATCAGAGATTTGAAAAGGCCATCAAATTTGATGATTCAGTCTAGTTATTTACCAGATCATGGTCACAATCAAAAACCAGAAACAGGTATCACTTGGGAAGCATAATAAAACAGTAATGATACTATTGTCCAACGACTTCAATAGAAATTCAACGAATTAGAGATTTGAGGACATCAAATTTGAAGATTCAATCCTAGTTTGAATTTATCACATCATGGTTACAATCAATTACTAGAAACAGGTATCCAAGAGGAACCACAATTAAGCAGCAGTAATGTACATAAAATCATAGGCAGGGGTAAATACCTCACCAAAATGGCCAAAACTATTTATTACCCAACGAATTCATCAAACCATGAAGAAACATACAACAGCTGAAAATAAACCATCAGTTTTTCCTACTGAAGATATCATTTCTCATTTTTCCTAAAAGATTTAACCAATGTTCTCCTGGATTTTTGCTCTATCTCTTGGCTCTCTCTAACGGAAGAGCCTTCCAGCTCATGTTATGATATAGGTCCCCAAATATGACTTGACCATTTATGAATCTCAAGCAATCCCATATGAGAATCCCATACGATTATCACTTGGACCAAAGATCAGTGATGTATAATTATCAACTATATACAGAAAAAGCTTGCTGACAGGTATAAAAATATTGAGATGCACTTGTGAATATCAGAAACAATTAGGAATGTCAAGCAATCAAAGGTGCAATTTACATACCTGCAAGGAAATTACGGGATAAAGAAGACCCACAATAATATCCAGTAAACAGGAAGATCTACCAGACTTCAGAGATGAAATAATGAAATGGAATAACTACAAAAATTTAGGAAAAGAAAATACCGTTAGAAGATAATAAAAGCTTAGGAATCTTTAATAAATAAAAATTTATAAATAAGTACCGTTTCCATCCATTTAACATCATCTTGAGAACTTCCATTTAGAAGCCCATTGTCTGGACTTATATCCGTCCGGATCTCCATATTGTCAGACTGACTAGCGTTCTGGATATTCACTACAAGTTTAGATGCCCTTTCTATTAGAATCTGAACCCAACTTCCTTCTTCAAGTTTGTTATCCACATCACTGTCTCTCCCTTCATGTGGATAATTATGGTTGAAAGATGTATAAAGCCGAATGTTTGAGCACACAACAGAAAGGGTAACGCCAATCGCTTCCCTCACCTATTCCATATAAAAGTAGTACCAAAGTGTGACATTAACTCCAAAGTTTATTGCAAAAATGAGAAAAGGAAAAAACAATTTTATACCGAAGATGGACAGGAGGACAATGTTAAAAATAGTATCTTCTTTCTTGCCTAATTTCTTAAACATTAAGAATCAAACACCAACCTCATGACTCCACCTTAGATTATATCTTATTTCCCAACAAGAAGCATTAAATTAATTTTCCATTTTCTTTTACTAAAACAAGAATAAGAAGCAGGTTTTACAAAATAACCATAACAATAGCAATAACAATGGAAATCTCCTTGTTAGGCCCTGTTAGATAGTGTTCTGCTCATCTAGAATACCCACTGTCCTACCAAAACATCCCTTATGACCTTATCAATGAGGCCGCTTTCCACCCAAAGTGGACAATATCATATCATATGGTGGAGTGGGCTGTTACAAATGGTATTAGAGCCTGACCCAGCAGAAGTGTGGCCAACGAGGAGAGGGGGGTTGATTGTGGTGACCTTGTGGGTGGGTGGGTGGGTGGATGTGTGTGGGTGGGTGCGAGGCACAGGCAGGCTATGGGTGCATGATCCCACATCGCTAGGGTGTGGAAAGGGGAAATGTTATATATGTAGGTGGTGCTATCTCCAAATGGTACGAGGCCTTTTGGGGTAAAACCCAAGAGCAAAATCGTGCGGGCTCAAGCCCAAAGCAGACAAAATGCCATTCTCGGTGTGGGTACTATGAGGGGGTTAACTGGATATAAATAAAATTAACTTCCTTTTATATTATTTGCATAAAGTGACTACTCTCAACCTCAAACCCATGTCAATAAGACTTCCTCAAAAATTTACAACATTCGGAAGTTCACTTTGAGAGAATTTTAATGGTCAATACACAGCTGCAAGTTGCCTCGAGTTAAGTGAGATGTTCGTCATCAAAACCCAGTAGCAAACTATCTCAAATGTGAGCATCCCTCAACGAGCGCTTGATGAAAAGATAGGACAAATTGATCCATTAAAAGTAATGGCCAAAACCATTGCATCACAATGAAAAGGTGCTGACATGGCATCTGAAAGGGATTCAATTATTCTTGCCATAATAAAAAATAAAAATAAAAATTTAAAAAAAGGAAGAAAATCAATCATTAAAATGACGAAAAAACTTATCTAAAAAATTGGCCAAGAAATATGATAATAATGCTTACTTGGGCTGATGAATGACTCATATTACCCAGCAACTCCTCCAACAGTTGCTTGTGGAGTCGTATTTCAGCCACTGGCATTCTTGGTGGGGATACTTCTATGAGTGCAGCTGAAAGGAAAGCAAAGCGTTTGACAACTACAGTGGTACTAACCATTTGAGGTAAAGGGGATGCTAGACAACTTATGATTTTTTGCCTTAAAAGAGGAACTTTTGTTCCATGTTTCCCTTTCCCAGTGACAGCATAACGTATACATGCTGCCCACTCTGGCATAGATTCCACTGATGGTGCAAGAGTGACGTTCTGTAATTGAACCATCATCCAGCCATCCCATGCTTCTAAAAGACCATTGACATCAGAATGCAGTACTCCTGCCAGTGCTTCTGCAGCAATACACTGCTTAGACCTCTCCTTGGCACTTGTAAACTCTACCAATGTACTTTTAAGAGCCAGTAAAACAGGCATGCCACATTCTTGAAATAGCCGCTTAAATATGCGTGCAAAGCTTGAGTAAAAGGTATCAGTCCCAAGTAAAGAAATCCAACTTGGAGTACGCGGCCACGAAGATGAAAAATCAAAATAAAAACGAGTGATTGATTTGTCGGCCAAGCTCTGAATGGATGAATTTCCGTAACTTCCCCTGGAAGATGTGCTTTCAGAATCAGTGGTTACATGAACATGGGAAAGACAATTCAAGGTCTCACTAAAAAATCCTTCTTCCTGAAAAATTTGACGTAAAGCTCCTTCAAGGGAGGACTTGTTATCTCCTTGTATATTGCTAGAGAAATGAGGTCGGTCTTCATCTGACATTTTATAGGGTGATTCTTTCAACAGTGTGTTTAGAGCAGAGATTGCAAGTATTCTGGTCTGAGGAAGCTGACTTTTTAAATTCTTTAAAAAGTGACCTGAAAAGACATTGAACTTGACTTATTGCATGGTTGCAACTATTTTCATGAAAAAAAGAGAAACTTTACAACGAGTTTTAACAGTAGAAAATTCCATATTTTAGCTAAAATCCATGGCCCACCCATCATACCAGTAGTTTCACTCAGAATTTTTGAAGATGCAGTTGGATCGTTCCGAGATGCCATGGCCAACAACAACAGGACTCTGTTAGCCATCAAATTATACCTAGAAAAGAAAAAAAAAAAAAAAAAAAAAAAAAACACTCAAGCCATAACTCCTATTGGAAAATAAAAGATATAGAAGGTATGTTATTTCTAAAGCTGCAGCTAAACAATCAAAGATGTTCCTATATGAACATCAAATTAGAGGCCCATGATACTGTACTACTGCGCATATAAATTGATGGATTTCATTAAACAAACCAGCACAGATTATTAAATAGGCCAACCAAAGTCACATGCAAAGCTTTTACAAAGAGTATCAATGCATCAAACAATAGAATATTACCGCCAATGCAAGTTGGAAGATTCGAAACTCATAGAACTAATCTGAGAAACCAAATCAGCAAAATCTGGCACATCCAAATGGTTGTCCGATGTCCTAAAAATGCTTCTAGAGATTCCCGGAAAATAGATATTGTATTTAATGAAAACCTGTTCGCATTCAGGAAAAATCACGAAATGAAAAAATAGAAGGATAATGATGGGATAAGCAACTTGTTACCAAATTCTTAGTAACATCCCAATCAAGTAAAATCTGCTGAGATTTTACAATTTTGCAACTGCATGTGCTTTGTTATTCCTACATGACTTTAATTTATTAAAGTGTTGCCAAATTTTGGTAACTTGTTACTCCATCAATGCTCAAGATATAATAAAATTTAAAACGCGGGCTTAAATCATCTTACGAGGAATCTTACCTCATTGATTGCTTTCTGCGCTTTCAGTGATTCATGATGGGAGCTTCAAGCATGAAAAAGAGGGAAGTAAGATTCAGATGCTGTATGAGATTATTCTACCACAAAAAAATTTAAACCAAATCAGCTATCTCCAGATTATTAACATTAGGTTACCTTGAAAGAATTCCAAGGAGGAACGAAGAGAATGCCTTTGGATCCTGGATTGAAAGAGAATTTATATCAACAAAAGCTAAAAAAAATTAGTTCATTTTACAAACTTTGTCCTAGACAGATACCATTGACAGATGCTTGAGGACTGTTTGTGTAGAGAGCACTGCACAAGAACCCAGGACTACATGTTCCGGTGAGTTAGGATTCCTTAGTTTCTCAGTAAGAGTGAGAATACACTTCGAAATCATAGATGGCCACCGCTTCATCATTTTCAAGAGAGATTTTCCAGCAAGTCTGGGTGCCAATTCAATGACTTCAATCAGATATGATGAAGTAATAATCGGGGAAAAAAATGGAGAAAAAGATAGAATAGAAAACCACTAAACCACTTTAAGAGGAATCAATGTCAGAAAAGTAATGTGTTAGAAGGAGGATAAAAAAATAATAATAAATAAGACAAAGGTAAACAAGTTCATCACTTCTTTATACAATTTCTACATCCTTAGGAACTAAAAAGAGAATTTTCAGTCTGCTACAATTTTTTCACAAACATTTCAATCTCCAAGCAACCAGCAACCAATTTTGTTTGGTAAATGTAATGAAAATTTGAGAGGAAGACAAGGTAAGAAGGACAGAAAAAATTCCCGAGGAAATTAATCTGCCTTTTTCTCCATTTGCTTGGTTAAAAATGAAAGGAGAAGAAAAGAAAGTGAGTTACTTTATTTTATCATCATATTCTTGTATATTGACACAAACTGTTTGTACGGAAGAAGTTTAAAAGGAAAGATTCTCCTCATTGCCTCCTATTGGTCCACTTTCGAGTGGAAAGGAAATGTTGACACCTGAGTGGAACTCTCCCCTTCATCTTTTTCTTCCCCCTACCTTTCTCTTCCCAACAAACAATGGAAATCCTCCCCATCCCCTTTTCCTTCCCCATTCTTTCTCCCACTCTTCTCCCTAATCAAACAGAGCAGAAGTAGATCATACAGTGATTGAAATTATATTTAAAGTAATCAATTAAAGAACATTAGCTGTGTCATACTTTTTGAACTGAGGACTCCTTCAAATAGATATAACTCCACTCAACACAGCATTTTCCAACTATTTGAGATACACTATACGAACCATTTTCCACCATTTACCTCTATCTATAGCCATAAAATCAGTCTCGCATGCTACCATATATTTCCTTACTATATCAACACATGTTAGTTTTGATCTTCCCATTCCACTAGCATTACCCTCAATGTGAATCTCATCTCTCTTCCTCACCGGTGCAATTATTGGTTTTTGTTGCATATAACCAAATCATCTTCATGATTTTCTCCCGTTTCCAATTGGTACTACTGCAACTTTCTAACACATCCATCTCAACATTTGCATCAACACTCATTTTGTGAATACATTCTCTCTCAGCCACAAAACATTTTGTCCCATAACTTATTATTGGTCTTCATGTTCATAGAGTATCTGCACATCAGTGCGTTTGGATTGAACATACTTAAACTTTAAAACAAGGTAACCAGAACTATGGCCTAGCAATAGCTGCGAGGACAAAGGCCATCTCCAATAACACTAACCATCTCCAAACTCGTAGAACCAATTAAACTACCTCTTACAACATCACTGCAAAATTTTACGAGAACAGTATTCAGTTAGACCCAGAAAGAACTTGTCACATGCATCACCAGAAAATGGTAGGGGCCAAGCAATAAACATTTCAAGACACACGGTCCAAGATATGGTACTCTTTCTTTCCCAACCACTAAATTACGTGTCAAATATTTTGTCATGATATCTTTCCTGATATTTTTTTTAAAAGACGAAACATCAAACAAACGGATTAAATTCTAACAGTATGACCAGGGAGAGGAACAAAAGGCAACCACCACAGTGAAATATACATATATTAAAAACTAAAATATATTTACACACACAATAGCAATAGAACTACCATGTGAACCATGTAAGCTACCCTACTTCACCATGTCTTTTCGAAGTGTAATATACCACAACATATCCTTCCGATTCCATGTACCAAAACAATCAGAGTTTAATTCACAATAATAATAATAATAATAATCAATAAATAAATAAATAATCCGCAATTCTCCAGTACCAGAGCTTGAACAGCCCACATCTCTTAATAGGATACAGTAGCATTAAAGTTCAGGTCATGAGAGTCTCAGAAAAGAACAAAGAAAGAAGTTGTCATTAAACTAAATTATTCTGTGCAATTTCAATCACACATATGCAATTAAATTGCGTAACGGAAACTGAGCTATGGTTTATATAAATGGAAGGGTACTAGAAGAGTACAGACTCACGTGCGAACTGTTTCATAGCTATGCAAAGATAGGTTGAGAAGATCATCCATCAAAAGTATCAGATGGTCTGACGGAGGCATATTCCCACTCGTACGGAACAGATGATATGATGATTGTGATGATCTCCACATATTATGCATGTATACTTTGTCAACAAGTGCCCACCTAGGCCTGTGATGATAGAATACATCGTGTAAAATGCCAGGAATTTCCCATTGAACAATACTTGTCTCCTTGTGTGTGAGCAAGAACCTCATCCTTATCGCTGACGTGTCATGATATGATTGGATCATATTATTAAGATTTGGTATCAGTTTAACCCACACAAAAGTAAATTAATCACTTTCAATTTTTTATTTTTTGTTTAACATATCATTAAGGATCCACCCACACAAAAGTGAATTATTTCCTTTCCTTTTTTCTTTTTTTTCCCTTTAGTATATTGTAAAATGACATATGGTCCGATGATATCATGACACAGCAGATGTAAGGAGGAAGTTCCTCCTCATACATTAGGAGGCAAGTATTGTTCTTTCACACATCATTGAATATAACATAAAAGGGGCATCAAGACAATACTTTTTACCTTCTCTTTCCTTTAGAATGAGATGACACAATAAAATTTATTGGAGGTTCAATAATGGCAGCAGATTCCAACTTCCAAGACTGCCTCTGATTTGACCACTCATCATATTCAGAACTTCCTGTATGTCAGGATAAATAAAGAATAATGTAAAACAGAAGTAGCCCCCCAAAAAATACACCTTGAAGAACTCAAAATGGCACCAAAAAATTAATTCATCTAAACGCAGTCGTCATTACCATAGTTCCCTAAAGCATCCATGATACGAATGATAAGTAGCAACAAGATGCTGTTATCAGATTTTTTCTCAAGTAAATATCTGCAATGGCAGCAAAACATAAAGTTGGGTGAAAAAAGTTTCCAGTATTTCAAAAGAAAAAAAAAATATTTATGGAGAAAACTAAATTACTTGCAGGCTGCATGCATAATTTCAGCAGATTTTTCGCGCAGTTCACTGCTGCCAACACTAGAACCTGTTGCTCCAGCTATTAAGAAAGATATATGATTTGGATCTTCAACCATCCCATTCCTAGATGATGGCCTAAAATCAGGCAAGCATGACAAAACACCTTGCAATGAAGAATCCAGACGCAAAAGAGTTACTTTCAACTCTTTATCATCTCCTGGGCAATGAAGTGCATCCAATTGTCAGATCCCGCAGTACTACATAAGAAAATGAAAAATCCATATTCCAGACGCAAAAGAGTCACTTTCAAAGGTTCTTTCTCATTTCCTGGGCAGTGAAGTGCATACCCCATTGTTAGATATCGCAATATTACACAAGGAAATGGAGCAACTTGAATTACTTGGAAGTCTGTATGAACTGTGACGAAATACTAAAAGATCATATCAATAACCAACCTTGGCAACTGCCAGAACTCTTCAACGGTAAGTCTTCAAAAATATCAGATCTCAATCAATAATTCAGTATCAACGATAATGAGATTCTAGAAGGTCCAAAACTTATAAATATTTCAAGGCAGTGTTATCAAAGGCCCAAGGCGCACTAAGGCGCTATAGGTCCTTTGGAGCCTAGGTGCAAGCCGTGAGGCGATGCAAGCACCTGAATGTAGTAAGGCGCACAATTGAAAAATTAAAGTACTTTTAAAGCATATTCAGATTCCATATTAAAGGCGCAAAAGATGTCAAAGGCGCACCTGGGCACACAACAGGCGCAAGTGTTGCGCCTGTAGGAGCCTGGAGCCTAGGTGCACCTTTGACAACACTGTAATCCCAGGACTCATTAAGGACCTAGCTCCACAATATAAGGTATCGGGCAACCTCAATTTAGTGAATCTATCCAATATAGAACCAGAGCTTGCGCCATGAGGAAAATTGTCTAAGAGAAAAGATCTGGGTCTTACCTAAATCAGAATGAATTTTAGTCTCGCAAATTCTCAATAGATCATCTAAAGCTGATTTCAAATGTAGGTCTAAGAGTTCGTTGGCAAATTGAACTTCTTCAACTGTAGGAACATGCCAGTTAGGGCCAATAGATGGTTCATCATCAGAATAATCTTTTGTGCTGATCCACATCTCTAACGAAGTAGCAGCTGGATGACGCAAAATACACCTGGAAACCAGAATTTTAATACATGCATGCATGCATGCTTGAGAAATAATATACTAATGTAAAACCATCTATGAAATTTAGTAAGAGAGAAACATACTTGTACTGGCTGATAGGATAATAAAGAACCAGGCTACCAAGAAGGGATCGGAGAACATGATCACCAGCTCCATTAACCTGTCATAAAACAATCAAGTTCTCAACAAACAAAAAATAAAATTTGCCCCCAAAAACCAATTAAAGTTTCAGAGATCTGTTCAGAAAGCATCCCATTTACACAAGTATGAGTTGTACAGTGAATTATTAGTTATCCAGGAAGCTTAACCATGGACACAAAAAGTACCTTCCAAGATGGGGATTCAAATGCAGACACAATAGCTTCTTTGAATTGATCCCTGTAACGAAGAAGTGCAGGACCTCCATAACTGATGGCAATTGATAATACTTTAAGTTGATAACTGATTGCTGTTTCAAGAGCTGGAGAAATTGTGGATTTTGCCTGGAGGAAGAACAATTGATTTTTGTAACAAGATTGTAGGTGACATAAAATCAATGATAATCATCATTTAAAGGAAAAAGAAAGAAAGAAAAATAAAACCTTGGATGAAGCTGAGGCATCAGAAAATCCTCTTCCTCCAAAACCTGTAGTTGGTGTTCCTTTGAAAGAGGATATGATAGACAACAGGATTGGTTCAATAAGGTGAACAACTGCCTCTTCAGGATTCGAATAAACACATGCACAGCAAAGCAGTCCAACTTCTGCAATAGCCCCAGGAAGAATATTTGTCTTGACAAACTTGGAAATTTTTTTTAGAGCCTGTGAATGAGATGTGAAGTTCAAGAAAATATCTTTTCCAGAAAACTTGAAACATTATAACAGCTGAACTGGGCATTTGAAATTCAAGAACCTAAACCTGGTTATAGAGGGATTTTGAAAGCCTCCCAAACAAGGTTTGCAGCATGCAATAGTAATATGGGCCATCCTCAACCAGAAAAGTTCCTGATGTAACTGATGAATTAAGTCCATCATTCCTGCATCGCCACTAACAAATTATTCCCAGGTAACAATGCACAGAAAAAATAAATAAATAAAAAGAATTTGAATCCATTATAGTAATTAATAATAAATAAAACCGCAAGAAGGTAAATGAGGTAGGAATAAAGTGGTGTCTGTGTATCATTACTTACAGAACACTACTAGGTTCCAAGTGCATAAGTAAGAAAACAGAATTCGGTCCATTTAGTTAATGACATAAAATGGCATGCAAAAAGGCAAAAGCAAAAGGAAAAAATTGGTGTCTGCGTATCATTAGTAATAGAACATTAGTAGGTTCCAAGCTAGAAGTTTAAAAATAAAGGAACTATAGTCCAATAATAATCAATAATAATATAAATTATAAAAGAAAAGGGGGGGGGGGGGGGGGGGGGGGGGTTGGTGGGGGAAGGAAGGCTAGGAAAAAAATTGATGCCTGTAACTATGTATATCATTACTTACAGAACACTAGTAGGTTCCAAGTGTAGAAGTAAAGAAAATAGGCGGCAGAGGAACTCGTCAAGCCATTCAGAAAAGTGGACTGCTGGCATAACAGACAATTCATCCGAATTATCTTCCAGTGTGGCCATCTGCAAAAGTGAAACAAATAAGCAGAACCCTCTTTATATGGATTATGCAAAATGGTATGTTTCTTACAAAATTTAAAGCTCACATTGGAAAATATGGAACCAATCAGTTGCATGGTTGCCAAGGTTTTAGGTGGATCATTGGCATCCATGCCAAGTAATGCATTGGATAATGAAATCATCAGAAGATCAATGAACCCATCAGCAGCAACAACATCATTTGGTTTTATTGAAGATGTTAAGGATGTGAGGAAAAGTGATCGCCCAGCAAATGCTACTGACATTACGGCAGTCTTCAATTGGTGGGTTGCCGTCATCTGAAAAATGGGAAAATAGAAATTAAGGAGATGAAACAAGCACAACGCAAAGAAAAGAACACTATTTGTTAGAAATGCATCCTGCACATTGGACATCTAAGTTGGATTTAACCTGCTATGTTTTGAATGGAAAACCAAATATGATTAAGGGGGGTATTTGGAATGGTGATTTCACAATGACCACTTGTCAATTTTTGTTACATTGTTTTCATCACCCTTGACTTCTTTCAAGGTACTAAGATTAATTTATAGTTTTTTAAAGAAAGAAAACAAAATTTGCTTCAGCTTTCAAGTTGAAGACGGAGTTTTGCTGACACGGGAATGAGTCAGTCATCCATCTACTGGAAGTCATCCTGTTCAACTTCTTCGGACAGGATCTCCTATCTATCATAATTTGTCTCTCTATTTCCAACTTCTCTCTCTCTCTCTATATGTGCACATTTAAAAATATATATATTTAAAAAAATACATTTTTGAAAACCCACAAAATCAAGGTTTTATTCATTTTAGCATGTAATATAAGTTCAAGCAAGATTACTAACCGTCTCCAAGGCCATATAAAATCGAGATGCCAAAAATGGAAGAACCAAAGAGGGTTCCACATACGACAAAATAGAAGTTGCGGCAGCAACTGTTTCAGAAAGATGTTCATTTTTGCTATATTGACCGCGATCAATTAACTTTAGCACACAATTCACAAAAGAAGCCCTTTCTGATGGTCCCAGACAGAGTTCAGCCTGGTTATTGCAATCTTTGTTCCTGCATCAGTAGAATTTTGGCAGTTAAATAAAACAAAATATGACATGCAGACTTCCTTTAACATCATCAAGTTGGTCTGATTCTTACTGTTGCTCATGCTGTAAGCGCTTCTGGAACATAATTACCAAATAGAGCAAAAACCGCTCTAAAGAATAAGTCCACCGACCACCATTTGAGGGATGGTAATATCTACAATGATAACAACAATGAGAACCAATAACTAGAATATAGAAATAACACAAATGCATTGGCAATGAAGTAAACTTAAATGTGAGTAAACAAACTGCTCTAGGAGGTTGACCAATTTCTCAAAGTGTTGCTGTGCTGAACTGGCAGGTTTTAATAGATATACCTGCATTAGCAAAAATAGAATATAACACAACAGGTATCATAGGAACCACCTATAGCAGCATGGATACAACTGAAATTTGTAGGCCTTAGTATATCAATCTTACAATTGACTTTGCAATGGCCTTTGCTGGGGTGACAGATTTATTAGAAAACAAGAACCTCGTATATCTTGGAACATCCACAGAGAAAGGGTATGATCCATTTCCATTTGCCACAGGAACCTGTATTTGCACATTACATGGTGAATTTTATTATGTGGAGGACCTTGAATGGTAAGTGAAAATCAAAAAATATATACACTAAATGTAGAACTAAACTCTAATCACTATTTCCAGTCTCCAGAGACCAGAATACAAGGAAACTATGAAGAAAGAATGCAAGCCACACAACATGAAGTATAAAATGAATAATGACACCACGATAAAATCTCCAGTAAATAATTTACTTATTTTTATCTCAGTTTGAACATCTCAATCCATCCTAGGAGCCAGAAGTTATGATTTCACAAAGATAACAACTTAATTTTATGAATGCTCCGTAATTCTGTTTAATATGGTAGTTAATACCAAGTATATTTCATCTTGTCAAACAATTAAAACCTTTCTACTCTACATAAAAAGAGTAACAGTAGACAGGGAGAGTGAGATGTAAATTCTCAACTATTTCTCATTCTTCTTTGTTTATATTTCTCCATTTCATCTCATCATTTAATATAACCTAATCCCGAAATCCATACCTCTTGCAATATGTATTACTGCTGGTAATATCGGAGCTAAACAATCTAGCAAAAATTATTTGGACATTGGACATAATAACCTTGTGACATCAGCAACTTGATCCTAAAATGTACTTTCCCACTTATAGTTAAAATGTCTAGATGTGTTATCACCCTCCCAGTCACAAAAGATTTGGTTTTCAAGATGCCAGTTTTTCATGCTTTTATCATGGAAGAGTAAAAATCAGAAGCATCTCTCCTTTTTCTTCTTTCCACCACCACTATCTTTCCAACAACAAGAGAGCTCTCCAAAGAAAGGAATTTTTTTTTTCTCTTTAGGAGCTTTTATCCCTATTCAGATTCCAAGGAAAAGGGTGGTATTGCCATATACTCATGAATCAGGGCTGAGATTAGTGAAACCACCTAGTAGAGCTCACAGGACACTGCAGAACTCTTCATCTGTAAATAATGCACTAATGTTCAACCAACTCCTGTCGCTACTTTTGTGGTTGATGATGCTTCATCGCATTTGGTTCATCATCTAGTAGTCAAACAGTACAAAAGCTTCCGTAGGTTTTCAAGGAGGGACTGTACTCAACTATAACCGCTTTGGCTTAAAGTAGCCGTGCTATCTTCATTGTTTCTTCAGTTTTTCGCATACACAGTATGTCCAAGAGTAGAGTCTTCCTTACCAAGAAGAAAATGTCAAGTGTATCTAGAAATTGTTGGGCTTCTACATTTGACCCCTATTAAAATAATAATAATAAATAGAAAATTAAAAGGTAAACACTTTCTAGTGTTGAAATGTGATGAGTAAATTTTACAGCATGCCAAAGCTAAATCCGAATATTGTGTTTGTTGCATGCTTAAAGCTCATTGAATTACTTAATTAATATTTATAGATTCCTAACCATTTGACAACCAAAGAGAAAATTATCAAATACATCTCAGATGAATAGTCTTTTTTTTCTTTTTTCTTCTTTGTAAAAACAATTCCATGATTTTTTTCTCCTTATTTTTTTATCTATCGACAATTTGAAAACTCTTTCTTTGATTTTGTCAATAGATAGAAAAACACAAGGAAAACAAATATTTCTTGGAAAAAAACATACATCTGAGATAAATCCATCGGGCATCCCAAAGGGTTGAATAAAACACTCATTTTAAATACAGATGATTAGGTGACCATAGGAAAAGGTTTTGAATAAAAAAGTAGATACAATATTTGCTTGGGCTATGGGTACTATTGCTTTATGAAAACACTAAAAAAGGTGAATTACATTAATCTGTCCAGAATTTACTTTCCGTGCAGACAAAAATACCAATCAAACAAATCTTGTCATGCACTTACCTCAAACATATTCAAGAATCGATTAAAAAGTGCAGGTAACATACACTCCCAGTCTATGAAGTTGTATTTCTTTATGATGCGAGCTGTAACAGCTGCCCATTGACTGTTCCAGAACTGGCAATTTGGTATTGAATCCCACTGATCTATACAAATTTGAATCCAGTCACTGTAATTGTAGCAAAAGAAAATCAATTGCTTCACTAAGCCATGTCAAAATCTATGAAAAGACAAAGAGTTACAAAGATACTGGACATTCTTACTTTGAAAAGAAGTCCTGATTGTCCATGTTTGTTGGAATAAACAGTCTGACGAACCCAGAACCTTCAAAGGATGAGTTATGCCATGGATTTTCCAGCAAAGATCTGGAAATTAGATCAAATAAAGTAATACAAGAATATTGACCAAATGGATAGAACAAAGCGTCACTGACTTATAAGTACCAATAATTTCCAGAAAATAATTTAAAGGTCTAAGTGGTAGTAAATAATTGCACTCAAAATGCTATCAAAACAGCAAATACCAAACTTGTGTCTATTTAGAGGCTAACAGATTGAAAACAAAGATCAATACAGAAAATACAGCACATATGAAGAATGCTAGTGCTACTACAGAATGTACAACTATTTTTTTTTTTGGATAAGCAAGAAAATTTTATAAAAGCGCTCAAAAAGGGAGCAAAGCCCAGAAGATATACACAAGGCCACAAAGGACCTTTAAGCCTTCAAAGAGGCCAAAAAATCGACAATTTCCTCTAAAGATCAATGATCTATCCCAAAAACCCAACAAAAAAGGGGTGGAAATAATAGAGAATTTAAGAGTAGAAATCGACAACTCCTTCCCATCAAAATATCTCCTATTCCTCTCGAGCCAAATACACCACCACACACAAAGAGGCGTAGCCCTCCAAGCATCCAGAATGTGAGCCCCCACATGGCAACCTCTCCAAGCCTCAATCAACCCTCTAACAGATCCAGGCATAACCCAAAGAATCCCAAACAAGCCAAACATCAAGAATCTTGGAAGTTGCATATAGGTCCTTTCATTCCTGTCATATTTGGTTTCATGAAAATGAGTTGTGCACTCACAAGGTTTTGGAAAATACAGGCCAAAAAAAAAAAGGAAGGAGTGATTATTCAGAGAACTTTGATCTGAAATAGGAGAAGAGTATTTTTCCTCTAACCCACTACATTAGGGTTCTTAAAATATAGAAAATTAAAATAGATAACATATTATTTCTCCTGATTCTGAAAATAATTACAAGCAACATTTTTAAAGAGGAAAGGTTCCTCAACATATAACTGGATTAAAACCACCTAATCTTAATTAAACTAGGTACTTACCAAAAAATAAAGTCCAGCACCGATTATATGATTTTGGCCCACCAAGGGTATTGACTTAATCTACAACTTCTAAAATCCTCTCAATTTTAATGTATCAAACAGTCATATTTAACAGATAAATTTTCATGCTGACCACAATTTAAGGGCCTTCGTAACTTCAAAAGGCTGCCAAAAACTTCATTGCATGGAAAGGATAACCATGCCCCTTGGCATCATGGCTGATAGCACACTCAATAACTTATTGATGGAGCAAAATTCGAATTAAACTGACAATATATGAAAAGGCTATGGCAGTTTCAGTAAAAAAGAATAAAAGAGTCCACACAGCAATCTTATATAATCATAACATACATGATGGGGATGAGAATATATATAAGTATTAATATCCCTTATAAGAAGCTATAGAAACAATTTCCAACTACATAGATAGCAAAGTAAGTTAGCGGGTGCAGCTGTTATCTATTAGCTGCTGTTATCTATTAGCTGATGTTATCTATTAGCTGTTATCTATTAGCTGTTAATGTATTAGCTGTCTATTAGCTGACTTAACTTGAATAGGTCTGTGTATTCTGTATAAATATCCTTGAGATATTTGAAAGAAAGACAATCTTTTCAGCCATTTATCAATTTGGTATCAGAGCAAAAAGAAAGGAATTTCCGCTGCTTTCTTTTCTTTTCTTTTTTTTTCTATTTTAACCTTACTTCTAAAGACCTGCAACAGCCGTCAGCTATCTTCTTTGTGCTGCTGCTGCTTGTCATCAATACCTCTTAGCCATGATCCATGGCAGCCAAAACAACCACTAATTCTCCCTCTCTAACCAAGAATTCATCTGACAGCAAGAAGTCCTCCACAATGACTATTCACGAAACTTCTTCTCTCATTCCTATTAAATTGGATGGTGCTAATTATCGTGTTTGGTCTCAGATTTTGGAGATGCATATTGCTGGTAGACAGAAAAAGGGGTATATCACAGGGAGAAAGGTTGCACCTGCAGAGGATGATCCAAGCTATAATGAATGGGAGGCTGAAGATGCCCTAGTCAAGTCTTGGCTTATCAATTCCATGACGGTTAATCTGATGTCCCACTTTGTGCAATGTGGAACAGCCAGGGAGGTTTGGGATGCAGTAAAGAGAAGCTATCTTGATATCTCTGATTCTTCTCAGGTTTATGAACTGATGAAGAAGTCCTTTCAATTGCGTCAAGATGGTCGGCCTCTTGTAGAGTACTACAATGAGCTGAACTCAATCTTCAAGGAACTTGATTATCGAAGACCAAATGATATGACGTGTGCAACTGATATTGAGAAACAGAGGAAGCATATTTCTGAGGATCGGGTCTATATATTTCTTGCAGGTTTGGATCACAGTTTGGATCAAGTTAGTAGTCGTGTTCTAGCTACGTCTCCTTTACCAAGCCTGGAAGAAGCATATTCTCTAGTTCGTCGTGAAGTACAGAGACAGGTCACCACGGCAATAAAGGATCACTCAGAGGCCTCGGCTCTTGCTGTCCAAAAGAGTTCCCGACCAACTTCTCCTCCTACCGACTCTACTTCTCGTCTCTGCACTCACTGCAATAGTACGAGACATACGGTTGATGTTTGCAGGAAGAAACATGGTTATCCGGAGTGGTTCAAGCTTAAGCAAGATGAACAAGAAATTTGCTCAGGTTGCTATCACCGACACTTCTCTATCTTCTGCTTCTCATGTATCTCGAGTGTCTTCTCAAGGAGGTAATTCTGATTTCGCCTTTATTTCTACTACTTCTAACACTTAGGTTATTGATTCAGGGGCCACTGATCATATGACTAGTAACTCTTCCATACTTGACTCTCTAATACCTTCACCCGTTAAGTCTGTTCAAGTTGCTAACGAGACTCCTATGCCAATTACAGGGGCTGGGAATATCTCACTTTCTCCTACATTCTCCATGTCTTCAGTTTTACTTGCACCTAATCTCTCTAACAGCCTTCTTTCCATTAGCAAAATTACCAAAAATCTTAATTGTTCTGTAACTTTTCATTCTACCCATTGTATGTTTCAGGACAATCTTACGAAGATGACGATTGGCATTGGTAAGGAGAGAGGAGGTCTTTACTACTTGGAGAAGGGGGTAAGGGAGTTAAAATTTGAACCTAGCCGTGGTTTTCAAGTAGAGAAAGAGTCTGACAGAGAGAAGATATTTTTATGGCATTGTCGTTTGGGACATCCATCTTTCTCTTATTTAGAACGTTTATTTCCTAAGTTATTTTGCAATATTTTTACTTCTAGTTTAGGGTGTGAACAATGCATTTATGCTAAAAACCATCGTGTTCCTTTTAAAGTGAGTTTCAATAAAAGTCCTATTCCTTTTTCATGTGTTTACACAGATGTGTGGGGTCCTTTTTCTACTCTTTCTGCTTCGGGCCATAAATACTTTGTATCTTTTATTGACGACTGTACTAGAGTGAGTTGGGTTTATTTGCTAAAATCTAAGAGTGATGTTATACATGTTATTCCTCAGTTTTACGAAATGATTGTCACACAATTTCATATTCAGGTTCAGGTTTTCCATTCTGACAACGGTGGTGAGTATGTGAATCAGTCTCTTCCTGATTTCTTCAAACAACATGGCATCCTCCCCCAGACAACGTGCGCCTACACGCCACAACAAAACGGCATAGCAGAGCGTAAGAATCGTCATCTCTTAGAGGTGGCTCGTACCTTATGCTTTACTATGAATGTTCCTAAGCGTTTCTGGGCGAGGCTGTCATGACTACTATTTTTCTTATCAACCGAATGCCTTCTCGTGTAATTAAATATCAAACTCCATTGAGAATGCTATCCCAATTTCACTCTATTCCTTCTACACTTAATCTTTGTCCTAAGGTTTTTGGTTGTGTGTGTTATGTTCATACACATTCTCTTCATAGGGATAAGCTTGATCCTCGTGCTCTTAAGTGTGTCTTCCTTGGTTACTCTAGTTCACAAAAGGGCTATAAATGTTTTCATCCTCCTACAAGTAAATACTGTGTGTCCATGGATGTTCAATTTTGTGAAAGAAAGTCTTATTTTTCTAGGGATGTATCTCTGATTCCTCTTCAGGGGGAGATTAGTAGTAAGGAAGAGGAACGATTATGGCTGGAAGAAAAGAGGTTGTGGATTTCAGGTAAGGGGGAGGATTCAACTGTTATGAAAAAAGGAGAACCTTTAGATACTCTTGATCATGTGGAGACTGAGTTCGATGAAAAAATAGGTGAAAGACCAGCCCACTTGTTCAAAGAAGTATATGTGAGAAGGAACAAGGATGCCACTGTCATTCCGCCTCCTTCTAACTCTAGTATCCCTCTTGATGATACTACCATGCCATCTGATGAATCTTCTAGGATTAACTCTGAGGTACATGTTTCTTCTCCTTTAACTTCAACTTCAGATATTAATTCTAAGTTTCTAACCCTGTAACTTCTGTGGAGACTGCTGCCTTGAATCCACAAGTTAGTGATCAGGGTAGGAGGTATCCTTTTCGTGATCGTAAAGAACCTAATAGGTTGGGTTTCTCCAAATTTTCTTCTAATGTTGTCTATCCTATCTCTGATTTTGTTTCCTACCACCGTCTGTCTAAGACTCACCTAGCTTTTGCCCTTCAATTGTCTTCTGTGTCTATTCCTAGTCATTTGCAGGATGCCCTTGGAGGTCCTAAGTGGAAGGCTGCTATGGTAGAGGAAATGAAGGCTCTCCAGAAGAACTTTACTTGGGAGTTGGTTGAGTTACCTCAAGAAAAGAAGACAGTGGGATGTAAGTGGGTGTATACAGTGAAGTATAAGTCAGATGGGACAGTTGAAAGGTACAAGGCTAGACTAGTTGCCAAGGGATACACTCAGACTTATGGGATTGATTATCAAGAGACCTTCGCTCCTGTGGCTAAGATGAACACTGTTCGAGTTATACTCTCTCTCGAAGTTAATTTGGACTGGCTATTACAACAGTTTGATGTGAAGAATGCCTTTCTTCATGGTGATTTGATAGAGGAGGTGTACATGGATCCTCCCCCAGGGTTTACACCTGAAGGAGGTAAGGTATGCAAGCTAAAGAAGGCTTTATACAGGTTGAAGCAATCACCAAGAGCATGGTTTGGCAGGTTGAGATACTCAATGAAGAAGTGTGGTTTTAAGCAAGCTTTGGCAGATCACACTCTCTTCTATAAGAGGAATGGTGATGATATTACTTTGCTTATCGTTTATGTGGATGACATGATTGTTACAGGTAGCAACACCAATGAGATAGAGAAGCTTCGGAGCTATTTGGCCAAGGAATTTGAAATGAAGGACTTGGGGGTTCGTCAATACTTTCTGGGCATTGAAGTGTCTCGGTCCAAGCAGGGACTTTTTCTCTCTCAACAAAAGTATACATTAGATCTCTTTGCTGACACTGGTAACTCTGCGTGTGTTCCTATAGACACTTCTATTGAAGTAAATCATTGTTTAGCTATCTATCCTGATCAGATTCCAATAAACAAGGAGAGATATCAGAGACTAGTGGGGAAGTTGATCTATCTGACTCACACTAGGCCTGACTTGTCGTATGCAGTTAGTGTTGTGAGTCAATTCATGCACAATCCGAGTCACCGACACATGAATGCAGTGAATCGTATTTTGGCTTATCCAAAGTCCTCTCCAGGTAAAGGTATTATGTGGTATTATGTTCTCTAGGCATGGACACCTAGACATTGTGGGTTATACAGATTCTGATTTTGCGGGAGCCAAGTTGGATAGGAAGTCTACTTCAGGGTGTGTGTCATTCGTTGGAGGCAATTTGGTGACCTAGAGGAGTAAGAAACAGAATGTGGTATCGTTGTCTAGTGCAGAAGCTGAATACCGTGCTCTTCATCATGCAATTACGGAGCTTACATCGTTGAAGATTCTCTTAAGTGAGCTTGGGTTTGGTCCAAAGAAACCTATATTGATTTTTTGTGATAATACAGCAGCTATTGATATTGCTAATAATCCAGTGTAACACAATCGAACTAAGCATATTGAACTTGACCGAAACTACGTCAAGGATAACCTGGATTCTGGTGTGATAGAGGTTCCTTACATTAAGAGTGCGAACCAGCTGGCTAATATGATAACTCATTGTGTTACTAGTGGTTCGTTTCATACATCACTATCCAAGTTAGGCATGTGAGATATCTATGCACCAACTTGAGGGGGAGAGTTAACGTGTACAACTTTTATCTATTAGCTGTTGTTATCTATTAGCTGTTATCTATTGTTGTTATCTATTAGCTGTTATCTATTCGCTGATGTTATCTATTAGCTATTAATGTATTAGCTGTCAAATTAATTGTATAGTTGACTTACCTTGACTAAGTCTGTGTATTCTGTATAAATATCCTTGAGATATATGAAAGAAAGACAATCTTTTCAGCCATTTATCAATTAAGTATACTCACCGATAACCCCAAGGGGTTGGCTCAAGTGGGTAAGTCACTTGGCCCTAGTGTCTCGGGAAGCATCAGGTCTAAGGTTCGACTCCTCTTGGATGCAAACAATTCCTTGGGAGAGGGGGGGAGAGGGGGTGAGTACCAACTAGGGAAAAAAAAGGTACCCTCACCGACAACAGCACCTTTGATTCAAATTCACAAACATACTTTTGAGTGTGTGTGTGTGTGAATGAACCCAAATAATTGAGAATGCCAAAAAGTGGGACTAAAATATTTACTTCTGTACTGCAAGTATATCGGCTATCATGACTTATGGACTATGAGAACTGCAGGCACCAACTTTTGTCAGGGAAGACCAACTTTGTTATAATGGTATAAGTTCATAAACACTGTAGTCGGCACCCCAAATCCTTCAAGTACTTGTGTAACCACTGCAATTCATATGTACCATGAGTTACAAAGCTAAACTATGATTGTCCACATGTTCTTGCAACAAACAATTGTTATGGATCCTCCTTGATTCACACTAATAAGTATGGTGACCACACTTTATCCTCACTAAGAGATCCTACCAAGACTAGAGCAATATATGCTTCCAGTGTCAACCCAATTTCTGTGAAAATAAGCCTTCTTTTATCAGATGAACTCAAAGTTTATTTTGATTACTAATGTAAGACGAAGAGTGTCCAGTGGATGCATAAACAAACTTACAACACTATCTGTGTGAACATTACTAAAACAAATATAAGAGAGATTTAAATCGTTCTACAATGCCTAGTATCTCAGAATGTTAAAGAGGTCAACAGCACCTCTTTACTTAGTCAATCACCTGGCTGTATTGGTGTAACTATCAGCCTGCAACCAACATAAGTCTCCTCAAGTGATTTCAATACATATCTTTCAGAAAATAAAATAACAACAATAATAATACATATCTTCCTCATGAGATGAAGATGCGCCATTTTAAGTAGACCTAAATTTTGACCTCAAACTCATTACAGAATGACAAATAGATGATGAATAATAGATAACTCATTATATATATATATATAACTGATCTACAAAACTGTCAAAATTAAAGACAGTCTCAGAATATTACCGAAATTCAGACCATATCTCAAAGGCAGAACCTGGTGGGAAGAACCTCCGGCAGGATCGAACAAGGGAAGTAACAGTCTCGAAATGTCGTTGTCTCAATCTCCACCCTTCGGGGCCCGTATCCCTGTAACGGATATACAATTCACATTCACCAGCATATAGCTTTAAGAAATAAGAACTAAAAATGAAGAAAGAAACCCAGGTATATGGAGTAACTATAGTAAATTATCAATATGCTTGGACAGGTCAGAAAAAAACAATTAAACCAGACCGTTCAATATGAACACCAAACTTTAAAAGTCAAAACAATAAAAATAAAAAATAAAATAAAATAAAAAATTTGACGAAGCCAATACCAATAACATCAAGTTAAGAATTCAACATCATAGATTCTCCAAAAGGATTAAAAGTAAATATATCACCAAAATGTTTATCACCATGATATAATTGGCATATAAAAATAAAGCCTACACACATTGCATAAATTACGAGCACGGGCAGAATGATTCATGACAAAAAATGTCCACAATACTTTAATCAAATAATATATACACTACCAATATAGTTATAAAGGAGCAAACATAAGACTCACCTTGTGAAGTGCGTATTGATCAAAGTATCATAGAGAGGCCGCCACTGAACTTTGAAGGACAACTTCTTCCGGTATTTATTCAGTAACTTAATTAGTATGCTTCCCCATCTAACCTAATCAACATAATTACAACTATCATTCAGCCAAAAAAATAGAATAAAATAAAAGGCAAACACATACAGGAAGAAAAATCATTCTGAAATACAATGACCACCTGGGCATAAAGTTTGTTCTGTGCAATACAAAACAATTCTAACCCAACTTCGACAAGGGCAGCCACATCATCCAAAGATATGTCACTTTTTGCCTTTATGAAACTGCAAAATTAATGAACAAACGTGAGATATCACATGTATTGCCAGCTGCATTTTGTGAGAGTGAAAAATGAATCACAGCCTATATTCCACTACAACAACAACAACACAACAGCAGCAAACAAGACTAATTTTCTTCCGTTTAACCAACAAACATATATCATGTCCTTCTATCCTGTTTTTACAACAGGAATGCTTATAGTTATTACGACCAGAGGCAGACCGTAAGAGGGACCAAGGGGAGCCATGCCCCCCCCCCCACCCACACACACAATTTTTTTGATCATTTCACCAAGTGGCCCCTCTTCAAGTATTAAAACACACCAAATTTACATTTGGCCCCCCAAAACTTACATAAACTTGTAATTGATCCCTCCAAATCCACATGATATTTGGTCCATAAAAAATTATATGACATTTAAGTCCATCCAACTATCCATTGCTAGAACCACCATCCAATGCCCACCTGATTATTATTTTCATATTCATAGCAAAATATAATTTATTCATCAAGAAGCAAATAATACAAAGCATCATCAGTGGATTCATCCATTAACCAAAAAGAAAAGTTGCTATCAGTCAAATTATTTGTTTCCCCGCAAAGAGTAACCTTCAAATTAATTAAGTAATACTGTAATATCGTTTAAGACCACTGAATTTAAATTTGGCCTCGTTCCATTTGTGAGAATACTTTTAAAAAGGAACCTCCTCTTTGTTTAGAAAATTGTAAAGTCTGTCCGATATATAGGATGTATGATAGGATTTAATTTTTAATCTATTTTGTACATGTCTATGTAAAAATTGACTTGGATATAATTTTCAATGCTGTTAATGGATTGAAATGTTTTTTGTTTTTTGTTTTTTTTTTTTTTATAAGCAATATTTTCTTAGATTTTTTATCTTTTACATTCAAAATATATGGTAGGATTACTAATGTGAAGAAAAAATATATTACAATTTGACCCCCTAAATAGAACTTCCTCGGTCCGCCCCTGATTACGAAAATTTTAAAGAAAATTTTCTTTTTTCTTTTTCGTCATGCTCATGTCAGTGTTCTACTTTTTAAAAAATTGTTGTATCAGTGTATCAGCACTGTGACTGTGCTTCTTAGGGTGTGATCAAACCTTCTTTTTTTTTTGATAAGTAGGGTGTGATCAAAGCTTTGTAATGCCATTCAATTTCCTATCTGTTTTATTGATCATTTAGCATACATATATATGGTGTGTCCCGATAAACAACCTATGACAAAATTCTGAATGCTGAAAAGTAAACAAAAACTAGTTACTGCTAACAACTACAGTCCAATCTTTTCCATTATATTTCATATAAATTATTTTTATCAATTTTTTACATTTGTGACTAGAGGAATTGGGCTTATATACTTCAACAAAAATAATAATAATAATAAAAATAGCATTTTGCAAAGTAAAGTAAACAAAACTCAGTTACAGCTAACAACTACAGTCCAATCTTTTCCATTATATTTCATATAAATTGTTTTTATCAACTTTTTACATTTGTAACTAGAGTAATTGAGCTTGTAAACTTCAACAAAAAAATAATAATAAAAATAGCATTTTGCAATTGGAAAAAAGTTCCGTTGATGTTACATACTTTACAGAATATAAACAAACTGATAGGCAAATGAGCAAGTGATCGGTCTCAGATAGTAGACAATTGTTTAGTTTCGGCATACATATAGATATAGATACATCATACTAGAAATTTTAAATTGAACTCACAGGTCGATGACAGAGACCCATTTGAGAGTAGAGTAAACCGATTCAGGATCATCCGATCGATAAGACTCCTTCACAGCCCTCACAACTCGAGAGAAGGACTCTTTCTCTCTCTTGGTCTCCTCGGCGACAGGTGGAGGAAGCCAAGCATTATACAGGTGCATTTTGAGTATCTATGCTCTCTGTAAACAATCAAAACCGATTAATGAAAATCCCTATCCCTCTCTTCCAGTATATATAGACACTCTTGTCTGCTGTGTGCTGATTTTTCTTTTCCTTTTCTTTCTGGCCAAGAAAAGGGGAGAGAAAGAAAGAGTATTAATTGGGGCAGATTTAAGGTCGGAGGTTGACTGGTAACCGGTATCGGCGGTGGACGAGCTTTGTCTACTTCGATGACTTTGGGCGACTATGATGAATTGTTAGATATATCATATATATATATGTATATCGACGATATATATAGTTTTCTTGGGGAAAGAGGCGAGTGGAGGGGTCAACCACGTTGGTGGAAAATGAGAACTTTCGGGTTCGTGATGGACCGGGAGGGTCCTTGTCCGTCCACGTGGCTTGAACTCGGCCATTGAATTTCTAATAGCTTTGTTTGCCGTTGGAAAAATTAAATATATACTAATTGGCACCGTTATTTTTGTTTTTTGGGTTAAAAAGTTCGGGCATCTTTGTCAGTGAAAGAGATCTATGATTTTTCCTAGGTATAGTATAAGCTTCGGATCTTTATTCCCAACAAATGTCGTCTGTGTTTTATTTGTGTGTTGTCATTGGTCCACCCTAGTTTTCAAACATGTACATTATTTATATTAAAATACTTATGAAAATCATTCAATTTTAGGCTATTATTGTTTGAAAAGTAAAATATTTTTATTTTTTTAGTATTTGATAAAAAGTTTAGGTCGAAATTAAGATAAAGTTTATTAAACGAAACGTGTAAAATAATTTGTCTAATATTTATAGGTAATTTATTTTTGTCAGACTTTAATAATTTTTTTTTTTCATAAATATTTTACGATAACTCAGTATTAAAAAATAAAAAATATTTTACAATAACTCGGTATTAAAAAATAAAAAATATTTTACATAAAGAATAACCAGCCTTAATTGAAGTATGAATAATAAAGTGAATACTGTCTTGAGATTCAAATATAATTTTTTAAGACATCCCTTGAACTCATTTTATCAATTTATTATATATATAATTCCTTAGCATTCTTTTAATATCGATCAACATCAATTAGTAATTTAGCAGTATTGGTTTCCATTATGCTCAAAATTTTTTTTTGTTTTTTAACTTTATCATCTACTGAGTTAAGACCATCTCTAATGCAAGATATCATTTTTTTTTATGCCAAATCTATATTTTGACATGAGCTATAAGATCATCTCCAATAATGCATTTCATCCAAAATATTTTTTTTTTTACGCAATAATCATTATTTTTCAACTACAATTTTTAACAATCATTTTTTTTTTTTTTTAGTATTTGTATTTTATTTAGTTTATTTGCCTTATTAAAATTAAATAAATAAAAATATTGACATATATATACACACACGCGTGCGCTAGCACAACAGACTTACATATACACACAACAGATATATACATAACTATACACACAACACTAACATATATACATATACACAAGCACAACACCAAATTGGCAACCCATGCGAGGGAGAAGAGAGAAGGAAGAAAGTAATAGCAGATTTGGCAATAGTTATATGTTGTGCTATATTTGGCACAATATTTGACAAAGTTATATTTTGGCAACCCATTTGACATGTCATTAAAGAGTCCATTTTAAATCCACATATTATATTTTTTAAATAACAGTCCAAATAGCAATCCATTGAATTTGCCCTAACAAATTAATTTCAATGTTTACATTTTAACCACCCTGGTTTCATAGATATTTAGTTTGTCACGAGCCAGACATTTTATCAAATAAAGTATGGTTAGCATTTTTTTTTTTTTAACAACCAAACGTTTTGTCAAATAAGGTATAGTTAGCTTATTTGATAAATGTTTTTATCAAATAATATGGTTGGTATATTTGTTTTACTTCTCAATTTTAGAGTTACAAATGAGTCACACGCAAAACATGCGTAAATGATTAAATATATAAAAAAAAATTATTTTTTGCATTTATCATTTTTATTTATCTGTTAATAATTAAGTCTGCAATGGAACCAAATGGGCAATAATACAAACACTCTATCCCAAAAGGTGTTAGAAGGCATGGGTGTTAAAAAAAAAAAAAAAAAAAAAACACTGCAATGGAAATATTTATTTGTTATTATCATTATTTTTTTTTTTGTAATGTTTGACCCTTGAATTTCATTGTATATATATTATTCAATAACCTAGTTTCATTAATTAAAATGATACCTCCAGAATATTGCAAATAATTCGCACATCCGGTCTTGAAAGGAAAAAATATATCACTACGCCCCAAGCTTTAATGGTTACTAACAAATAATATATGCCATGATTTTTATTCTATAATTAAGTTTAGAATATGAAAACCTGATATTGATCTTTGACGTAGCTTAGAGTAAATGGAAATTATTTCGGTAATCAAAATCTATAATGTTTTTTATCCTCTTTGGATGAGTCATATTTCATTTCTTATCCTTCTAGATATGAATAGAAGACGCGAAAGAAAAAATACAAGACTTTATATAAGTTTTAAAATTATAAAACTTTATTTATAATTAACACCCTCTCTTTCATTTGCTTCTAACAAACTAAATAAGATATTTATTTCTTTTATTTTATTTTCCATCTAACTAAAAAAGAGAGGGGATAACACAATTTATTCCCTAAAGATATCTCTTTTTGTATTTTTTTTCTCTTCCTTCAATCCAATGTTCTTCTTTCTTACTAAAAGGAGCATAAAATTTGCCAATAACAACATCCAAAACCATCTATTTTTATATAATTATTTTCGTATATATTTTTTTCTATAACAGTTTTGAAAAATGTTGTCAATAGTTAAATTTTAAACTATGAAGAGTATAGTTTTAGTGGTACTTTCTATGCTTTTAAGTGAAGGACTCGGGATTTAGTTTGTTACATAAGTAATTGTAAGCAACAATGACCTTTCTTGTAGTTTTAAAAATAACATTGTCCATCTGTACTGATTTTCGAAAGTATTAAATGATAATTATATTTATTTATATTTTTATTTACCATCACAACATATGTACACAAATATCTTTTGTAAAATTAGAAGGAAAGTCCTTATCATTTAGGTCTCGTTTGGATGGGATGATTTGAAAATAAAATAAAAGATTGAGAATGATTTGGAGGGATATCTATTGTATGATTTGTATCATTCAAAAAAATGAAAAGATTTGGAGGGAAAAAAAAGTAAGTTAGTAATACTTTCGTAATGTTAAAATTAATCTCCAAAATTATAACATTGAACCACCTCAAAAATTATAAATGGAGGGTATGATAGTAATTCGATGGAGGGTACGATAATAATTCGATGCTATCCTTTCTCTTCTCTCATCTATCTTATAAAAAAAAAAAAAAAAAATACTAACATCAACGTAAATTATTGCTATTATTTCATCTAATGTTATACCTTGGTTTTTTTTTTTTTTTTTTCAAAGTATTCAAAAAGTTATATAGCCCTTTTTTGGCGCAACTCCCCAGTTATTTCCGGTGGGTGAAGAGTTTGAGATTAAAGATTGGGGGAGTTTGAGAGTTGGCAGAAACTCCAGGGGTGTATTTTTAAATTACGCTATTTAGTTTTACCAGCTCACAGACCACAGTTACAGTACCATTGTCTAGCGAGAAGATACATACTACCACGTACGTATTTCTCAATCACTCAATTTAGGGTCCGTGCCTTCGGAGTTTGGACCTTCAAATAAATGCAGCAAGCTCAGATTTGCTCGCTAATTTAGAGAGAGAGAGAGGTGTTCGGTCGCTGTCCAATCTGGCCGGGATCTGACGCCAATTCGCCGGAAAGATGTCTTCCGGCAGGTACATGGCTTACTCACCCTCTCCCTCGACCGCCCCTCACTCTCCTCACATCGGCGGGCTTCGCTCCGCCACCACCGCGATCGTCGAGCAAGAGAAGTATGCTATACTGCTCTCTTCCACAAACCAACTTTTCTCCCCTTACATACATTTACACACACTATAGATCTCGCACAATTCACTTACGATCTTGCACAATTCACTCTATTTTTGAACTGGTTCGATGATTAGGGTTTTGCACCACTTCTATCAATTCGTTTTATTCTATTATGTTTTTTTATAGTATGACTTTGACTGGTTGATTTATTTTGTGTGTATGCATATAGTTTTGATGAATCTGATTTATCTTAGTGGGTTCGGTTCCGTTTGAATGCATAACTAATATCAGTGAGAAGAATTGATGTTCAGTATAACGTGTGTGTTGTAAAGTAGTGATTTTTTAAGATCTAATTCAATTCCTCCCCTGACATAGATCCGAATGATTGTGTTCTAGGGCCGGCTGTATCAAATTCTGGTTTGATATTATTTTCTGGTTGATTATGTAACCTTACTTTTTGTATGGTTGTCTGTAAGAATAAATTTTTATGTAGTGAACTAAGGTCGCTTTGGTTGGTGAGCTTGAACGTCATTTAATTTTGTTTTTGCTCTGCTAGTCATTCATGTTCTGATGTTAAGAATTGTAATTTCCATATATATATTTTTGCTGTTCATTTAGTCTTTGAGGTTGAGATATTGGGCGAGCTGCTTTTAGTGGCTGTGAAAGCAACCAAATTCATCTGGCAATTGCAATTTATTTATTTATTTAATTTTTGCTAGGTATTTTTTTCATTTAGGCACAGTTGGATTTTTAGGGAACATGAATGGCTACATTGCTTTAACATGGAAGTCGATGGTAAATATCAATGCCCAAAAAGATCCACGAAAGAGAATTGTATCAGAACGAGTCTTAAGGAGTTTGAAATCGACACTTCCAATTTGGGTTATTGTTTTTGATGATTGTTTCCATTTGCTGCAATGGCACAGTTTAGGTGATGGAGTTTTATCATCTAATGCTATATTCATCCATAAAGCACAATGAAATCAATGGATATCCACGTGACATCTGAATGAGCCCTTGTTGTTTATTGCATTTGTTATCATCTCACAGTAAGCATTCTCTATGGAAAAGAAAACATTCCTTTAGTTGTATGATTATATTATTGGGTAATTGTGGTAGATTGAATGGGTTTGTTCAAGCATCATCTTTTTTAGAGTATTTTTCTTATTTATTTTATTTATGCTCTTCATTGTTGATGCCGATGCAAGTAATTGTATGAAGTTGTTCCATCTAAAACCAGCTTAAGATGTTTTATTTGATGTGGTTCAAACTCCTGACCTTCCATCACTTCCTATTTTTGTTTTTGTTTTCAGCTTTTCTTTTTTCCTTTAAGTCACAGCCTGATAAAAATTACTTTCATTTACAATCATGATATTTTTTCATGCTTAGGTGTTTGTAGGCATAGTTTCTATTAATAACTGCACAGTGGACTCTAACTAGCTATTATTTTTATAGGTATCTCTCTGAGTTAGTGGCTGAACGTCACAAGCTTAGTCCATTTATGCCTGTACTTCCTCATTGCTATCGGTTGTTGAATCAAGGTGAGTTTGAAGATCTAGACGTGGTTGTACGTGTTATCTAAAAAATTTGGGTAGAAACTTCCAGAAGAAATTCCATTATCTGATACTTTTAGCCATGGGAATTCTGAATGGACAGAAAAAAAAAAAAAAGAAAAAAAAGAAAAAGAAAAGAGGTGACTTAAGGACCTTATGGTGCTTTCTTATAGAGTCAACTAGAAAAACATCGAGATTTTGAACATTCTCATAGGGATCAAAACATTGAGAAATGTAGCATTGAAGATCATTGAAACAATCAAGTCCTTTGCAGATGATTGGTTTCTTGCAAATGTTTACTCATTCGCGTTAGATTAGAAGGAATATTACCTCCCTATTAAACAACACTCCCTGCTGCCAGACTTGTCAACTAGCTCTTCTTTTTTCTATTCACTTGCCTGTGCTCCCTTCCCTAAGTTTAGTTGATTTTCTTGAGCTCATTTGTCATCTCCATCTCTTGAACTTGATCAAGATCTTTAAAGAGTGGCTCTGACATAGTAATTGGTTGAGGAGTTGAAATATCTTCCTTTTAGACTCACTCACTCTACTGATCCAGGAACTAGGGTGGTCTGTGCAACTGCTTCAACTTTCACTCCTTCAGCTGGGGAAAGCAGCTCTGCATGCACTATAATCCCTTGATCGAGGCCAAGTAGTTGGTCAAAGTCTCTATCCATGCCCTACACCATTTGTAGTTCCTTGAGTTAAACTTGACTCTTCGGAGGTTAGTGAGCAGCTTCTTACTAAAGACTAACAAAGACGACAGAATAGTGAGAATTAACTAAAGGAAATAAATCTGGAATGCCATAAGAAACATTTAGAGCTAACAAAAAATTCTCCATTGGTCCTGCTCACAGGAACAAGATCCCTCTTTTCGCCGGCCTCATCCCAATTGCTAGATATATGATTCTCCTCCTCATTTTTAGAATGTGGGAGATTCATTATCCTTTTGAGAGGAAAAAGGTATTCCTCTGACCATGTTTCAAGGTATGACAATATAGTGCTCTTAGAGGACAAGTTCTTTACTAAACTCTTTTCTAGCACACCTGTCATTATTATGTAAACTTTTGGACGTAGTTGTTCAGGCCAAAGCTGGAAATGAGTCAAGAAATGACAAGCAGAAAAAGGGAATGAAAAACAATACAATGCTATCCTTATAATCCTAGGGTTAATGGCCACTTCATCATCATTTGGAATGGATTACCATTCTTTTCAAGAGCTGGACTCATGCTTAAAAATCAAACATATTGCTCTCACTCATCTACAATAATTTCCTTGTCCTCATTCTATGGGGAAGTATACAAGAGGGAAAGAAGCTTTGAATCAAATGACAAGTTTTAAGCAAGAAAGACAAAGAAGAGAGGAGTGGACTTACAGGAAGAATCCTATCTTCTCTCTCTATGGCTGCACAAGGAAGATGAAAATTGAAGAGTCAAGTGAGCAAAGACAAAGATTTAAGGCCATTTTTTTTTCCCAAAAAAAAATGGTAAAGTAATGATCACTTGAGAAACAATTCACGCCCTTCAAATGGTAAATCTTTTCTCTTGGTGGATGGTCTGACTGATCAGAATGGTTGCATGACCACAAGTTGCCAAGGGCGTGACTGGAGACAAAGTGCCAATGATGCCAAAATTCACAGGCTTATTTCCCCTTTTTAGGGCTACATTAGCCCTAAACACGAATAAGTAGGCAATCGTAAAGGGTAAATTTAACGCCATTCAGATTACAACATGTGGCATATGTGTATGGCATGCACTATAGAAACACAAACATTGTAATTGTAAAGGAATCCGTAGTGCATTTATGAACTAGAAAAATAAGCAGCAGATTATGAAGAATTTTTAGGAATTCCTACTTGAGCTTTGCCACATAACGAATATCATCAGGGATAAATCACCAGTTATGCTACCCTCATTGTTTTTGGTCCAGACTGTGCCAGGAAACAGCTCTTTTGAGTTTTGACCTATTTGTATAACCTGATCTGCTGCTTGCTGTAAAAGCTAAGCTAGATGGATATCCTGATTATTCGAGGAAATTGTGCTGATGTAAGAAATGAGTTTTGTGAGTCTAAGACACTTCAAACATAATGATAATTGTTTAAAAGAAAAGGTTAAAGAAAAAACATTTTGGTTTCTTAACAAATTGTTGGGAAGAGATAATTGTTTGCGTTCAATTTTGGTTAAATTAACATCAAAAGTGAGTCTTTGTTTCCGTTCTCTTGTGGATTTGATTTCTTCCATATTCAAAGGTTTTGCAATATCTATTCAACTGCATCAGCTAATGCATCTCAAGAGTTATTAATCCCTCTTATGAACTCATTTTCTTTTATTTGATGCTTGCTTTCTGGGAAGCCTGTGTTAGAGTGAGATCCAGGGAGTCTTTAGAAATAAAAACGGTAGGTCTTGCTTACATCTTGAATTCTTTTTGGTGGGATGATTATGATAAAGCTTAAAATTGAGGCTCTTCTTTATGGTTATAAGATGGCAGAAGAATGGGCATATGTAACCCTGTCATAATATAATTTCCCTCTAATGTTCAAAGGAGGTTGAAATGGTTTGGCTGGTACTTGGAATTCGTTTTCTAGTTAAGGAGCTTCTTGACATATCAAGATCTTTGGCCTGTAGTTTTTGTGGGGTTCCAAGTTTGGCTGGTTCAGATGCTAATTTCCTTGCCAAAAGAACTTCCTCAATAAAGAGGCATATTTTTGGTTGGGATTGATTTGGATACCTGAATAATTTTTTGTTTTCATTGTTCTTTTTCATCATCTTCTATTGTCGTGGAGGAGTCCTCTTGTTCAATTCTTTTCATTAAATTAATTTTTTAATTTGGTTGGGTTTTCAGGCCAATATTGGCTTAATTATAATGTTTATAAATAATGTTCAGCTAGGTATTTGTTACAAAAAATGTTCAATTAGATATGTAATCTTCTATTTTTGCGGGTCGAAACGGGAAACAAGCTCCGTATGCAGAGGTAAGGCTGCGTACATCTAACCCTCCCTTGACCACGCAATGGCGGGGTCTCGTGCATTGCTCATGCCCTTATAAATGAAGTTCAATATAGATGTTTCAAATACTTGGTTGTAATGCATTTAAGATTTTGGTTGCTTTTAATCATCAGTAGTTTAGTTAGATATGCAATTTCCTCGTATAACCTTCTTCTTGCATGGCTTATGCAAAGTGCAAACTAATAATCTGGCAAATTGTTTGTGGATGTGTACGGACCATTTAGTTATAAGCTAAAACAGGATATAACTTGACTACATTTTTTTTTTCATTCGTCCCAGGTGCATTCTTCTGAAAGATTAAGTTCGTTACATCGGGGAACCATTGATTTTAACTGACCCATTAAACAATCAGTGTTGTCTGTCCCATTTTGTGGTGACTGCTAACTAATTTTTTAACAAATGCTAACTGGTACATCTTATTCTTGAAAATTGACATTTTTGGAGCAGAAATATTGCGTGTAACCAATCTGTTGGGGAATGCGTCAGTTTTAGATCAAAGTGGGCTTGAACATGCTAGCCCTCTAGCTTCAGGAGGAATATTTTCAAATGGAGGAGCTAATTTGAACAGATGGGCATCAGCCGCATCACCGATTCAATCAGAAGTACGGATACTAACCATCATTAACATAACTTTTGTTCCATCTAATTTTACTGTTTTCACAAGTATTTCTGACAAAATCTTATTTACCTTTCATGCTAACTTAATTACTCTATTTGAGTGCTTGTATCCTGAAATCCCACTTCTATCGTGACAGGTAGTTTGAGGCTAACATCATCAAGAAACTTACCTAGGTTCATTTTGGTGTCCTTATTCAGATATTCAATTATAATTATATAGTTGGCCAACCTTGTTTGTACGGGATAAAGGCAAGGATGATGAATTATAATTATAAAGTTGTCCCTTGCCGTTGTTTTTTCTAATTGTCAAAAGGATGATACCTAGTACATGACATAATTGTATATTTGAGTACTTTCTGGCCTAGAACTGCATTACTGGCTAAGAGTGGAAGTCCTTAATCTGAGGTATTGAGTGGACTTGTTCAATATCTAGGAAGGTAGAGACAACAGGAAGACCTGTTCTTATTGTGTATTATTGCTGACTCTTTAATCTAAAAGTAGTGTTATATATTTTATTGTTGACTCTTCAATCTAATAAGTAGTGTTATTTAATTCTTGCAACCGCAGGAGACTTATTGGGAAAAACGGTTTCATTAGTTTCGGTTACTAAGTAACCGTCTTAATTTATCATGGGTTGAAATGGCTGTTAAAGATGCTTTTGTGTGATGCAAGACAACCTTATGACTCTTTTTAGTAGTTGTAAAGTGGATTGAACATTTTGGTTTCAGTGCTCTGGTTTCAGATCAATAGGAGCCCAATAACCTGAAGGTCTTCTACAATTATTCAAATTTTTTGGCATATGTTTCTAGTGTTCTATTGCTATATTTGTTGAGGTGCTCTTATTTAATTATGTGGTTCTCTTGTATTTATGCATTTACTTGTTCAGCTGCTCTAAGGTATTCTTTTTTTCTTTTTAAACCTTGGAGATGTCTGCCTCTGTGCCGCATAAAGATCTGTTCTTTCTTTTTAATAATGTTTGAAAATTTACTGTGCAGATGTCAGGTCTCTTACAGCCTTCATCTGCACAAAACTGGCTTAGTTCTCAAGGTAGCTCATCTGGTCTCATAGTGAAGAGAACGATCAGGGTGGATATTCCTGTTGACCACTATCCCAATGTATGAATTATTTTCTTGCTCCAGTGTCCTTTTTGATGTTGTAGTTCTTCTGAATTTGATGTTGAACTTCCTGTTGCCAACTTCTTGTTGCAGTACAATTTTGTTGGACGCCTCCTTGGCCCTAGAGGGAACTCTCTCAAGCGAGTGGAAGCAAGTACTGACTGCCGTGTTTTGATCAGAGGACGTGGTTGCATCAAAGATCCTGCTAAAGTAATAATAATGAGTATTTTTTCGATATTGCTGATTCTACACAATGGCATGTTTTCTTTGGTGCTACCATATTTATACATGAAAGACCAAGTAAAAGAAAATTGAAGAAACCATTATTTTTGCATTCTGGTAGCAAACTTTTTTTCTCTTTCAAAATGAAGGACCTTTCAGACAGGAAGATTTGAATGCTCTCTGTTGTACCTTTTGATCATATCAACCAAGGATTTTTTTATTTTTTATTTTTATTTTTTTTAATGATAATGAGCCAGGATATATTCAGTGTTTTCAACTTCTTTGGACCTTGATCAAAACAAACATTTGGATCAGGAAAAGTCTACATGTAGCTCGGTCAACTATTCTGCTTTAACTTCACAATTTCACATTGGATGCTGAATCATATTATAGATTCTCAATACCTTGTCAGACGATTAATTAATTTAAATATTCAGCAACTTTATATTGGTAAGAAAGAGCTATGATAATTACTCAGGGTTTAAAAAACTTATTTGGACTAATAGCCAACCGCTTGATTTGGTTTGGTTTATGCAGGGTGCTGGGACCTCAAACAGAAAAGTACAATTTTCATCCACAAAAATTATATATGTAGTTGCTATCCTTCCAATCCGACTTCTAATTAGATGATTTAGTAACTTTATAAATTCTTAGTACCTAGTCAGATCTTGACATTATAACAGTCATGCAACCGTATGTTGATGGGTATTACGTTTTCCCTTTTTGAATGCTTTCTTCCTGTTAAAAGCCTTTAGCAGATTAGCCTAGAGAATATAGAACTGCATTAAATGATACTTAGAAGTAGGGGAAACATTGAGATAAATTTTTGACACGGTAGCCAAATTTTGTCAAGTGAAATCACTATATGTAATTATTTCACTGATCAATTCTTCCTGATATCTGCTATGAATGCTTCCTAACTCCATTCTCTACTCTGATGTAAGCTCCAGTTGTATATTCTGTACATGCCATTGGCAACAAGTTTGATTAATCATTTTGAATAGCATTCTTTCTTCAATTTGCGAGTTTCTTCAAAGTTGTTCGTGAACTTACATATCTCTTTCTTTATTATTATTAATGTTTTTTATTTTTCATTTCCCGTGCAATGTCAATATAATTTGTTTATTATTATTTGAAGGAAGAGATGATGAGAGGAAAGCCGGGGTATGAGCATCTGAATGAACCTCTCCACATACTTGTCGAGGCAGAATTACCAGTTGAGATTATTGATGCTAGGCTAATGCAAGCACGTGAGATTCTTGAAGATCTGCTCAAGCCCATGGTAACTTTCTTCCCCCTCCCTAATGGCCTAAATAATTCATCTTGAAGACCTTCGTCTTTATTGCAGTCCTTGCCCATATTTGCTGGGAATGCTAATTGATGTATTAATATTCTTCCATCATGCAGGATGAATCTCAGGATTTCTATAAGAAACATCAACTACGGGAGCTCGCATTGATTAATGGTACACTTCGTGACGAAGGTTCTCAAATGTCTGGTTCTGTGTCCCCCTTCCACAACAGCCTTGGTATGAAGAGGGCCAAGACGAGGGGGTAGTGGAAATCCTCATTTGTGCGCTTTTGGAACTTGTCCGTTAGTCTCTTAAGGCGGTGCTGTGCAGCCAATGCCTCCAACTGCCATCGGGGCACTGGCTTTGAAATGTGCCAGTTCTAATTTGTTTGCGTGTGATATGAAGTGTTATTTATCTTTCTATTTGGGGGAGGTTTAATTGACAGTGTCCATGTTGCTTTAGGCAGTTTGGGTAGAACATTCTCTCTCCCAGACTGTCGTTTATCCTAAGCTTGTGATGATGGCTTTGTTACAGGGGAGATTTCTGTGAGAATTAAGGTATGGTTTGTATACTGAAAGTGAGGCAAACAATGTCTGCCTTGTGCATATTGTTTAGGTCAAGTGTTATGTTACTAGTAGTAGCATAGGTGGTATTGAAGATTTGTTGAACTCATTCTTTCTCGGTGGTTCTTTAGTGAAATGGTACTATGTTCTCCAGTTGTTCTGTTCTGGGTTATAACTCTTACTGAGTTTATTTTAATCTGCTGAAACTATCGTCAGGATTATCCGCATTGAGCACAAAAAATATAATTCTAATACATATATAAGCAAACTTCTTCAGAGAGAGAGAGAGAGGGTAAAACAAAGTTGGTTCAGTATTATTGGGTTCTGTGCTACATCCACCATGATGGACAAAACTTTTTTGTTTCTGTTTGGGATCTACTCGCAAGTCCTCATGTTTAACAATTATATACTCGCTTCATTCCAATTTAACGTCATGGAATGTTTTTGTTTCTATTCTTTGGTTTGTTAACTTACTTTAAATGTTTTTGTTTCTATTTTTTTGTTTGGTAACTATTCTTTTCTATTATCTAATAATGGTGATTTCACTAATTCATTTCACTTGTCAACTAAAGGAATTATCATTCTATTCCCACTTTAAAAATAATAATAATAAATGAATGAATAAAAAAAGTATTTTATTCCTATTTTATTTCATTCAACCACACCAAACTAGTCTTAATAATGACACTTATATTGGGACGGAAAGAGTATATATTTTCGATGTCGGTGGTATATTTCATAATCCACCGTAGAACGCATATATATACGTAACAAATACAATTCCTGTCTCACCAGTATGAATAACTGGGCCTGTATTTACTTTTTGTATTAAAGAATAAGATTTTATTATTATTTTTGAATAAGAAAAAAAAAAAAAAAAAAAATGAAGCAATTTTCTCAGCCTTTTGGCTTAGATCAGTGTGGTACTTTAGTCTCTCTATTCCGTTCAACAAAGCAATCTCAAATTTAAGTTCTCAAAATACTGCGCCAAAAAACAAGGAGCCAATTTTGGTAATGAATAATTAAATACAATATGATTGTGAAGTTATTAAGGATAAAAAAGATATTGCATTTATGAAAAAAAATTCAAACTAGGGGGGATATACGGAGTATTTCTATTACGTGGACCTAATTTTTTCTAATATTTTTTAGATTTCAAAGTCCAAATAAATATGTATTAGTGTACAAATTCCCCACTAAAACATTACGAACTAATTTAGGTTAGGTAAAATCTTTAGAATTTTTTTAAGAAAGAAAATAAAGACTACATACAACTAGACTAAAATACAACCATTTCAATTATTAAAGCTCAATGATAAATAATCCATAATACATGTCTTCAAAATTATTTGAAATATTTCAATAACAATAATTTTTCAATAACAATAATTTGTGAAAGGATTACTAACAAATAACACGCCTAATCAAATTTGTACTCACGTGCATGGCATGGACTCACCTCTCACCGCGACTCGGACTCGAGTACACGCCGTGTGGCCAAAACTTTCATATAAAACTGGTTCGGAGTATTTATTTATTACTATAAATTACAACGACACTCGGACTCAAAGAGTAGTTCGAAACCGAAGATCGACAAACCCTAGCGGTATATCTCTTCTTCTGATACATGTTACATACGTGTGTGTGATTTTATGGTTCGGATGTTAATTGATCAGTACTATTCTCTGATTCTGATATAGTTTTTATTAGGGTTAATATCTGTTCGTGATTTTATAATAATTTTTCTCTAATAATTATATTTTTTCATCAACGGATCATTGTGGTGCCTGCGACTGGATTCTGTAGATGTTGTGAGCGAAGATTTTGTGTTTTTTAATTGTTTTTGTTTTTTTTTGGGGATTTAATGGATTCTGTAGATGCTTAAACAGGTTGAGAGCGAGGATTTTGTTTTTTTGTTTTTGTTATTGTTTTTATTTTTATTTTTTTGGGTTTCGTGTTTATCATCTTTTTGGCTCCTTAGGAAGTGTAGTGAAGTAATGGTAAATTTCAATTACTATTTCGGGTCGAGTTTTTCCAGTTCCACAATCCATTGTTACTTTATATATATATATATATATATATTATTCTTAGACATTAGAGAAAACAAAGGTTTATGGTAATTTGTTTTTTTGTTTTTCCCTTTTTGGTGGGGTTGTGTTCCGTGCTTGGTTGCTTGTTTTTCTTCCCTGGAGGAACAGTGCTTGGTTGCATGTTTTTCTAACCTGGAGGAACAGTCTTATTTATAAGGGGTTGTGTAGAATTTTTCTATTCTTTTCATGGCGTTATTGTGCCCCTTTATGTGTGTATCTACATATGTGGGTTGAATCTAATGAATTTTTTCCCCCAAAATAATAAATCCTATGGTTTCGTTATTTTCCTTAAAGAGGTCAACTTGACTAGACCATTGGGCATGGATTTGATTACTTTCGGCAATGAATAAAATATAAATGGAATGGGATGGTTGTTGCGTTACATGGGGTTCTAGCATTGGATTATTATCATTGAGCTTTAATAATTGAGATTTCCTTTTTCATTTTTAGCAATGAATTGGATGTACATAAATTTTCTGTCTCTTTCTTGGAATGTAGATTGTTTCACTAATTATCAAGATTGGAATTTTCATCTTAATGAATTTTGGGATTTTTGCCAGCTTATCCTTGCCTAAACTCGAGAATCTGTGATGGCTTCAAAGAGGATTCAGAAGGAGTTGAAGGACCTGCAGAAAGATCCTCCTGCTTCATGCAGTGCTGGTTTGCTTTGTTTTACCCTATTTCTTTCTTTTATTTCCGCTATCTTTAAATGCTTGTGATGATAGTGTTGCTCACTTAATTTAGTATCTTCTCTACATACAGACAAATATCAGATGGCTTGTGAGAGTGTCACTTACTGGGAAAAAAAAAATGGAAATAAAAGGATTTATTTAAAAATACTATTCCTTGTGCTTGCTGGTATTTAAATAATCTTGCTTCCTTGTACATATGACTCCCATCTTGTCCTTTTAGGGCACGCTCGCCTACATGTGGTTTGCTTCCCCGATTTGTTATTGATTAATCTTTATTAATTAATATATTAAATTATGACTTATAAAATATATTAAATTCTGATACTCTTGATCTTAAAAAACTCTATTTAGTCCAGTGTGATAATATGTGATCCCCTGAACACTTGTTCCAGCCTTTCAGGGTCCGCAATGCTGTTGCTCTAGGGCAGTCTACCTATCAGTTTCATCTAATGATTGAAACGTCAAAACTGCATTATTAGTGTTTCTAATGATCAGTGCTTTTGTAGGATATGAACTTCTAAAGGCTGGGTTCAATGGACATATGGAATTTTGTGAATGAATTTCGTGATATGGACCTGTGGCGGTTTGTTTGGAGTTTTTCTTTTCTTTAAATAAAATGTTTTAACTTACAAGTCATTGAGTGAGAATAGTGATCTCTTATGATGGTTAAATGATTGCTTTACAATGTTCTTAATTTGAATTTAAGAAAATTCCTAATTCTTAATGTGAGGTTCAATGCCCAATATCAGACATTTACAGTGGCGTAACATGTATTCAAGTTGTTAATTGTCTCTAAATGCCTTTAAATTGTTACTAATATTCTTGCTGCCTCAGTTTGGTGTTTTAAACAAGTGAATGTACATAATCGAAGAGGAACAATTTAGTAGGTGTCCTAAAAGAATATTTGACTCAAAAACTAATAGAAGAGGAAATATGGACCTAAAATCAATGCCTTAGTAGTTAGTTCCTTTGTCGTCTTTAACTTTTTAATCCCCCCATGTTGGGAATAATTTATTGTCATTTATCTTCTTGTCCTCTCACTACATTGTTCAATTTGGTGGTTCAAATATTTTTTAATGTCTTCTTTCCACAACAATTCGTAGTGGTACAAATAATAATAGTTATTGCGAGATTGGTTGCCTTTTATAATCTGGGAACCTTGTTGCCACAAAAATTTCTTATTGATTACTGGTTTGGACTTTATTTCTTAATTGCTTTGGGTGCTTAATTCTCTTTGCTTGGGTCCAATCATCATCTGTGTGTCATATATGTATCCATGTGCAGTGTGCACATGTATTGGGTTGTTCAAGCACTACATATATATATGCACACATATATCTTTTTATATTTTGAGTCCTTTCTTCTTGTGATATTTTAAAAGGTTGTTATTGGTTATTTTATTTAGTTTAGTTCGTGGATAGATGGTGGGTTTGTTATATGCACCCTCTGGTCAAATATTTTGAATGCAAGGCCTAAATTGTTGGAGTAAAATATAAAAGCTATTAATGTATCTTGTTTATTTACTGGTTGTGCTAAAAAAATGTCATCCTAGTTTTGGTTTATAACACAAATGTTCTATATTCTATAGGCCCTGTTGGGGAGGACATGTTCCACTGGCAAGCAACGATTATGGGCCCAACTGATAGCCCATTTGCAGGGGGTGTGTTTCTTGTATCTATTCACTTCCCACCGGATTACCCGTTTAAGCCACCAAAGGTAATAACTATTTTATGACATGTCTTAGATGATTTATGTATATATCCTCTCTTTACATGTTTATCTGCCCCTCTTTATACGTCCTTGTGTGTATCTTTTTTTTTATATTACTGTGTGATTACTTATTTTGTGTGTTATGTTCTAACATATTTGAACCATGTGTGGTGCTTCTTTTATCCTTTTTTGACGTTTGTTCTACTTATACTTATTTGTGTTCCCGATTAACTTGTGTCACCATATGGTGATATTGTTTTTGATTGTATGTATTCCCTTGAGCTTCAATAAGTTTGTTGTGTCTATAATATATGAAAGTGTCACTTTCTTAGTGTGAGCACTATACTCCACCTTGCTATGTGTTTCTTACATGGCGGTCCTCTTGGCACACTTCACTTTCTGTTGTGTCATCATTATTGACCACTCACCTCCACCTCGCTACTGTCAATGGCCTGAGTCTCATCCCTGATCCCTCAAGCGTCTCCTCAACATAGAGATATGAAAAACATCATGAACTGCTGATAAACTAGAAGACAAAGCCAATCTATATGCCACTTCTCCAATCCTTTTCGTGATATCAAAAGGTCCTATAAACCGACAAGCCAACTTCCCTTTTGTTCCACCAAATCTTACAAGTCCCTTCGCAGAGGAGACTTTCAAGAACACCAAATCTCCCACACTAAACTCCCTTTGTAGGTGGGTTTAAATTCACAGTGAACTTGTAGAAATCAAGAATAGTACAATAACTCATAGGTGAGTTATGCCTTGATGTTACATCTATTGAGACACCTATTTGCGTTGTGGATTGTATGGTGGAACGGTTAAGGCGAATGGAGATGCCTTTAGTGAAGGTGTAGTGGAATCATCATGATGAGAGGGAGGCTACATAGTAGTTGAAGAGTCAAAGATGATGGAAAAGTACCAACGGCTCTTCGAATAAGGTATGCAAATTTGATTATCGCAAATAGTGACCCTTGGTAAGATGTCTTTGGATCTTGAGGACCTGATCAAATAAGTATTGAAGATTGTAAAATGAAGAAGTCTATTAAGTTTCTCCTATCCAGATGGATAGGTAATAATGCACCCTGAATTCCTGAAAAGATCCTTGATTAAGCTAAAGGCTATATCAGAATTAGCACATCAGTTGACATTCCTATGTTAATTCAGTCCTTTGCTTGTTGAGAAAGACACGTTGTCAACCACGAGACCTCGTACGCTTTGTGTTTGATAATGTGCGATAATTTTCTTAATCTTCATAATTTAGATGTTAGAAATAAGACCATTTCTAAGAGAAAACAAGTTGATTAAGTGGTAATCATTTTGGTTATTGAATTTTTTGATTCTAATGTTGCATGCTTTGAACTTCAAAGAATGGATAATTTTTTTTGCTCCACATATAATTTTTTGTTTTTGCTAGGCATAAAGCAGATGCCCAGAGAGGCTTGTAGTCTCTACCCCCCTCCCCTTTACTGGTCATTTCCCGAACTAAATAAAAGAAAAGGAAGGTGCGGTATGCCGAATATTCAAGCAGGGAGAAATAGTCTTTGTTAGTTATACCACATTAATTAAAGTTTACTATTACAATTTGGGCCAGTTTACTAACGCTTTTACTTTCTTATTTTTACTTTCTCCAAAAGTAAAATCATACTTTTCATTCCTTGAGTCGAAATAGAAAGTAAAATGATGTTTAATAAGAAGATTTTATTTTTAATATTTTAAAAGCAAAAACAGAAAGGAAGTTTAATAATTTTGATTTTAATTTTGTTTCCCTGCTATCTTTCTCTATCTAATTTTTTTTTTTTAAATTTTTTATCTGGGTTTGATTATGATGAGTGGAGATTTTAGCAATAGTGATAAATCAGAACATCAGAAAAATTGGTGTGAACCAACCAATTGGCAGATTCATTACTCTGGTTGATTCCTCCGCTTCTATTGTGCCTCCTTTGTTTGCAATCAAAGACACAATGGTTTCGAACCCTGTAACTCTTTCCCGTAAAGCTCTACCCTTGTTCAGGGTTTTGGGATTCTCTCGCACACCTTTTTCACATTTTGCTAACCAGACCAAAATCCCCACAAATCCACTTCAGATAAGTGGTTTCAAGAGTTCTTCAACCAATTAAGACTAAATCCAAGGAAATATGTGAACAAAGGGAAGATAAAGAGAAATTGCTATTGGAGAGGAAAAACAAACAAAAGGAAAAAAAAGAAAGGCTACGAAAGGGAAAAAAAAGAAAGGCTGCCTTAGCTTCTGAGATTGGCGCTTGCTCTTGTCCTGATTCGGTTTTTTTTTTTTTTTGATTACCTTATTCTTCTTGGGCGGTGACAAGTGGTTGAACAACAGTGAGCTTTACGAATTCGTCGGGAAAGGACGTGTGTTTTTCTGAGATTGGAGCTTGCTCTTGTCCTGATTCGGGTTTTTTTTTTTTTTTTTTGATTACCTTATTCTTCTTGGGCTGTGACAAGTGGTTGAACAGCAGTGAGCTTTACGAATTGGTCGGGAAAGGACGTGAAAACACAGCTTGTCGCCGATGATGGAGAGTCGACTTTGCCTTTCTCTGATTCGCCTTTATGTGACTGGTTCAAGTTAATTTGGATATATTATTGATGGGTATGAGAGAGGAGAGAGATGGTGGTGGCGGTGGCCATGGTTAGGAGGAGGTGGGTGGAGGCAATGGTGGCGGCGGTGGCCATGGTGGGGGGAGGCAGCATGGAGCAATTGGTGATGCTAATTTTTGAGTTTTACAGTAGAGAAAGTACTTCTTGTAAACAGTGTAGAAAGTAGAGAAAGTAACAAATCCTCACTTTCTCTTTCCTTCATTAAATATGAAAGTACTTTCTAAAAGGCGAAAAGTAAAACTATATTAGTAAACATAATTTTCACTTTTACTTCACAATTTTAGGAATTGACACTAAAAATCAGAAAGTAAAAGCGTTAGTAAACAGGCCCTTTGTGTACCCTGATCATGGTATTTAGTTCCATTACTTAGCCAAGTTAAATATGCAACATGGTTAGGCCGCCTTTTTTTTTTTTCTTTTTTCTTTTTTCTTTTTTTGTTCTTCTGTTTTGGTGTTTTCTTAGCAATTTCCCCCCATAAGTCACAAGTATTTACTAGTGGAATCTACCGAGTCTTGTGGTGGGTAATTATTATAACCTTGACTTGATAGCTAATAGTTTTGTGGCTTGACTGACACAGGAAAAAATTCTATTCATGTATAGTCTACTTTAAGTAGTTGAGAACAACTACCAATTCTTTATAAATATAATAATGCTAATAATTAACTGACTTTTGGAGCAACCAACTTGATGTTGGATGACTAATAACTTTGTTGATTAATATTTAGTATTTGTTAAAGGACCCGTGATATTAATTATTACAGAATGGAAACACACAGAGAAATGTGAGACTTACAATGAACATGCATTTGCTGATGGTATATGTATTTACCCAAAAGGGAATATGAATATGGCATTTGTTGACCATGTATCTGGCAGGTTTCTTTCCGCACCAGAGTTTATCACCCTAACATTAACAGCAATGGTAGCATTTGCCTCGACATTCTTAAAGAGCAGTGGAGCCCTGCCCTTACCATATCTAAGGTAATGTATAACTATCCACTTGTTTATGTGCTCGTATAGATACATTTGTTCTATAGTGTTGTATGGTGATTTATTTTTAGGTTATTGTTAGCATTATTTATACATGCAGGCTGGCCCAATCACTAGGCAATTTAAGCAATTGCGAGTGTCTCACATGGAAAATGCACAAGCAGATCTCATGTTTGTCACATTGTAGTTTTTCTTATTATTTACTATTCTTCCAATTGCTTAAAAATGTTGAATTTGAAGAAAACTCTTTCCCATTCTTAAATTATATTGAAGAAAAAATTCCAATAGGTTCTCTTTCCTCAATGCTTTTCATCCCATTGTAGATTTTCTTCATATTTGCTGTTACCTTTTCTTGTTAGGAATATTTGCACTCCTTTCTTTTATTCTTGCACTCTACTTGGTTTTTGAATAAAAGAAATGACAGTTACTTTTGACAACCTTTTGTGATGCTTATTGAGTGTGAGAATCGTTTGAATGACAATTTTGGAGTGTGGAGTCTTCTCTACATTTTTCTCGCAATCTTTATGGGTGTTGCCAAAACCATAGTATATCATTCCTCTAATTGTACGACACATGAAAGTTCTGCATTTTAAATTTTTTTCCAGAACTATCAGAGCCCAACTTAGACATAAAGCCCAACTTACCCCCCCTCTTTCTTCCCTTCCTACCAGTCTTGAACCCTTGACATGGGACTTGAGAGTTAACTAGATAAGATCCAAAGTCACCAAGACACAGGTAGACCAGTATCTCATTCCTTTTTCATGATGCCTGGAAGTTTTTCGTTTGATTATTATTATTATTATTATTATTATTTTTATAAACAACTACAAATGCCAACCAGGAAAATTTAGACATAGTTAAAAAAATAAGAGGCCAATGGCAATGCTGTAGCTGATTACCTGGCAGCAACAACATTTCATAACCGAATTTTTTTAAACATAAACCCAAACCAAGCCATTGAGCAATATCTGCTGCTACTAGTGACGGCCTTTAAGGTTTGGGGTTGTTTTGTTGGAAATTTGGTCAGAGTTTTGAAATTTCACTACCGAGGCCTCTTGAGTTGTTTTTGGCCAGCCTTGTATTGTGTACATGGTAATCATCTTGGTTTATGAGCATCATTTGTATGTTTACAGTATAAGTGAGTTTGATCTTTCATTGAAAAATTAGAACAGCTGTGTTGTATAGGTGTTTGATTCCAGGGAATATGTTTAATCTGTAACCGATATAGTAAAAATAATGATTACACTGTTGGTTTGCAGGTGTTGTTGTCAATATGCTCGCTGCTGACAGATCCAAACCCAGACGATCCTCTGGTGCCAGAGATTGCTCATATGTACAAGACTGACAGAGCCAAGTACGAGACTACTGCTCGATCCTGGACCCAGAAGTATGCCATGGGATAAGAGTGCTTAATTCATCTCTCGTCATCCTATATCCAACTTGTCCTAGTAGTAAATAAATAGAAAAAATGAACACACACCCTAAATATTTAAGAACTCTGGTCATTTTATTTCGTCTCTCCTTGTGTGTTGGGGAGTTAATATATAGTTTCCTGTTAAAACCGAGTTTATATATATATGATATGATATGATATGCTTTGCCTCAATCCCCCCTCTCTCACTCATGGTTAGTAGTATATTGTTGATGGCTCAGATTATAGTGTCCTACACTTCGGAATTGGATTGTGTATATTATGTGTTTCCTGTTTTATATTCAAGGCTAGAAAATGGTCTCTTGTTAAAAAAAAAAAAAAAAAATTGTGTACATCTTTTGTCAATTTAAACCAGTGTTTTTCAGTGTTTGACAAGGGTCTAGTCCCAAACGGAGCCTTAATTCATAATTATATAATAAAATTAACTGACAATTTCTTAGCATAAGATCTTATTGGTCATAGATAATTTAATTACAACTTTGTGGAACACAACTCTCCAGGGTCCACTTGCACTATGCCACGTGGCTCCCCATAAACTCTGTATATGTCAGGACAGAGACCACCTTGCTTTCTTCTTCTTTCTTTTTACCTATCTACCGGAAAAAAAAAAGGTATCTTTTCATTTTGGTGAAACATTAGTACTTATATTTTATTCTTTGTTGGTGTGCCTTTTGATTGAGTCCACTCGGACACTAGTGGGTTCAGCTCAATACTCATTTCCACATGCTAGTGCTTCCTTTGTGTCCCATTTTCTAGGGTACAAAAATTGGATTTATTATCCTAAATGATTCGATAGACTTTATTGATTTGTGATGACATAATGTATCTATGGTACTCATTTGCTTTTATATGATGGGCATGCACTATTTCGGAACTAGCTTTTTCACGTACCATAACTTGTGTGTGATGTTCCACGGGAGACTTCTGGTTCCTTTTATCTTTCCCACTTTCCCCACTCAAAATAAGTGGAGCTGCATATTGAAATCAGGCATTTTTTTTTTTTTTTTTCAAAAAGATGGTGTCATGTGTGTTAGGTGGTGGTTGTCCACTATTTTGAGTTTAAGCTTTTGGTTTGAATGGCAAGGTTTCGCCTGTTACCATGGCCTTACAAAGACTTGGCTTATGACTTGAAAGTCAAAATATAAATATGTAAATCCTTGTGGCTATTAGAGGTTTGTCTCACATTGGATGAAATTATAAGTAATGAGAATTTGAACAAGAGCGTGCGCGAAGCGTGAGAGCAAGAACGTAATCGAAACATGAGAACGCACAAAAGAATAACGCTTATAAAGAAGGACCGTGAGACTTAAAATTTAACGGCATAAAATATCTATTCTTATAATTCAAATTCAAATCCTATACTTGACCGTCTCAAAACAGTTTGGGACCGTTTATTCACATTATTAACTGATCACAAAAGTAAACTTTGAGAACCCCACCCAAAACCCTTTTGACCTTATGTGGTTTAGGTCAGACTCTAGTTCTTCCCGTCTTAGCTAGCGAGCTTTAACTCGAGTAGTTATGATCCAAGTGTTTTCGTACAAAAACTACTGACCAACAAACTCTTGTAACACGTGGATGCTACTCCGACCTTATTGGATTAAAAACGCCAACATTTTAAAAATAGGCAGCCCAACTGTGCTAAAAAATCACACACCTGTCTCTGTCGTGTCACCAATAGCCAACCGTGGTTAACAATTTTCTCCTTTATATATATATATATATATATATATATATGCATATACTAGCAGATATAATATATATTTCTTTTTTCTGAGGGATTATGAACACTAAAAAAACGAAAAGAAGAAGTTAATATTAATATTGGTAAGTCGTTGCATATAGACGATATATAACTATACATAGCTTTTCTTTTTTTCATTTCATTTTTGCAATCACAAATAGGATATTATATTTAAGCACTTCAGTTTTTTTTTTTTTTTTTAAAATATCAAAAGCGAAATATACGAATAATTATTGTAGAGCATGCGATATTTTCGAAAGACAATCTTGTCATACTGTAAATTTATTAGGTATATCCTTTTATATTCTATCTGCAAACAATCACGTCATTGCATTTTATTTAAAAAAAAAAAAAAAAAAAAAAAAAAAAAAAAAGGAGGAAAAGGAACACGTAACTAACGGTGACGAATAAAGCAAAGCAACGGGGGCGCTGGAACTTTCAGAAATTTGTTGAGTAAGAGAGAGAAAGAGAGAAGAGGAGAGAGAAAGAAAGAAAACTAAATATCCATACAGGCATCACATCTTCCTCTGCCTCCACCTCCACCTCCTCCATTCCAGCTAATTTTCTCGAGAAAATTTTATCGGACAAATTGAATCTCGAAATATCTATTTACATACTTTGCTTTTAGCTACAAATATCAACGGATTAATAGTTTTCCTGATTGCGGGGCCAGCTTTCTTATTAGGTTTTCGGGGAAGGTTCGTCACTTTTCTTGATTGTATGTATGGCTTAAAATTTTCAATGGCTATATTCTTTTCTATATATTTATACACACTTCTGTATAATTTGATTTTGTATACTCGTATATAAACCTACTCAGTTTATTCAACAACAAATAATTGTTTTTTCGTTGAAGAAAATGTGAGATCTGACGGATTTTTAGTTGGCATTGTTGAAATTTATTGCCATCTCATTTATTGGAGCGTTAATGTTGTATAGAAACTGAGAAGTGGTGGTTCATATTCTCAGAATTTTATCTGCTTTTCTAGTTTCCATAATAGTTTAAGAGCTCTTTTTGTGATGGTTCTCGCAGATTTCATCTGAATTTGAGTTGTTTTACTCCGTTTCTTTTATATATTTATTTTTTAAAAGTATTTGATTATGATCATCAGCTAAATTGCATAAATTGAATCATTTCAAACCTTTGACAATTTAATGAGTAGGCCATGACATACAAAATGGAAAAAATAAGTATGAAATATGGTGAAGAATATGCAATTGCAATATGCATTATCATTGACAGAGGTAGAAAGTAAAGCAATATTTCTAGTTGTAAACCTTCTATTGTTTTTGGATGTTCCAATTATTTGGAATGCCAGTTACAGAGAGAGCGGAAGTAAAAATTTAATCTTTCTTGGGAAGTTTTGATTTTTCTTTAGAATTTGTGGACACTATTGAGAATTGAGCAGTGATGGTTCATATACTCAGATTTTATACCTGGGCTGCTGGACTGGCTAAGGTTGATCAGAATGAAGTTGTAAAAGGATTACTCTTTTTTATAACAACAGTGAAACTGTCTATCACTGAAGTTGCCACTGGCTAAGTTTCATCATGTTGAGAATCTGTTTTTTCTTTTTTCAATTTGAGTTTAGTTATATATGCATATCGCATTATATGATTTACATTTTCTTTTGGCTAATTATTAGTCATTTTTTAATTTTGATGGTGCAGAGCAACATGAATTTTGATGAGTTTGCTGCTGGGAATATGTTTTTTTCCTCTGACGCTTAATTTTCAGTCTCTTCCTTTTGCGCCTGACTAAAATGTCAGGTATGTGCACAACTTATATAATTTTAGAGTATGAGTGTCTTTCTATAATCTGCTAAATTGTAATGTCATGTCTTTAATTACCAAAGTGAGCATAACTGTTTTCCATCTCATTTGAGATATTTTAGGCCCGGAAGGACTGGGGACTCGTGATGAAGTAAGAGAAAGGAGATCAGATTTTGAGAACTCTGAAGATGAAAAACGGCAATCTAAAATTGGGGGTCTAAAAAAGAAGGCCATAAATGCATCAAATAAGTTCACTCATTCTTTCAAGAAAAGAGGGAAAAGAAAAATTGATTACAGGGTTCCTTCAGTTTCCATAGAGGATGTACGTGATGTAAAAGAGGAGAGTGCTGTCAAAGAATTGCGGCAAAATCTCCTTGACAGAAATTTGTTGCCACCTAGACATGATGACTATCATACTTTGTTGAGGTCAGTCAAATTTTTAATGTATATAAAATCATGACATCTTTTGAGCTCCATGCACAAAATCACTGGTTTTTCGGCAGTATTAACTTCTTAATTTTTCTGGACAGAGTTAAATTTTTTTTTTGTTTTTTTTTCCCTTAACAAGTGAAGTGCATTCATTTTAATTGGCTAATTTTTTATTACCTTGGCAAGAAACTCACATGCCCACTAAGCCTCTATGAGGACTTGGACCCTTGCCCTTCACTTTGGAAGGCGAGGAGGTACCACTAGGCGATACAACCTTTGGTTTTAATTGGCTAATTCAAATGCTTCAGTTAGGCATCTGGGTGTTTTACAAATGAGTAAATTGTTGAGTTTCATTATGTCATTTATTTAATACTCAATAAGTACACTTGCTTTTCTTGACACATGCAAAATAAGAGTACTTAAAAGAGTGTAATGAATGACCCCTTAATTTTATGATGTTGGTGATACTAACACAATCTTGGAGCAACTTGTATATTGAAACGATATGTAAGATAGTGTAATGATTCAACTTATGGAATAAATTGAACTAATAAGTGACTTGTAAAAAAAATAAGTAAAATTGTTAACATCGAAGAGTTACTTGATATGGTTGTTTATGAACCAGCGCAGTAGGCCAGGTGGTATTTGAATGGTCTCTCAAGTTTGATATCAGGTTCTTAAGTCCCCTTGTTGCCTAGCCAAAATAATACGGTTGTTTATATGTGAGATTGTATGTAATGTGGTGGTATTTGGATTTTTGGCTAGTTTGCCCAAGTCTAGTGACTCTATGATGAAGAACTGGGCTTGGCCCGAGAGCTTAAAGACCACATAGCTTTATTTATTATTATCATGGGATATTTCAGCAATTTCGGGTTTTACTTATGGTAATAAGTTGATTAGGGGTTACCAATGGGCTAGTGGCCTAGCGGTACCAGTCTCTTACTTTCTAGAGGAAAAATTAAAAAAATGTTGATTAGGGGTTTTCTTTGATGCCTATTTATATGCTGGTTCAGACATTGTGAAAGTAGCTTTTGATATTGATTATTATTATTATTCAGAAATTATTGTGATTTCTTCTCCCTCAATTCTGATTTCTCCCTCTGTTATTCTTCTCGTCTCTCTCATTCTGATTTCCTCCCCTATTATTCTTATTCTATTTCTCTCTCAATCTCTATCTTAACCCCTTTCTTATTTACTTGAATTTTTTGCTCGAATCGCCCCTACCCGCTGTTGTATCACTCTAATTATTTGGTAACCGCTGTCATTGATTTAATCCCTATTTCTTCATGTCTCTTTATGTAGATTCTTGAAAGCTAGAGATAATAACATCGAAAAAACGATTCAGATGTGGGAAGAAATGCTTAACTGGAGGAAAGAGTATGGAACGGACACTATACTAGAGGTAATAACATTAATACACCCCCTAACTTTATACTTTCAAGTGTGAATCTTTCCACTTCAAAGCCCAATTGCCTTTGAGCATGGAGTTAAAGGTAAAAATGCCAATTAATCTTTCTTCATATGCTGTAGATTATTGTTTATTGTAGAACGCTTCAGTATAGTTGTACGAGTTTCCGTTATCCCTTCTTTATAATAAGTTCAAACAGTAGAATGGCTGGATGCTAGACTTCACCTCGCATCCTTTATCCCTTCTTTATAGCAGTTCAAACAGTAGCATGTGTGGATACTAGACTTCACCTCACCACGTGTCTGCCAGAAATTCATTCACGTAGAACATTCAACTTTACCATGTGTTGTCAATAAGACAATTTATATGGCATATTCTACTTGTCACCCTTTCGAATGACACGGCTAACACGTGTATATATCTTTACCGAATGCATGATTCTCGAGATTTGCACCACATGCCAAATCTCCATCGTGTGATCAACCTTCAGTAATGTTTATCAGTCACTTAGTCAGTGCATGCAGTGCCTTGACCTTGGACCTTGACACATGGACAAGAAAGGGGTTTCCCCACTTAAAATTTTGACAATGATTGAAGCCATCTTCAAAAGCATGCAATCTTTCATTGGCAAGCAGTTGGTTTTGCTATGTCCTTAATTGGTTTCTGTTATCACTACCATGTCCTATTAAAGCTCTCTTAGTGCGCATTCACCCTCACCCGAAACTGATGTTTGTGCTTGTCTAGGTCTTGAGAGAGATGTGCCACATGCCCTTTGATACACACGTCTGCCAAAGGTCGCTCAGCATCGTAGATTTTGCCTACGAATACTCTCCTATGACCTTTGAAACATCTTGATTTAAGCACGTCATTTTAACACATTCGCTTGCTATTGCCAATTGTCCCCTACACTCTTGCATCCTATAAATAGGATTTTCTACTTGGAAGAACTTTTAGGAAGATCAGGTTGGAGGGAGGATAGCTGTAATGTCTTGATTCTCCTGATTCTCTTGTGGCTCCATAACAGCCACGGTCTCGTAAGGCACCTGAGTTTGCATCCTAGTTCAGTCTCCTCTACTTCTATCGTCTTAGTATCCACAAGTTGCACTGTTATTATACTCAGTATTTTTAAGTTCTTCAAGCTCTTCTGTGCATCTAATTGCTCTGATCATCTTATAATTAGAAGGCCTATGTATTTGACATTATATCTAACATTTTAGCATTTTTGTGCTTATGACCTTGATTATGTTGAACTAATGAATCTCAGGACTTTGAGTTCAAAGAGTTGGAAGAAGTCTTGCAATATTACCCTCAAGGGTACCATGGAGTTGATAGGGAAGGAAGGCCCGTTTATGTTGAGAGACTTGGAAAAGCTAACCCAAGTAAGCTTATGCGCATCACCACAATAGATCGGTACTTAAGATACCATGTCCAAGAGTTTGAGAGGGCTCTACATGAGAAATTTCCCGCATGTTCAATTGCAGCAAAGAGGCATATCAGTTCAACAACAACAATTTTGGATGTGCAAGGCCTGGTATGTTAATCCTATTATTTAATATCCTTTGCGAAATCAAGTTTGGTATGTTGCTGCAACTTTTGAGTCTTTTAACAAATTTTTTTTTTTTTTTAAGATTTGTTAGGCGATTAGAAATTTTGATTAATTTCTAAAATAAGATACTGTATGACTTATTTGTTCACATGCATCTTTAACTGTTGGAATAATTGTTGGCATTTAATTATCCTGGTTTGTTAACCAATATCTTATTAGGTGTCCAGTAGATTACTCTGTTGTCTGAATTGGGAATAAGCAAGAATTTTGTATTGCTTAATAGTAGAATATTGACAGATTTATTCCTGCATTGATGACTTGGTATTGCCATTGCATCTGTGTAGAAAATTAAGTTGTAATAGACTATATTGTGATAAACAGGGAGTTAAGAATTTCACTAAGACAGCTGCAAGTCTGCTGGCTGCCATGACAAAGATTGACAGCAGTTACTATCCTGAGGTATCTCTTTTCAGTGAAATTCTTTTTTCCCTTGTATTAGCCTATAATTGTTTCACACATTGATCTACAGACGCTACATCAAATGTTCATTGTTAATGCTGGTCCTGGTTTTAAGAAGGTGATTTGGCCTGCTGCACAAAAGTTCCTTGATGCAAAAACTATTGCAAAAATAAAGGTATAGGGCATGCATTTAGGCTTCTGTATCTGCTTATCCATTTGCTGCAGCATTAACTGACTGCACATTCATGTTCTAAATTCGCAGGTGCTGGAACCGAAATCTTTGTGCAAACTACTCGAAACCATTGATTCAGGGTTGGTTTGCTTTTTCTCCTACTTTGTCTTGTTTAATTGTCATGGATAAAAGCTTCTAATTCCTTGACTGTTCTTATTGTCATCAGTCAATTGCCTGATTTCTTAGGTGGCTCATGCCTGTGTGCTACTGAGGGAGGGTGCTTTAGGGCTAATATGGGTCCATGGAATGTTCCTGAAATAATAAAGGTAGGCAGGCATGCTTTGGATTGTAGTAGAATTTGTATCTTATATAATGTATATTGAGCTTGAAATTTAATTTGGATTGTAGTAGAATTTGTATCTTAAATATTGTATATTAAGCTTGAAATTTAATTTGGATTGGTAGTTTGATATTAATGAAGGTAATTCTGAACTGGAGCTGTTTGTCCCATTTCTAGCTTGTACATAATGAAGAAGCAACATTTGGGAGGCACATTACCAGAGTAACTAGTGGTAAACGGAAAATTGACTCTTTTATTCAGATAGGTCCACTGAAGGCAAGTTTCTGGCTTTTGACGTGCCCTATATTGTCATATCTTCTTATATAATATGAAAATTTTTTGCCCTCAGGGGAGGAGTGATGCATCAACAGCAGAATCAGGATCAGATGTTGATGATTCTTGTTCTTCAACTAGACAATGTAGCTTTACATTTCCACAATTGGCATCAGTTAATGAACAAGTGAGTTCTGGAACTGGTGATTCACGTTTTTGGATTAGGGTGTAAGATGTGAATATTCATTACCTTCCGAAATCTAATATGTGAGAAATAAGGAAATGTGACTTCTGATACATTCGTCACCCTTTACCCTCTCTCTGTCTTTATGCGTGTGTGTGTGTGTGTGTCTGCTATGTCCAATGTATGTATGATATTTGCGTATATGTGCAAATGGGCGTGTGTGACTTGAATATTGTGATATATGCAGGCAAGGACATCAGATGCAACTGCTTACTACAGTTGTGATGATCATTTTTCTGGGGTTGATGAAGCTATTGACACAGATCAAGGATTTGGTCTTTGTCAGGACCAATCCCTTAAGGTCAATGATATGGTAAACTCTTCCAGTGGGGCAACACCAAATTCAGAAGGTATTGTTACCAATATTATGCTGTACTTAATATTTTCTCTAAAGGATGTGCCAAATGGCTATTCATATGGTCGCGGGTGAACATGGGAAGAAGTTGAAAGGCATCATTTGTTTGTGCTAAAAGTTCAGAACTTGATTATTTGTGTAGAACTAATGAGTTTCTCAGAATATGATTTTTTAAAAGAGAGTAATTCTATTTACTCTTTGATTTCTGCTAGTTGCAGCAAAGAAAAATTGTATTTTATAAAATATCTTATGAACATGTATATAACTAAAGCTGCAGTACTGAGAGGGTTTTGCTGGTGACAGTGGTTCTGACTTCATTGATGTTTTTTTTTTTTTTTTTTTAAATTGTAAGCTGCCCTTTCATGTTGTAAAATGTCTTTGTTGTGTTGCTTTGCTAAAATCAGCAATTTCTTTTTCAAAATGACAACTTATTGAAACAGAAAATTAAGTTGACTAGTTGTCAATATAGATTCTAATCCTTCTAGTCCCCTATTGTGTATCTTTACCCAAATTTGGGAAATATAAATGACATATGCATGTTTCATTTCAGGTAATGTGGCGATTCATTGGTTTGACACTGTTGAGGAAATGAATGAGAAGAGGAGTTTTTGGTGTATGGCAAGAACACTGATATCTATGATGGTCAAACTGTTTGCATTTATCCATTGGCTACCTTCTGGAATTTGGAGAAGACAGAACACCATTCATCCATCTAATGTAGTCGAACACAGACCAGACAGCCGTTCGGCCCATTCACCAGCTGCTGAAGCTGTCAGCAGCGAAGATCGGGTCATTCCTTGTGTACAACGTTTGCAGAGACTTGAAAAGTTGTTTGAAGAACTCAAAAAGAAGCCTGCTGAAATTCCTTTGGAGAAGGAGCAAATGCTTCAGCAATCTTTGGATAGGATCAAGTCTGTTGAGTACGACCTTGAGAAGACAAAAAGAGTAAGCCTAATCCTACCTGGTTGAGATGTCTGAAAATTTGAAGCCTAACTATATTGATTCGGGATCATGTTCATTGCAGGTACTCCATGCTACAGTGGTGAAGCAACTTGAGATTACAGAATTGTTGGAGGAACTAAAGGATTCCAAATTTCGTGTAAGTAACCTTGTAAAAATTATTTAATTGCCCATGACACATTTATACATTGATAAATGAGTCCATTACACAGGCACAAGTTGAATAAATACTTTCATAGATTGAAATCTTCTGTGGTAATGTTGATTTGAACTCCAGATGTAGACATTTCTCGGAAAGCATATTTCATGTGTTTCACGTGTTTTTAAAATTAAAATCATTTGATGAACAACTGATTGTATTAATGACTTCTTAAAAACATGGGTTGTCTCTGTATTGTGGGCATAATGTTAAGGGTATAAATTATTGATGATGGTTTTCAGTCATGCTTCTGATCCCCAAAATATTCATGCTCCGCTTATTTAATTTTCTTTCATATCATTCCATTCATACTCCAGTCACTGGAGAAGTTGTGAAATTCGGTTTCTTGTTGCAGCAGCGAAGGTTTTTGTGTTAAATTCTTGAAGATCAACAGCGAAATACACGTTCAGACTGGTATAACAGGAGGCGTGCAGAAAAAGCATGCCTTTCCGAGTTCATGTCTGGTAATGGCACTTGCATGGGAGAACGGCAGGATTTCTATTTGCCTTTTACAGTGAGTACATGACATAGCCTACAGATATGTATGGGTTGCTCCCCTTTACAGATACGAGACACTGTATAGGAAAAAAGAAGCTTAATTCAAAGTTTTACAATACCGTATCTTTTGTTTCCTTTCCTTGTTGAATTAGCTACTGCTTAGTTCCAGTCAACAAAAAATAAGCCGATTCTGTAAATTAGACATGTAATTTCCACTGGATGATGGCAAGTGAAATTGTTGAAATGGACATAGAGTTATGCTTCGTCTTCCATTGAGAATCCAAGAATTCCCACCACCCTTTCTTTGCAGGGTGTGTAAAATGGATGCAGTTTCTCTATCCATGGAAGACGATGATCAGCTGAGAATGACTAACAACAGCTGAGGCCGATTAACAACATCCTGTCTCCTAAGCTTTTCATTAACCCAGGTGTTATTATTGAGTTCAAATACCAAAAACCTCATTACCATTTGCTATTTTAATTAATCTTTGCAAATGCCAAATGATTGAAAAAGAATTTTTTTTTTGCTGGTAATTTCACGGATAAGGCCCAAAGCATATACCCCCCATATGCAGCAACAACCCTTGGACTAAACCCACTCCAAATATTCTTTCAACACAATGTCACCCTCCGAATGTATTCTGGTTATGTCATCTTATTTATTTATTAAAAATAAAAAGTAATATATATATATATATACATATATATATGAGAGTAGTGTTCAGCTGCTCGTGGTGAGTAAGGAATAATATTCTCACTTTTAATTATGATCTAATAGAGATAGTTATTTTAAGAAATTATCAATTTTTTTTTAATTAATATTAATTGTGAAATTACTGTAAGGAATAGTTTCTTAAAACGAAAAAAATTAATATTCTATTTTAATTAAAGAACAATTGTCCCCTTCTCAACTTTGCAATTAAGTTATGTCTATGAAATAACTACTTACTGAATAATCTAATTACAGAAGAATGTTATACTATCAAAATATGTTTATTTGTATATGTGTGCATAAAGATGAATTCAAAGAAAAGCAAAATCATCAAATCATGTAACCCAATATAAAAAATATGAAAGAGAAAGGGAATGAGCCACCTCCACCACTGCTAACATTGGCCACATTGGCACTGCCGCCACCTCCATGATCGCCGGCCTCCACCGCAGCCGCTGCCAGCACCACCTAACCCACCACTGCTGCGACCTCCACGGTCTGCGGTGGAGGTGATGATGGTGGTGATGGAGGTGGAAGGCGCCATGGCAATCCAAAGTTAATGAGATTAAAGAAATTGATTAATTTTTTTTCTTTTTTTAAGACACTATCCATAATAGTCATTTTACAATTTATATCTAATTAGAAAAATGGCAATTTCTTAAAATAACTATTTTTTTAATTAATAGTAGGATTAGATCCAAGATTACAATTTAAAGTGAGTATATTATTTCTTGCCCACTGAGAATGTATGTATAAATATATATATATATATATATATATATATATATATATATATAGTACAAATTTTTTTTTTTTTTTTTTCTCCCTCACGTTTCTTTCACATGACCCACCGTCACCGTTTTCTCTCTCCTCTATTCATTCACTATTGATGCAATTGGTGGGTTATGCTTTGGGTTGTCTTCAAATTTGGGTTTTCATCAATGACTTCTACAATTTCTCCAAGGGTTATGATTTGGGGTTGTCTTCTAATTTGGGTTTTCATCAACGGCTTCTACAATTTCTCTAAGGGTTAGATTTTTGCTCCACCGCCACCAAATTTATTCTCTCTCCTTTATTCGTTCTCTCTCGATTAGGCTTTTTGTGATCATAGGTTACGCCACATCAGCAAAATAGTCAAGACAAAAAGTAAGAACAAGACAAAAATGTTTTAAGATATAAGTAAACAGGACAGTTGATAAGCCCATAGCGAGACCAGGCCACAAACTATCATTTGCAGGGCCCAAAACCTCGATTCGACCCAAGTCATAAACTGTCAATCGATGGGTCCAAAACTTCGATTCAACCTAAGCCACAAATTGTTAATCGACAGCCCAAAATCTTAATTCAACCTAAGTCACAAACTGTTAGTTGACGGGACAGAACCTCAATTCGACTAAGCCACAAACTGTCAATCGACGGACGCCTAGAACCTCGATTCGACTAAGCCACAAACTGTTAATCGACGGACGCCTAGAACCTCGATTCGACCAAGTCACAAACTGTCGATCGACGGACCCAGAACCTCGATTCGACCGAGCCAAAAACTGTCAATCGACGGGCCCAGAACATCGATTTGACCGAGCCGCAAAATAGCGATCGGTGGGCCAGCACCTTGATTCGACCAAGCCGCAAACTTGGAAATGCTGAAAGGATTTTGGAATGGAGAATGGAGAATCAGTTTCAAGTCTTGCGAATAGCAAACCCAATTTAGGGAAAAAAGGGAAAAAGCGGAAAGACAGTCTGGAGTAAAGCACAGTGACCCTTATAGCGACCCTCTAAATTAACGCATCTAGAGAAGGTATATCCACCTGGCAGCAGATCCGAAAAAGTCGAGATTAGGGCATCATGATCTATGAAAGGACATGGGCCCTAACTCGCTTTGTCCACAAGACCAATGGATACAATCTGGATAACCTAGGGCTATGAAGGAATGGCTAAGAAAAGAAAGCAACGAGGAGAAATCGGGCTCTGTTAACTCCAGAAGATCGTTCTTACCTACCATAGCTTTCAAACCCTAGATTGGGCTAATTTTTTCTCCCTCAATCTACTCTTTTGTATTCCTCACATTGTTTTAGTGATATTTCCCGAATACGATTTTATTCTTAGTTTGACTCAAAAATCAGGCACATACATACATTTGGCAACTCTGCTGGGGATATCCTAGCAAGAAGATTAAGCTAGACGAGACACACCTTCCACCAACACAGACAGATGTATTTGCCGTTGGAGCTACCAGAGAGCCAGATCTCATTCATCAGTAAAGTCAAAGCACAGACCCGATACAGGTGCCATTCTAGAAGCGATGCAAAACATCAATCCTAGCTATTGACCCGAATGGAAAAGTTTGAGGATGCCCTCCACGCACTCGGCAAAAGAATCCCAACTACACCAACCACGGCTGAACTAGAGCTCGCTCTAGCCAGTCAGTTGGCACTTATCGCTATTGAGCTAGTTAGCATGAGCATACCCACACCGAGTGAGCATCCAATCATCATTCAGTCACCGATGAATCAAGTTCACAATTGCAAAATGGAATCGATCACATCTACATCAAACTTTTGAACATCAAAAAAAAAAAAAAAAAAAAAAAAAGAATTAATTGAAGCTCCGTTGATAGTAATTGGATAAAGGCAGATTCCCTACTCGACTTCCATCTCATAGTGAGGCAGTTTGGGTTTTGTTGGAATAGGAGGGAAGGTTGGGAGGGAAATTTTGTTGTTGGATGTATGGTCCTTTATGGCTGGAGTTTAAATTTTGAGGATGGAGCAAACAATCTTTCTGGTTGGGCTGCCCTTGCATTTGTGGCTTCAACCCCTATTTGAAGCAACTGGAGATGTGTGTGGAGGCTAACGAGGGGGTTGATTCTGACATAATTGTTATCAAGGTCAAAGATGGCACCCTCATGCTACTGGAAGAAGGTTGGAATTCATTACAGTTCAATGGTCATGTCCCAAAGGTACAGTTCCTCCTCTGGAATTCTCAACGCAAGGGTCAATAATCCAGACCCTTCTTTGTATTCAAACTCTACTTCCTCAGTGTCAACTGTTATCCTCTTTGGTCGAACTGATGAATAGGCCCCAAATACACCACACCCGCGAACTTTCATGTCGACAGACGAACATCTCTTGGATTCATATTTCAATTCCTTAATGGCTGCTCCTGAATTGAACATCTTGGTAAGACCTATGGGAGCAAAAGTAGCCCCATTTGACAGTTCCTTGACAGGAACCACCGTAAAAACTTCGTATTCTCGCGTTTTCAGTGTAACTGGCAGAGAAGTATTCTTTGGAAGATAAACAACCTCTCCTGCAAAAACATCACAGAGAATTCATTACTTAAGCCATATCAAGAATTTTGGAAGAGCTTTAAGCAATACGGAACACTCACAATAGTTTCTAATAAGTTCACACATTTGGTGACAGTCTATTTGTATTGAACAACATAAACATGACTGAAAAGGAAACACTGAAAAGTTTTTTGCTGCAAAACCATACCTCCAAGATAGGCATATAAGATGGCATCCCCAGTCCATCCATCATTAGCAACTTTAGGCAAATAATCAACATCTTTAGCACGGATAACTCCTGTGATTGTGCCAGGTTGGTTGTCGTGGATGAGGTTAGTCTTTCCAACCTTGCACCACCCGGCTCCTTGGCAGTTGAAAACTCCCACAACTCCATTAAAATCGTTCAGATTCCAAATCTTTAGAACACTGCAAGATTATCAAGAGCTGATTAAACACACACACCCTTCTCAGGAATAGCAGACTACGAGTCCTAAAACAATTTCTGCTATCAAACCTTTTTCCATCTCTGGCAGGATCAGAAAACAAACAATCTCTTGTTGGTCTGCCAGGGAGTTTGGCCCTCAATATGGAGCCATCAGGAAGTACTAGCTTCTTCAATAAGTTGAAGTCATGCTGCCCAGGCTTGTCACTGCACAGCATTTAGATATCCCAACATGAGAAAACCAGTTGTTCAATAGATATTTTTTCATAACTAAGATAAATTCATGACCATTGGCAGCACCTGACATATATAGCACAGCCTCCCACAGCACGAGCAGCTCCGTGGTATTCAGCCATTGGATGTAAGCTCTGCCATTTTAAGATCATATTTGAAGTTAATATCCAACAATCCCGTAACTTAATGAAAAAGATTAAGAAAATTCAGAACCAAAGACATCATTGCAAGTCGTTGGCTTACATGAAACATATCCCAATCTGGCTGCATGAACTCCCCAAGGAAAATGGTATTGTAGGCAACTGATGCAATATGAATTGTGTGTGATGCTGGATCTCTGGGAAAAAAATCATCCGATGCTCTTATGACAGCTGATCTCTTAGCACTACATGAAATTCAAAGTCATATTAGATGAATATTCCTGAGAACTCTACTACATTATATGATTATGATCCATCAAAACATGTGGAAGGATATTAGTTTACCTGTACAAACCATCTGTATTGTGACTCATACAATAAATAATTCCATTGTCAGGAAAGTTACGTGAAATAGATGCCTCTAATGCCTGATGGTATTTCCTAGCAATTTTCACTCTTCCACCATGGCCAGCCCCGAGTGTCTCAAGAATGTTCTGACCATCTACTTTAACCCCATCAATCCTAGCTGAGGCAAGATATGAGTGAAGTTCATTATAGAAGTTAAACACTTTTTCAGGGTTCACAAGGCCAAGCCCATTCATGGTAATGCTCTTCACAGCACCACAATGTTCGTTCGACTCAACCCCAGGAGATGGAACAGGGTAGGCTAACTTGGATTCATAGTGTTCCATTTCAGTAACTCCAGGACTAACACCACCCCAATATCCAGTTAACGCATGCCAAACATAGACATACCTACAAATTCAGGAGAAAATAAGTAAACACAAGTGTCTGATCAAAATTTGTCAGAACCTTAACACTTGTGAGCATGAATAAGAAATTCTACTTCAATTTGTGTTGGTCTTTAATGTCAGTAACAATGTGGCGGAGCCCCATTGCCGTATCCTCTACCCTGTGACCCTCTTTGCCATCTTTTTGAAATTTTTGGTTTTCTTTGATATGAGTTAATCTGTTTGCAAAACTGAAAGGAGAAGTAGACAACAAAAAATAATCAATATCATTAGCCAGCTAAAAAAGTAGTGTGCAACATTTGAAAGGGGTTGTAATTTAAGTGCTCACTTGGCTGTGTTATCAAATTTAGCTTCAACACTAGTTGGATCCATGCCAACTGATTGCCAACCATCGTCAATGATAACGAATTTAAGGGGAATTCCACCTTTCTCAAAACTAAAAAAGGAAAAAGCAAGTTTATAGACTTTTTCTAAATGTTAGTATTAGGTGTTTGTAAACAATTTTCAAATGGTAAGTGTCTTAACCTCTCCAATCCTTGCTTCACTCCCTCCTCTGTAACGTCTGTATAGAAAGCATCCCATGTGCACCAGCCAAACCAGTTCAGCATGTCAGGCATCTGAACCATGATGAAGCATATAGACGTTAAAATTTACAAAGATTAATATGCATACATAAAAAAATGATTTGTAGCAACAGAGTATTACTGTGAGAATAAATATAGTACCTTCTTTTTCTCACGATGAGAAAATGTCTGTAAATGCCTCCCAACAGTTCTGTGTAGAACTCATATAATTAATAACTAACCAATTTATGTATGCTTAAAGAAAAAACATCACTACCCTATTACGTAGGTAAAGAATTTAGCTTCACAGAAGAAGATACTTGGCACAACTTAAGTTTCCATTTTTTATTAGAGTAACATATGATAAAAGATCTAACAACCTTCAATGTGGGGGAAAATTGCTGGATTCATTTCAAAATTTAGATGAATGTCATTATTTTTGTATTATTAGTCTAAAAAATTAAATTTACTAAAATTAAAGTAAACATGAGATTTATTGAATAAGTGAATTATTTTGTAAAATGCATCACAAATTCTCTTAGACGTTTAAAAAAAAAACTTAAAACTTAGATTTGCTAACTGGAAATGAATAAGACACATACCCAAATTGAAACTTAATATCTGGTACAGGATGTAGAGGACTTCACTATCTTGAGCTTTTCCGTTTCCGATAAGTCAATTAGAAAAGAAAAACTGCTATTTTTACTTATAATTTATAGGAATATGATATTAATTTTCTTTTGGATATGATATTAGCAATTTAGCAATCCACTCTTATTATTTAACAAAAAAAAAAAAAAAAAAAAACCTTAAAACTTTTTTTTCTAGTTCTTTAACTATTCTGTTTTTCCTGAGAGAAAAAAATAATAAATAAATAAATAACTGTTCTGTTTTCAGAGAACTCCAATAGTGAAAGCTATAATATATTTTTTTAGAGAGCTGAACAAAAATGCCCTAATTTTGCTGTATTCATTTGAGAAATGAATTGGACTTACTTCACAGCATTTGTAATAACTTCAAATGGGTCTGATCCAGCAGCCACAAAAACCAAATGACTTCCTTCAAACCCTTCCACGGCAGGATCCCCTGCAATGAACAGAAAAATATTATCCTCTCGTTTCAAGAACAACCAACTATTCAGAAAATATATATATATATATATATATATATATATATATATATATATATATATTAAAAGAACATGAATTTGCTAGCATACCACTTTCCAAACAGATCTCTAAATCGTTATTTGCATTCCCTTGAAGAACAGCCCTGAAATCCCCCTCCAGAATCGGCAAGAAAACTGTATACAGTGCAGATTTCTCAACCCCATCTTCACTTTCTTCCCCAAAATGTGCACCATCTTGTCCTTCCACTATCAAAAATTGGGTCTCAAATGGTATATCTTGGCCACATGTGCCCATTCTCTGTGTCATCCACCACAGTTTGAACCGAAATACACACATAAACCTCAATCCCCTGCAAATCATTACCAACACACACACACACATATCATCAATCCCAATTTTAACTCTGACTCACATCCTAGATGAATAAATCATTCAACACCCCTGTAATAAAATAATTTAAATTAAGAAAACCCATAAAATTCGATAGCCCATTTGCAGTTGTAATTCCATAACACATACATATATCTAGATATAACTCATCAATCCCAATTTTAACTCTGACCCACATCTTAGATGAATAAATCATTCAACACCCATGTAAAGAAAATAAAAAATTAAGAAAACCCATTTGCAGTTGAAAAACACTTTGACAAGTTGTGATTTACTTTAACAAAATAATAAGCTTAGATTGAGGAATGAAAAGAGAGAAATGGTTGAGAAAATAACATACTGGAGTTTTCCGATTGGGAAGACCCGTCGGCTACCGATCTGATCAGACCTGACTCCGACGAAGGCACCATTGGTTAAGCCATCTTCGGTGGCCGGAGTCACAAATATGTTGTCATGAACATCACTTAAAATGCAGTTTCCCAACGCATTCAAATTCCCATCAGCCACAGATATCCCTGTTCCAACCGTCATTTTTTTTTTTTTTTTTCTTTTTCTAAAATTTAATATTTTTTTTTAAGAATGGGCTCTCAAGATCACAATAAGAAAAACACAAACAAAAATAAAAACCAAAACAATAACGAAGAGAGGAAATAAATAAAACAACCACAATCAGGGTTTCAACAAACACAGATTTTAAACCCAACACACAATACTAAGAATTTGGCAAAACTGGGCGTATTTATAGTACCCAATATTAGAGGCGGCGGGAACCAACCTCTGTCATTCATTGTATAATTATTTGTCAGTACTACGTATAAGTCGTATGACATATCAGCCAACCACATTTTATTGGGTGCACGTCACAGACAAATGCTCCCTATATCTTGGCCGTTTGATATTTTGATCAATTGGCAAAGCGCAACAATTTTCAGTTCATTGACGGTGGTGATTAAGTATCATATAGTGTTACTTTTGTGGTTGCGTGCGAATGAGAAGTACTGGAAGGTTTCCTTATGAGAAATATCTTGTGCTAAGTGGCTTTTCGTTAAAAGGGCGATTAATTTACGTTGACCTTTTTCATCAAAAAGCGTGATTGGCGAGTACCTGGGATGGCACTTTATTTTATTTATTCTGAAGTTGGTCTGTTACACGTTTCTTAGGATTACTGCACTAAAGCAAATCATACCATATATATGATCAGAGATAAGGAATTTATTTTTTATTTAAAGAAAAGAAACTGCAAAATGTTGACCTTATTTATTATTTATATTTATTTCCTTATATAAATATGACTTAATTATATAAATATATGTGAGAGTATTTGAGAGAGAAATTAAAAATACTTGACTTAAAGTGGAAGAATGGATAATTATAAGAGAGATTGAACAATATAAGAAGATAGAGAATACAAAAATGATTTGATTATATGACATATATGTAATTTTACTTCATGCGTTAACCCTAGTTAGTCATCTTTTAGCCAAAAAGCAGCGGTCTGAATTCTTTTAAATATTTGAAATATATTTTTGCCTTGGCCAGTAGATTTCTTTACAATTAATTTTATATCATCTATATTTCAAATGATCAAATTCCTAAATGAACTTTAGGGTAAATTACACTTATCTCTCATATAATTTGTTAAATATTGTATCAACAGACAGCAAGAGTCCTCTGTTACAATATTTTTTTGAGGCTCTAGACAAATGTGAGGCCCAAAATTTTGAGAGACCCAGAAATACAAAATTTTGAACCTTGTTAATACAGACTTTTGGACCCAAATTAGAGGCCCTATTAAAACAAACCTAGGCCTAGGGCCGGCACTTCGGTACTGTAGAGGATCTGAGTCCATGTCCTTGAACTTTTTATTGATAAGAAATTCACACACCCACTTTATTTATTTGAATACTGAAATTCTCACATTTCACTTTGAAAAATAGAGGAGATAACACTGAATCACAAGGCATTGGTAAACCAAGCCTTGAGAGGTACAACTATAGTCGGATATGAAAAAATAAAAATAAAATAATAATAATAATAATATGAGTTTTTATGCCTACTTTAATAGGCCAAGATGTAAATGCCAATTTATCATATCCCGTGACTTTGTGTGGCTGTGGATAGTTGATACCACACAAGATCAGAATCCAATCACTCAGCAGAATCACAGTCTCATTTATTTCACTTTATTAGGCAAAGCTCCCATCATATGGCTTCTTTAGCACATCCAATGCTTCTCAAGCAGAAAAACTCACAGCTACCGTCAATAAGAGCTACGAGAATTCCAACCACTATTTTCTTGCTACAAATGTGCCAAAACTTCCGGGAAGTCAGACAACTACATGCCCAATTGGTAGTTTTAGGACTTATTAATCGCCCTCCGAATGCTGGAAGGCTGATTGAATCCTATGTCTCAACGAGTGAAATCTACTATGCTTCATCAGTTTTTGACACAATCTCTTATCCGGATGTGTTTGCATACAATATGATGATCAGAGGCCTAACACTGGGTAAGTGCCCTTATGATTCAATTGTACTCTTCAATGAACTGTTATTAGGTGGCCTAAAACCAGATAACTACACCTTCACATTTGTCCTTAAAGCATGTTCATATATAAAAGCCCTTTTTGAAGGGAAACAAGTGCATTGCCAAGCAATTAAGGCCGGTACATCACCAGATACACACATTCATAGTTCCCTAATACACATGTACGCAAATTCAGGTAGCACGGATTCTGCAGAACGCGTCCTACAACAATTTTCTGAAGAAAATGTACTTGTTAGGAACAGTATGATTTCGGGTTACTTGAGTCAGGGTCATGTCCAAAATGCTAGAGCAATGTTTGATGGTATGAGAATAAAAGATACAGCAACTTGGAGTGCAATGATCACAGGGTACACAAAGAATGGGATGTATGGAGAGGCACTAGCCACATTCCAAGAAATGATGGCTTCCGAAGTTAAATTGAATGAATCAACGCTTGTGAGCGCGCTCACTGCTTGCGCCCAATTGGGAGCTTTGGATCAAGGAAGGTGGATACACACTTGTATTGATAAGATTAAGGCTAAGATTAGTGTTACTTTAGGTACCTCTCTTGTTGATATGTATGCAAAATGTGGCTGCATGGATTGCAGCTATAAAGTCTTCAGGAATATGCCTCGGAAAGATGTTGTGACATGGGGGGCTATTATTTCAGGTTTTGCTTTGCATGGACAAGCCGAGAAATGTTTTGAGCTATTTGATGAGATGGTTGCTAATGGAACTTGTCCAAATGAAGTGATCTTTGTGGCAATACTCTCTGCCTGTTCTCATGCTGGCTATGTCGAATTGGGTGATTACTATTTCGAGAAAATGGTTCATGATTTTGGAATTAGGCCTACCGTTGAACACTATGGTTGTATGGTAGACCTCCTTGCTCGTGCAGGGCGGTTGGGAGAGGCAGAACAACTAATCACAACAATGCCAGAAGAGCCTAATTCGATTATATGGGGTTCATTACTTGGTGGTTGTAGAAATCACAGAGATGTGAAGAGAGGGGAACGCGCATTCAGGCAATTGATTGAGTTGGAGCCACTGTCTGGTGACCGGTATAAGCTAGCAGGGCACATGTTTAGTAATGTGGGAGAGAAAGAAGATGCAGACGAGATAACAAAGTTCATCAAGGAGAAAAAATTGGAGACAACGCGAGGATCAAGCTTCATTGAAGTAGATGGTATAATTCATGAGTTTATGGTAGGAGATATTGATCATAGCAGGGCTTATGAAATATATGGGATGTTGGAGGGGACATATTAGTTCCCAAATCAATGGCTTGTGAAATATTTGCATTGTGAAATAGTTACAAAAGTTCAAAAAAGCAATAGGAACATTACATGAAATTAATTCTAACAATTTGGTATCTTCCTAAAATTTCAACATAACAAGTTTCTAGCTAATAGCAGACACTGAAGCACAATGTCACATGAATAACGAAAGAGGATATGACAACATTAATCAATCTTATCAATTATCACTTAGTATATTAGAAAAGAAGGATTAAAACAAGAGAACTTCAATTTTAACAAATCAAAGTGGAAATGAAAATGGATTTAACTCATGAAGACCGATATATACAAAGTATATATATATTTCTAATTAGCCCAGCCCTTAACTTTGAATACACAGGTGGAAATAACCAGTAACACAATATGTGTTTGAATCAAGTCAATATCCGCTCATATAATCGAATCAATTTTAAGAGTTTTTGTAAAATGTGTTTTTATCAATTTCTTCTTAGACTAATTTTTTTATACACAATTTCACCAATTTAACGAAACTCACATGTGAAGATAGTCGAGAGAATCTTTAAAAACAGTGGGGCAATTGCCCACACTGACCACACGTTAGGCCTCTTCCTGCTATTGACAAGAGTTCTTGCACTCTATATATTAAAGCTCAAAGGCCCCAATCCAGTGAATTAAAGTTCTTATCATTCTAATTACAAAGCATAGGTGTGACGGGAAAAAAAAAAATTACAACAAAGCATCAATTTAATGCTCTCAAATATAATTTTATAAAATATTTGATAATGTTTGCAATCAAGAAGAAATAATTTTATAAAATATTTGATATGTAATTAAGCGATCAACAAGAAAAATAATTACACAAGATTTATGTGATTGGACAGATGGGTGCACAACTCACCATCATCTTTTCGATATGTTTGACAATTATAATTGCTTTGTGTTTTTGCTTTGACGAGAGACAGAAGCAAAGTTTATACTTTAAAGGGTGTTCAGCACTATTTCGAATCTTGTTTGGTAACATAAATTTGTTATAAGATTTTTAAAAGTAAAAATATGAAAGCATGTTTGGTAAAAAGTGTGACAAGTTTGAAATTTTGAATGGATAGTTAAAAATATTGGTTAATTTTTTTTTTTTTTTTTTGAAAAGTGTTTTGTTACATTGCAGAAGCAAATAAAAATATTATTTTGATATTTCTGACTTTAAACTCAATTTTTAAAACGCTTCGTTACTTAATAAAAATTATTAATCACGACTTTTGGCTTTTACTTTGTTATAATATAATAACAAAAACAAACATTCGAAGTAAAATCTTTAACCAAACAAAACGGGCCATTATACCTTGCTTCTATTGAGCTTTCTGATTGCAAGCTTGACAATGACTGAGGAAACCTAGTAAATAATAGGAGAGAATTGAGTGATATTGGAGTTAAAAACGATCAGTTGGTCGGAAAGATCCACGTGTCATGACTGTATGAGGTGTGACTAATCCATTCGAGTGATATTGAAGTTAAAAACGATTAGGTGGTTGGAAAGATCCACGTGTCATGACCGTATGAGGTGTGATTAATCCATTCTTCTTAAAACCAATGTGACTTATCATAATTGAGCAAGATTAAAGTAGGAGGGTTTTTTAGGAAAAAAAAATAAAAAATAAAAAATGTAGGAGGGTTTTTAAGTAGGGATGTTAATTTTTACTACCCCGTCCTGTTAATAACGGATATGGGAATACTTTTTATACCGTTGGGGTGGGTATGGATACAAATTTTGTACCTGTCGCGAGTCACGGGGCGGGTAAGGGTTCAGTATACATATCCTAAAGGCCCCGCCCCGCTAAGCATATAACTATATTTAATATATATATATATATATAAAATTTTAATAATTTATTTTAGCGGCTTATCCAGTTACCCATTTTTTACCATCCTAATTAGGGATGTAAACTTGGTATTGAATTTGCTTTTGTTTTAGTTATGGTGGAAGTTAGAACTTAGAACTTCTTGTGATTTGGTTGTATTAAACTTTTATTTTTGTTTATTATATTCTCTAATTATGTTATGTGGATGTTATTTTTTTTATTTTTGTTGGGATACATAATTTCATTTATGTTGTGCCATTCTCAGGTTTTACACATTAAAATAGCAGGAGCTTAAGTTCCAAAAAATGGAACAAAAAAATTTATTAGCGGCACAAGCACGGGGCACAATATTTTCCAATGAAACGGAACTGAACATGAAAATTTAATCCGTCGCGAGTCTCAGGCGGACATGAACTTAACAAAACATAAAAAGGGCGGGCGGGATTCAGGAAACCGCTCCAAACCCGCCCGTTGTCATCCCTATTTTTAAGTAATATTGTGACTACACAACCCACCTATTTTTATAGCAAACCTGTCGCTTTCCTTCACATTTCTTAGTCTGGACGTTGTTCAGAGAACCAGTGGATATAGGTACTCTCTCTAGATATTCGCGATCGATTTGCCTGATAATAATTTCTATCGATTTCGTCTATTAATTTATCAACTAATCTTCATGATCAATTTCTAATATATAAGGGAAGGAGTTACAGATCGATATCGTGGGAGCTAGAACGAGGATTTAAACGCTGAATTAAAGAAAAGGTCAGAAATTTGTTAACTCTATTTATTCTTCCCCAATCTATTATATATATATAATTTGATTATGCATGACATGAATATAATTTGAGCTACTTTTGTTGTGTGTGAATTCCTAGAGTTAACTAACGGATGAAAGTATAGGGTTTTTATATTTTGCATCTTTGTGTTTCCTTATTTATCCTTTTGTTTTGCGAGTATTGTTCTTTATCTGCTAAAGTTTCAAACTTTTAAGATTTTTGTTACTATTTTGTAAATCCGTGCAATACTGTTATTGAATGAACATTTGAAGATGATAGTGCTTGGTGGCATCGAATCAAAATGTTTAGATGAGTTTTAATTGTTATTCTCTGCCAGGACGTTGAGTATATAAAATTCCTGCTGTTGTTTTATATCATTTAGGTTTGTGGTTGTTTGACAAGATCATATCTATGCTTCACCATTATATATCTTTATTGACATGCTGGCAATAGCAAATCATTGTTTGGAAATGTACTACTATATTTTATATACTTATTATAACTTATAACAATCTAATTAGAAAACTAACTGCATTTATGCTAGGGCACTTTGTTGAATTAAGGCATTTGAACCATTAAGGTATTCACATACAATTATGTGCCACAACCGATGCCCTTTGCAGCCTTCCTGCTGAATCACACCTTCTTACTTGCTTGGAGGAAGTCCTTTTCATATTTTGTTGTCGCATTTCACGGTCAAGGTTGAGAAGAGGAGCTAGTTTTGGCTCTGAAGTTGAAGATAGTGACATGTCATTTTTGTTGTAGTATCTAATCTTTTTGAACATACTAGCAGTGTTTCTTAGAGGTTTCTTATTTTACCAGGAATGCTTGTGATATTCATGTTGGCTGTTGGCATAAACAGAAAGTAAAAAAAGAACGATTTTTATATTTTTTTTTACAATTTGTATGATTAGATATAGGACGGCGTATGCTAAAATTGGTGTGGCTTTAATAATGGATTTCTAAAGCTTGGTAAGTACGGAATATGCGGATATTGTATGATTAGATATAGGTCTGTCTTAAGTCCTCTTTCCCTATGACATTGTTGTAGTTGGACCAGAACTAGGTAATGTCCCTTTTAAGTCCTTGCCACAACTATGCCGGCAGTGAAGCTTATTTAAGATGAGGTACTTGTAGGATTAAGTGGCTGTTAGCAGGTTGAGACCTCATTGGAGATAACAAGTGCTGTTGGAGAAGGCAGCAAGGTGAAGATCACTAGTTAAATTACAAGTACTTGCTCCTGGAGTGTTTATGACATGCTTCCAATTCCATTGGGCATCATACTGTTTGTAATTTGTAGTGAATTGTTGATTTTACTCAACTATGTATTTTATTGTTTGTTAACTACCATTCATCAATTTTCACTTGGCTGCAACTTAGTAGTGTGAAGCCAGCTTATTGTTGTGGCTGGAAAGACCCTTTTCTTTCTTTCTTTCCTTTTTTCTTTTTTTTTTTTCTTTTCTTAAATAAGGGATGATGATGATAATAACACTCAATAAGTATATACATGTGTAGCCTAGTTACAGTTCCTGACTCCTTGTAGATTAGATGTTGGCTTGACGTTCAGTTTGGTTTTTGGCTAATGCCTGTCTTATTTGCTTGTATCATTATTGGCATTGGTTTATTCGTTGACAGATCATGTCAAATCACCAAGGGGATGACGCTGAATACATGGCAGATGAATATGAAATGGAAGATGCAGATGATATGGATGAAGAGTTACTTGACAGAGAGTTGGGTGGCTCGGAGTCTGATATGGAGGATTATGACCATTTGGTTTGTGATTTATCCTATGATGCTCATACATGCAAACTTAAAACAATTGTTTTTAATCTTATTGTTTGCAAATCCAAAGTTTTCTTTCTTCTGCTTTTATTTTTTTTAGTTCTTGGCATGATGCTTTCAAGCAATTTTTTAGATATCCTCTCAGTTAAGCTCTGTATTACTAAAGACTAGATGTTTGGTTCCAATGTAGAGTGATAAAATGGCAGATACTTCCGCGGCTCAAGCTAGGAGGGGCAAAGATATCCAAGGAATTCCCTGGGAAAGGCTTAGCATCACCAGGGAGAAATATAGGCAGACTAGATTAGAACATTACAAGAACTATGAAAATGTCCCTCTATCTGGAGAGGGGTCAGAGAAGGTAAAGCTCTCTCCTCCCTTCCCCCTCCTCCTCCTGTTGATAATACCAAATTATTAGGTTGTAGTCTTTTGACTTCCATTATTCACCTATATTTCTATTGTAAATAGGAATGCAGAATCACAAAGAAAGGGAACACGTATTATGCATTCAGACGCAATTCACGGTCTGTAAAATCAACAATTCTTCATTTTCAGGTTAGTGACAAGTTCTTTTTGAAGTTATCAGCTACAAATTTCTTCTTATACAATAAATTGAATGATAAAATAGCCTTTTAACATTTTGTTAACTATGTTTGGTTGTTTTTAATTAACTTCCTGTCATCACATTACTGAAGTACTCTTAATGGTTAGATCAACACTTTTCGCCACATAATTTGGTTCCTGTCATCACATTACTGAAGTACTCTTAATGGTTAGATCAACACTTTTCGCCACATAATTTGGTTCATATGTAATGAAAATTTGACATTACTTGAATTTTAAAGGTAGAAATTGCTTTTAGTTGTGTTCAAAGGTTCATAGTTGAATTGCTTACAAGCTGGTTGAGCTACCTGTCTAAATTTGGGCTGTCCCAATTGGTTGAACCAGTTTGGTGGGAATGAACCACTTAGTAAATCAAATGATTTGGAAATCTGAAACCCCCTGGAAATTTGGCTGCTATTAAATGCTGAATAGCCGGAAAATAATATTTACAGGAAGCATTCCTGAACAGGAAAACTTGCTAAAAACCAAAGGCAAATGCCAGAGCAAGTAATTGGTATATATTACAGAGTATCACAATATTCCATCTTACCAAAACTCTGTTGGATAATTGAGAAGAATCCTAGAGAAAATTTCCAATCAGTTTCTACCCTGGTGAGGATTTTTGCAGTCCACCATATATAGCTGCAAAAGGAAGATGGTATTTAGTATGACTTGGGGAAAGATGAGAAATGAGAGGTATCATACTGGGCCTCAATGACAAAAAAGCAGTAACTGTCTGCCAGGTCCTTCATAAAGTAGTGGGAGGAGAGATGTGCAATCATAAAATGATCAATGCAACAGTGGAACCTATTAGTTTTTCATCAACCACACTGGCAGTAGTGCGTAGAACGAACATAGAGATCACATGGGACAATAATATTGGAATCTTCCCAAGCATTAGGTTATGCTTGTCTTTGCATTTAATTGTGTAAAAACTTTCAGTCTACACATATGAGCAAGCTTCGTATAATTCAGCTAAGTCTTATCCAATCAAACAAGTGCGCCGTATAAGGATCTGTAATGTCTTGTTAAGGTTGTGAGGGCGGAAACCAGCTAAATACATTTTTGGCTTTCTTTGTCACTAGACATGCACTTTACACACACACAAACGCTCTCGCACACAAATACATACATACACAGCAAATTTTTTGGTGTTGGCTGATTTCGTGATCTGCGTTATCAACTGACATACAAATTTTCGGTTTGGTGATGCAGTTGAGGAACCTGGTTTGGGCTACATCAAAGCACGATGTTTACCTCATGTCACATTCTTCTGTCGTTCATTGGTCTTTATTAACTTTTAACAAGACCGATGTTCTCAATGTTTCAGGACATGTGGCGCCGTGTGAGGTGGGTGTTTGATTTTTTTTGGTTGACAAATACCTTATATACATATTTATAAATCTTTGGTGTACTCAGAATTTTATTCTAAGTCATGATCTTTTATGAAACTAATCATATTTTCCATATAGAAACATCCTGGAAGTCTTTTGGAAGGATTTACACAGACCCAAGTTAGCACGCTAGCAGTCAAAGATAGGTTGCTAGTTGCTGGAGGGTTCCAGGGAGAACTTATTTGCAAGGTAAGTTAACTTCCTTTATACGCCGTTACAGGAGGAGAAATATATCAGAGAGAATCATTAAGCATCAGTCCCAGTTTGATTCCTCATGAATATGTGATAGTCCCCTGTTTTATTTCTGGCTTCACTTATTGAATGTATGATTCTCTCTTTTTAACTTAGGCTTTAGGTTGCTGAATTGCACCTTTGGACAGGCCTGAGCTAAATGATTTGTAAAGACCTTTGAACTCTTATTATTTTTTGTCATGTCTACTTCTATTCTTCCTATTAGTTTTTAGCAATCAAGCAAATCCACTTAGAACTTAGAACAATATAAAATTTTTTATCTAGAAATAGTTGTAGGTGTTTGGTTATGCCCTCTTTTTGCTTTGTCATACTGCTGCTTGGTGTTTAGCGTGGCTGAACTTGACTGGGGCAATTTTTTCTACTCTTACATGCAGTATTTAGACAGACCTGGAGTTTGCTACTGTTCCAGGACAACTTATGATGATAATGCTATCACTAATGCTGTCGATATCTATACCACACCCAGGTATCTGATTTGCCCTTGTGCTGGTGATGGAACTGTTCACCAACTCAAAATCTTACCGAGCTTGTGTTGTATACTTCTCAGTGGTGCAGTTCATTTCACTGCTTCAAATAATGACTGTGGAGTTAGGGACTTTGATATGGAAAATTTTCAGCTTTCCAAGCATTTCCGTTTTCCTTGGCCAGTGAATGTAAGTTCAGTTACCCCCAGCCCCCCATCCCAAACCGGAAGATAAAATAGTGTAATGCTATATTTTTGTGATCCAAACTACCTATGACTACACTTGCAGATCTACCGTACCTGAAAAAGGAATCTCTCTTTCTCTCTACACACACACACACACACACACACACACTGAGAAACTTCAATCTGCAATGATGTGGTTCCATTTGCCCTGGTAGCAACTTACAAAAAAATTATGCCACATCTGGTCTCAGTGCTAGTGCTAACTCCTTTATGCACTACTCCAATGATGAGTACTCTGGATTTTACAATGTAAACCATCTCTGTTGAGCTTGCAGCATACTTCCCTGAGTCCTGATGGTAAGCTTCTTATAATTGTTGGAGATAACCCAGATGGTCTATTGGTGGACTCTAGAACTGGAAAGGTATTTGTCTATTTTGCTATTTTTTGTATTCTGTAACTTTGTAAGCAATTTTTGGGAAAGTGATGAAGCCTGAAGTGGACAGCATGTTCTAATTTGATATTTTATCTTTGCAGACAGTTATGCCCTTGTGTGGGCACTTAGATTACTCATTTGCATCAGCATGGCACCCTGATGGCATCACTTTTGCAACTGGGAACCAGGACAAAACCTGCCGAATTTGGGATGTCCGGAATTTATCCAAGTCCGTTGCTGCTTTGAAAGGTAACCTTGGAGCCATTCGGTCAATCCGCTACACATCTGATGGCCGATTCATGGGAATGGCAGAGCCTGCAGATTTCGTCCACGTTTATGATGTAAAAACCGGTTATGAGAAGGAGCAGGAAATTGATTTTTTTGGTGAGATATCTGGCATGTCCTTTAGTCCAGACACAGAGTCCCTTTTCATTGGAGTGTGGGATCGTACATATGGTAGCCTCCTTGAGTTTGGCCGACGCCGGAACTACTCATATCTTGATTCTGTTGTCTGAGTGGGATGTGCACTCTGCAAAAAATATGGGACGGCTCATTTCCTGGCGTAACTTTGGAGCCTGGCAGCGTATCCTGCAGTAGAAATGGTTCTAGGTGTATATGTACTTTGTTGTGCAATGTAGCTTGTTAATGTTATTTTAGCAGTGGCACATTATGAGCTTGAATATGAATATAGGAGTGAGGGGTTGTACAGAAGGCTAGGAAGCATTGGTCCTGCAGACGGAAATAAGTAGAACTAGGGATTCTCAAGTACCGGACTTGTTTTTAATTTTCATGCCGTTTTCTTATGTTTGTCTGGAAATCAAAATTTTTCTTTTAGGAGCTCTCGTTGAATGGAATAATCTTTGCTTTATCTGTATTCATGCAATTGAATGATAAAGTCCGGAGTGATCATCTGATCTTATTCCTTCTAGCAGCTTGCTGGGTGACTGTTCCTTTTTGGGAATGATGAGCTTGTCCTGTTGTGAAGAGCACAAGAAGCTAGTCTGGGTTGATGTAAGCAAGGTGGAATGGTCCGCTAATGTTCTAATACATTGGACTGGAACTAGAGTTTAAGCTGGTTGTGCCAACGTTCCTCCTCGACAGAATCGCCTAATTTGAAGCTGAATTATTTAGGTTTGGTTTGAACCAAGTGGATGCTCTCCTCGTTGAGTATAACTTGATTTGGTGTAATAGTAAAATCTGAGGTGGCCAAGAGTTCCAGGAGTTTGAATTGAGCACTGTCATTTTGTGTAAACAATAACGGAGGTTATGCATGCATCAAAGTGAAAAAGTTCAATATATATCCTTTCTAGCACTTCTGATTAATGTGCGTATATCAGGATGTTGCGTCTAAATTTCCGTCTCATCGAATTACAGAAATTAGGATCTCGTATTTGATCTTCCAACAAACCGAAATTTTGAATGATGCTTTTTTGGTTCACAAATCACAAATGAGTGCTTCTTGACCTGTAATCTTCTAATAGTTTTTTTTTTTTTTTTTGGGAGTAATAACACTATGCTTTTGGAAAATAATAATAATAATCTTGAAGCATTCCAATCAGTGAAGCGTAAGAGGTCTTTTTTGAAGTCTCAATGCCACTTTATTTTTATTTTTCCCTTTTGTCATTTAATTACGCTTTTTACACAAGATTTCACATTTTATTTTTTTTCCTCTCTATTTTTTTGGTTTATAGAATGAATAGTGTAGCTAAGCCGCCATCAGACTGCCAGAGCCGAGGGGTTGGGTAATAATGTCTATAAAGTTGGGAAGTACAAGGGTCAAAACCTCTGATCCAGAAAGAACCAATGGGACAAAGCCAACTCACCACCAAAAATCTTTCTCCTCTCATTCCTCTCCTCACAATCTGCTCCTCCTTTTCCACAAAATCATCTTCCTCTGTATTATCCATCTATATACCAACATTATCATCTTCCCCTCACAATTCACCAACCAGAACTCCCAAACACCCACAGCAGTGCTGCAAATCCAATCCTCATGGCCTCCACTTTGTTCTCGACACCCACCTTCCAAGGTCTCAGACCCCTCAACAAGCCCACTGACTCCACCCTCTCTCTCACCAAACCCTCCTCCGCCAAATTCAGCTCACCCATCTCCAAGAAAAGGTTCAATTGTGGTGTAAAAGCCCAGCTCAACCCATCACTGGTGATAAGCTTGAGCACAGGGCTGTCCCTGTTCTTGGGGAGGTTTGTGTTCTTCGACTTCCAGAGAGAGAATGTGGCCAAACAGGTGCCGGAGCAGAACGGAGTGACCCACTTCGAGGCCGGCGACACTCGGGCCAAGGAGTATGTGAGCCTTCTCAAGTCCAATGACCCAGTGGGTTTCAACATTGTGGATGTGCTTGCTTGGGGCTCCATTGGCCACATAGTGGCTTACTACATACTTGCAACCTCCAGCAATGGCTATGACCCCAAATTCTTTGGCTGAATGTGTTGTAGCTGTGTATAGTTGGGGCAGCTCTAAAACTCTTTTTTTTTTTTTTTCAAGATTTCGTGATTTGAAACTTAGTTGTGTGATCTTTATGATTAATAGTCTTTAATATGAGCTTCTGCGTGCAATTGTTGTAAAGTTTTCTTTGATCAGGCGATTCCATTTCTCTATGACGTTGGCTAAGCAACCACTTCCATATATATCTGGATTTTTTAAAATGACTTAAATGGAATATGGATCCGATCCTTTTTGATTCACACGCAAAATCTCCTACCGCACGGGGAGAGATCCTCTTCCAACAAAAAGATCTCAAAGCATTCATTTGATTTGATGATGTTGAAGATTTGGTGGTGTTTGAATCATCATTATCTTTTCATTTGCTGTAGGATCTCAATTACATAGAACCAACTGTGGTATTTTAACCTTGTTAATATGATCATCATTATCTTTTGCTGGAATATAGTCATCAAACCAGCGGTGATGAATTGCACAATAGCAAATTGAAAGCTTTGGTATATAAATTATCAGAAACAAAAATAAAATGTATTAGCATCAATATTCCGTTGGTTATTACAACATATCACTATACCTCTTGCTTTTCTTTGAGAATTTGGGATATTTTAGCATAGTTGAGACTACTCTGGTGTTCTCCCAATAAGGATTTGCTTTGTTTATTGGTGATTCTTGTGATTACCAAAAACGTATATTGCAAGGATGGTTCTTACATCTTCATGAACAAAATACAGCTATATATGTCTTGCAAAAATATTCTATTCTGAAAAATTACAATACTATTCAGATATATATTCAATGAACAAATTATTTTAGATATTTTTATCATACAACAAAAAATTCCAACTACATCTTACTTACCAAAAAAAAAAAAATTTGCAACTACCTCTTCTCCTTGGATAAATTTTAATATATGCTTAAAAATGAATATATATATATATATATATATGTATTTAAATTACGGACATGCTTTGTTCCTTAGGAGATTCCAACCATCACCATTCACTTTGGGAGGTAACGAAGATATTTTCGGGCCACAAGATCCTCAGCCATGTACAAGTTTGGTTATTCAATAATTTTCCTTAAATTTTGCCCTTTTTAAAATTTATTCAATTTTTTTTTTCATTGATAAGAAACTTACATGTGTTTTAAAATTTATTCATTTTTATTTTTTATTGGCAAAAAATCACACCACTAGACCAGAAGGTTCTTATTGGTAATTTATTCAATTTTCATAACTCATTAGTACCTACCATCTTCCCTCCCACCCAGATTTTCTAACAGAATCCATATAATTTAAGTAAGAATTAAAATTCAGGCAAATCACAAGTTGGAGTAGGAGTGTATAACCACGAAAATTCCTTTTTTATTATGATTGACTTGACCATAAAATAAATAAACCAGAATCAATTTCCAAACGTCGGAGATATTTCGAAATAAAGTGGACTTTGTTGAAACAAGCCTTTTTATTTTTGCATTTTTCTTTTTAATAGGTAGAAAACTCTTCTTACAAAGTTGATATTGTTATTGAGAAATAACAGTAGAATATTGATATACTCCGTATTATACACACATCCATTTCTTTATTTTATTTATTTTGACAGATGCGTATACATATCATATAATACAATGGATATCAAATTGAAGAAGGGCTTTGTCTTTAAACTTGTCTATGACCGCCAAATTGATTAATAGCTTCATGCCTTTGGTTCAAATATATCAAGATTAAGAAATCCAAAAGCAATTTTAAGTAGACAAGTTATTACTCCACCATTTCACATTTTTTTATTCATTAATTTTATAACATGGAATCCTTTCAACCACGTATTTTTTGAACATTCGATGGCAAAACAAACTACAAGAATAACTCTTGCAAAAAGCAAAAACTATCATCATGTATTGTCAGGGGAAAAACAAAATTGTGAAAATATATTCGCAAAAAAACCAAATATGAAGAAAAGGGAAGTCCAAACTTCTGTCATATTGTAATAATTAATGTCCCAGCCAGAAACTGAAGGTATCCAATAATATAAAAAGGCTTTGTCTTTTAGCTTCTTTATTATTATTTTTTTTTTCCTCTTTTAACTTCTAATAGCCTTGCAAGAATTGGAACCTTCTGTCAAACTGTAATGTTGTATCTCTGCTTCATGCCTTTGTTTCCAATAGCAATTTTAGGTTTACAGACAGTAAAGATTTACTCCCTCTTTTCCACAACAAAAATGTCAGCCTTTCTTTTTTTTCCTTGTCCAAAATAATTGTCTCAATACTTTTATTATTATTTAATATTAGGTTAAGTGCAAAAAAACCCCTCTCTATGTAAAAAAAAAAAAAAAAAAATCACATAACTCCATATATTGTCAATCTTTTGAGCAAATTGCCCCTGTTGAATAAATCTGTTGAAAAATAGCCGTGATGTCATTTTTCTTAATTTTATTACTTCTATATATTTTCCTTCTATAAGAAAATATAATATTTCTCTCTAATTTTTTTTTCTCTCTAAAATTTATGTGTGTTGATGGTATCTCTTTCTAATTTTTTTTTTTTTTCCCTCTCTAAAACAGAGCACCCGGAATCAACAAGCCCCAAGAAATTTAATAGTATCAGTAGAGAGCACAACCTGGGAAGACGTTGCTTGACCCGTTCCAAAAAATCAGCAATCCAATTCCAACCTCTTCAAGAAGATCAAGAGAAAAAATTAAGAACCAATTACAAATTTTCAAAATAAATAGATAGAAATCATATATATATATATATATATATATATATATATATATATATATATATGAAAAATAGAGAGAAATTTAGATAGAAAATAACTTCATATTAATAGGAGGCCATATTAGGAAGTTTGGATCAATTCTATAAGTATTTTCATTTGTGTGGACTTGTTTATTTTTTATCTGTAAATTCTTAGAAGTACATATTCCTTCTTCAAATTTTTAATTGTGCACGAATACAACATGTGCCATTCCTTACTAGTTAAGATCATAAAAGACTTTAAGGATAATTTTGACATTTTACCCTTTTTTAATTTTTTGTTACTGATAAAGTAAGATTAATTTAGTAATTTTAATGTCAAAATTATGATTTCTCTTTATCTGCACAAATTGATAAAGTAGGGGGCTTTTTCGAACAATAGGATGGTAATTGCATATTTCGTATATTATGAGGGAGTTTTTTGCACTTAACCCATTAACATTACAAATTTTACCTTGTTCCATTGAATTTATAAAATGCAAAAAAAACCCTGAAGTTTCACCAAGTGAGCACAATACCCCCTGTGGTATAAAAATGATCAAATTAGTCCCTATAGTTACAAAAGTGAGCAACTTGCCCCATTGCATTTCACCTTCGACTATTTTACATCCGATGTTATTGTGTATTTACCACAGTACTACCCCCTATAACTAACTTTTTTAATGAAAAATGAAAGGCAAAATATTACATAGCCCTAAATTGACTAAAGTGTTGTAACTCATTATATAGGCCTCTGTTCAATTTATGTAAACTCAGACTGAATGGGTTTCTTACTCCTTTTTTTTCTACAGAATTGGAGAACATGTGTCCATTAACTTTTTTCTCATTTTGTATTTTTATTTATTTATTATTATTATTAAACGCTTCCTCATTAGTATTCATGGTCTGGTTCAGTAGACCGAAAAGATGAAAAATCATTCAGAGCACTAAACTAATTAGCAATGTATTGAAGTTTTAAGCAAATGAAATCCTTGAAAGTTATTTTTAAGGTGAGGAATGAAGAATATGTTAAGGCCAAAAAGGAATTTACAATATCACATTTCAAATCATATGTAATAGGGGCTTTGACTACGTACCTTTCATAATTATATTATATCCTCAGTTATATTGTATTACATTACAGACAAATTGATATGGTCTAGTTCCCAAAACTCTTCTAGTAGTTAGAAAAGATAGAAGTGAAAGAAATACACATGAACATAACAATAATTTATATATATTACAACTTACTATAATCAAATACACACACACACACACACACACACACATATATATATATATATATTTATATATACATATATATATATACAACTTACTATAATCAAATACATTTATATATATATATATAAACTAACCTTGAAGGGATATCATAGAGAGCAGATGCAAATGGAAAGGATAGAGCAAAAATAATTTTGATTGGAACAAAGGAATACAAAAGTCTTTTTCTAGGAAGATGGGGTATAACGGTCATATTGGAGTTTCTTTCAAAATTACTCGAAAGGTATCAATCACGTGCATTACAATATGGAGAGAGAGAGAGAGAAAGTAACCCCAAGGGGTTGGCCTAGTGGTAAAATCACCTGGGCTTGGGTGCGATTCCCACAAGGAACTTATGATAACCTGGGGTTCGATTGCCACTAGGAGTCCCAATGTAGGGAGGTGCCCTTCCTGGGTTCTCGGGAATTAGTCGAGGCGAAGCCTCGAATATCCCGAATTATCCAAAATATATATGTGTGTGTGTGTATATATATATATATCTGAAGAGAAAGTAACTGAAGGTAAAATATAAATGGGTAAATTGTTCACTTTTGAAACTATAGGGACTGACTTGTTTACTTTGTGAAACTTCAAGATTTTTTTTTTTTTGTACTTTTACCTATATAAAAAGTAAAACATCACATCATTGTGAACCGACTATGTATAAATTAGTAATTCACTCACTACCAATATAATAAATAAAAAACATTACAAGTCCATCACCTTAAAAAGTTAAGCAGATGGAGGGAGGGAGCATTTTTTTAAAAATTTTTAATTTACCATTTTTGTTGAAGTTATAAAATTATGTGGATCCGAAAGGTATATTTAGAAATTCAATTCCTTCTACTATAATAATAAATAAATAAAAACTACACTCTTAAAAAATTAGATTCTCAAAAATAGAACTTTTTTTATTTTTATTTTTATTTGTTATTGACAAGAAACTCATACACACCCATTTACACATCTACTTTGTCCATTTAGAGACTAACTTTCACCATTAACTTTAAAAAATAGATGAGATACCAAT